TGCTCCGTGGTTCTTCGTAGAATGCGAAAGGATGAACGCATTGGCGAAATTCTCCAGCAACAATAGCATCAAAAAGGTACCGTACAGAACTGTTTATATACGAGGGATTGGTTCGTAAAAGATATGATAAACTGCCACTTGCCATCATTAGGAGGGGGGTGCAATTTTTTTTCTTTTGCTCTTCAATTCGTCATTATTGGTGTCTATAATAAATTTGTCATCGACTATTCAGCTACAGAAGGAACCAAGAAAAAGACCTGGATCACAGTGAATCCCCTCCACTGAAGTTAAGTTCAGCACGTAACCCTTAAAGTCATAGAGCATGCACAAGTGCGCATTCAGCTGCTCTTGATCAATTAAACTTCACTTCAGTGGAGTGAATAAAAACTACATAAACTACAGTGGATAAAAACTACATGCTGTGCTAGACAATAGAACAACCTTTTTGATCTGCATGCACTCACAAGCTCTGCTTGAAAATTGGGACATAAATTGTTTTTACCAGTGTTCCCCAACCTTCTTGGGGGGCCCAGCATACGGACTGGCAAATTTCCATACAATTTTCCAAGGACCTGAAAATTTCCAAAAAAAAGTTTTTGCAGACCAGCCAAGTTTCAGAAAATCTTTGCCAACTCAGAAAATGTTGTCTGAAAGTCTCTATGGCAGGTATTTAAAAATTGTCTGCTTTAAAAAAAAGTTAGTGAAAACCCAGTGAAGAAGGTATAGTGGAATTTCTTTAAAAAATTAGAAGGACAGGCTTGAAGAAAGGTTTCTCAGAATGAAAACATAATATAATTCGTTTCAGCATGTAAAAATTTACCTTGATAAGAGAAAATTAAATTACTGTACTATTTTCCATAAGATAATTTATACTGCTATTCTTATAGAAATTTCAAATTAAGATAACATACTTCAATGCTAATTTTCATAATTTTATCATGCAGAAGAAAATTTCTCGCGGACGACGGGTTGAGGAACATTGGTTTACACATGCTGTCACAGATCGTCTCTGTGATTTTCACATACCGTACTTTGTTGATTGCAAATAAAAGTGATTTCCTGACCTTAAATGTATACTTCCCTCCCCTTCATTTAAACAGAAAATACACGAACACCGGTAAATTTTTTCAAATACAGTTCCAGCAATTAATCAAGACGCCATGATGAAGGGAGGATTTTCTTATTCCTCTCAACATATTATAATTCATCAGAACATATAACTGATTTTAAGCGTAGCTGAATAAGTATTCCAACGAAGAAATTACTGTACATTTAACAATGAAAAAGATAAAAATCCTGCTATGTTTATTGTACAAAAAACCTGCTACCAAACGTTTTTTTTTTATATTTGCCTCATTCTAATTATCTCTCCCGTATCACAGTCTGATAATTGCTGAATTCTAATAAAAAATCCTCAACCATAAAAAATTCAAGGAATTCATAGTGATAAAGTTGAAAACATTGCATGTATTATAAAAAAAACTCGGATCCTCGCATGATACACGCAGAGCATATAGCATATACTGTATAACATATTGAAATACGCACAAAAAGGATTATATACAATTTAAAAAGGTTTTATTAAGAATTATATCATCAAAGAAATTATTCCAATTATTAATTCATCAAGTACGACATTTATTCCAAGCCTGATATCATTGGTTAATTTAAATAATTTAATAAGGATAGTGTTCCTACATTTTATACAAAGTATCACGTAACCTTTCACATCCTATTCCAATTACTGCAGAGTAGCACAGTAAACTATTCTGTCATTGATTTAATTTTATGCAAGGCATTATGTCATCTGTATATAGCCAATAACAAACAACAGCAATAACGGATCTACACCATCACTCAGCATCCTCTCGCCCTACAAGAGAAGAAAGGCCATCAAGGACCTGTGTGACAAATTCCTGGTGGAGTGTTTCTGGTTCAGAGGCCGGGAAATGTTCGACTCACTCATCCATTCTCGCCATCACCATCATAAGAAACCCCATAACAAACCCTATTCTTGTCCCATCTTGGAGAACTTCTCTGATCTACACGGGCACCGAGTCATAGGAGCCACCGCCATTTCCTCATTGCCCGGCATCCCGAGATGGATCTACGCGTTGGACACGTACACGATGGAAACTGCATGTTACTACCTGAAATGCCAGTTCAGAATGAATCCAATCAGTGGCGGGTTCGGGGTTGAATTGCCCAACAAAACGTGGAATGGGTTGATTGGAGAGGTGCAGAACGGACCGGATAACAATGTCGCAATGCTAACGCCGACGTGGGATAGAACTGTTGCAGTTGACTTCACCACAGGGCCCTTGTATGACACTTACAATGGGTTGCTTTCCAGGAAACCAACGTAAGTTGAATTGCGTGCCCCACGCGAGATCAATTTTGTCGTTGCAATAGTGACACCTACGTAACTCCATTGGAAGTTAATTTAATTTTAAGGTACAGTACTGTGCTTCAATCATCTGACTATACAGTGACTATAGCGGCACGGTCTTTCTCGGCCTCCATCTACGCCAATATAATTCCTTCAATGTTCTACTCACAGGAAGCTGATCAACTTCTTCGTCATGGTCCAGCCATTCCAAGTCGCAACATGGATCTGCATACTCGGCGCGATCGTCTTCACGTCCTGCGGAATAGCTTTCTTGGCCTCAGGTGACTCCCGCGTCGGATTCTCCCTTTCACAGATGTCGCAACTCTTACAAAAGGTTTTCGCGTACACACTGCAAACTCTGGTCTCACAATGCCCGGAGAAAGAAGTTTCCACCAGCACTCACTTTCGCATCGGTTCCTTGGGCTTCTTGCTCGCATCAATCGTGCTCGTCTGCGCCTACAGCAGCATGTTGACTGCTTTAATAGCACTGCCTAACTACGAACGATTTCTGAACACGTTCGAGGACGTAGCCATCTTGGACGCTATCGTTTATTCGCATGCCAACGGAGGTTACGCTAACACTAAAGCCGTGGAGGATATGAAGCGACTCCGCGGTGGTACTTTGTCGCGGCCACCTACGTCCATGTTTCCGTATGACGAGATCCTGAATGACGATAGGAAAAGAAAGGCGTATACCACTGCTGCGCCCATGTTGTTGCTGCACTTGAATATGCAATTGAGAGATAGTATAAGGAAGGAGTTTCATCTTTCCAATCAGAGGCTGTATTCCAGAACATACAGCTTTCTGCTGAAGAAGCAGTCGCCATATTGGAGGTGATGCATAACAAGGTTGTGCACTGTAATGTTTCTTGTATGAGAGAGCGATATCTAAAGACAAACTAGAAAGCTTCCAAACTGCGTCCAAGCTAGCCAACCAGAAGTTCGACGGGAGCAACGGGTTCCGGTTGGCTCGATTGGAGGAAGGTTTGGTATTTATTATTTGGCTAATAGATGTCGGTTTAATCAGTAGAATCACCATCAAGAAACTGTGTGAATTGCGAATACTGAACATCTTCATTTGCATGTAATGTCGATTATTACAAAGTAAATTAGGTGTGAAAAATTACAGCATTTAAGTGACATTACTTAACCCATTTCCCCTGATACGAATATCCAGCATCCGCAGGTGATCCTAACCACTGATATTTCTTCCAGATACTTCGAACACTTTTCCTTCGTGTCAGCTTCCTACGGATTTCCGGAATTCCATGAACGAAATTTTGTTATGAGCAAAAGAGGAGAAAACCTTGTGAACATAACCATGAATGGGACACCAGAGACCCAATTGGTGGACTACGTAGCACCCTCCTTGATCCTGGTCATTGGCATTGCTCTGTCATCATGCGCCTTTATTGTGGAAATCTCCATGTTTTCCTACAAAGCATACATTGCTAAAAAGAAGGCTAAATTTTCGGACAATTGATGTGCTGACATTTTTTTCCTCACCCACACATACTATAGACCTAATTCACTCGTGTACCACGCACACCAATTTTCAACTTGTAGCTAGAATTTGGAAGCAGATTGGCCACGCAGTCCTTTTTACAGTTGCTGTTCTTTTCAATCAGAAAAGTCCTTGCTTCAGAATCTTGATACCGGACGACATATACGTCAAATGCATGTTTTCAAATGCACATTTACTTGTTCTGTTCTTTAATAGGTATTTTCCTCCAGAAATACAGCTTGAACCCAGAATTGGTTGCTTTCATTTGGTTTCTGCATACCTAGGTCAGCAAGAACATACAACTTTCTGAATGAACTTCCAATGTTTTGAAAAAATATATATACCATATCAGTGAACATCTTGACCATTCCCATTTCAAAAAGTGGAAAAACGTGATTTCAAGTTTTTTTTCGTACATCATACTTCACTTCGTGTCTGTTGCATGAGAAAATTCAAGTGAATACAGTACATATTTTCTTTCATTCAATCATTGAAGTTATGTCTCCCTGTATTCTTAGTTCTTATTACTCATTCCCATTATGTATTCTTATTCATGCTGTTGGATTGCTCCAATCGAATTTCCCTTCGTGTTTGGTTCACAACAAGGAATTTCATCCTGTAAAATTGGTAGTGTAAATTCATTTTTGGTTCCGAAGTTCATAACACTTCATAAATTATGACGAGGAGAAAAAATTGTTTTTGGACGACAAAAAATGGAGAAATAAAATAATATCAGATATAAAATGTATTCTAGCTACTTCTGAGGTAAGTTCCAGATTAATGGTCAAACAAAGTTATTGTACATGAACTATCAGATAACTGTATAACCCCTTAAATTCTGCACTAAATCAGCTTTCTTCAAGGTAAATTTCATCTTTCCACTACCACTGTAGTTCCAAATGGATGTTAAACCTTGAAGGGAACACGGAGAGCCACAAATCCCATTCAAGATGGACAACAGATAATTACTGCTCATTGTTATGATTTTAGTTTGAGTGCTGATCCTAGAGCACTATAATTTTCCCAGCAAAAAAACACGCTTCTTCGCCTGAAAATTTGCAAGGGCTTTATACTTCTCGCTTCCCAGGAAACTGCGTATAAATTCTATCACTTCTTGGGAGTAGCCTTGGGTTTGACTGGAGCACCAGCAGGCTTCGCCGCCTTCGACTTGGCTGGAGCGACAGCAGGTTTAGCAGTCTTCGCCTTCTTCGGCTGCTTAGGTTTCTTGGCTTTGGCCGCCTTGGCTTTCTGCTTCAGCTCTGCCCTCCTCTTGATGATTGCTTTCTCCTTGTCAGTGTAACCAGCCTACAGAATTGATTAAAAAATCAGGAAACCGAACTCTCCATCCCTATTCCGATTGATAGATATAGACATTTGCTCAAGATGGCATATTTCGATGCAGGGAAATGCAGGTGTTAGTTTCCCCATCGATTTTACCCTGTACTGTATCGCTCTGCACCTTCTTCGCATACAGGGTCTCGAAAGACATACCTTACGCTTCACACCCCTTCGGATGGCTAGGATGCTATGGCGCTTTTCAACCGCAGCATACGGATTTAATTTGAGCAACGCCTTGATGTTCTTCAATGGGTTGGGCTTCACAGTGCGTCGAACGACCTTTCGACGGGGTTTCCTTACGACCTTCTTCACTTCTTCGCTGTTGATCAGCCTCTGCAAATCTGTCATTTGCATGATGTGTCGCGGCAGGCTAGAAGAAACGAATACTTCATGATAGGAACAAATGCGAAAATGAACCCGGAACTTAATAAAAAAAAGGTTGAATATCAAGTTGAGAGTAATGAATCTTCAGAATCAAACTTACATGAATCCTGTTTTGACTTTAGACGGTGTCTTCCACGTTCCGCAGATGTCATCCAATTTGCGGAATGCGGATTCGGTCCAAACACACAATCGCCCGACATGGCCGCCAGGCGCGAGTCTGAGAAGGTTCATGTTATTTACATTCTGCAAGTCAATACCGGGAATGTTCCTGAAAGCACGAGTCAGCCCCTGCAACGATAAAATGAAATAAGAAACGTTCCAATGAAGTACATCCGGATTCGATTCAGCTTTACAGGTTTGTTCAAGGAAGAAATTCACTAGCAGATCGACGTCAAGGTCTCGAAAATTCCGTAAAAGATATTCGGTTACAACCGATCACCAGTATCTGTAATGTAGGGTACATGTACGGAAGGTCTCTTCAATGAGGAACAGTATTGCACTTCAAACATTCCACATCATAAAGATTAATAAGAGAAAAACTGTACCTGATCACGGTCATAGATGATAAGGGGACCTCGCTTCTGAATCCGACGACGATTGCGCATCTTACCGCGGCCAGCTCGGAATCGTTTCGAGGCCAAGACCTGAACCGAAAAACCGTCAGAAAAAATGCATCTTTTGATTCACAAGCCAAGGTACCTTCTCGATTTCGGGCCAGATCTTCGATTTCTTCAAGAAGAAACAAGCTTGCTTGGTCTTCACATACTCTTGGATCTTATCGGAGACGACGAACGGGATTTCCGACAATTGCTGGATAGCGTGACCCCGGGCGAAAACAAGGCTGGGAACACCAGAAGCGGCCATTCGCCTCGTGTCTCGTATTGCGAAGACCGACTGCAAGTGGAAGGCCACGGTTGCTGCGGTTCAGATCGTTGGTGCGAACATGCGACCTCCTCGACACATGTTACCGAAAGCACCTTGGCCAGAACGGTGAGTACCGCCACCTCGAACACGAGGAATACGCGCAACGGCACGACCAGTTCCCCAGGACTCGGCAGATGTTTGATGGCCTGCGGAAGTAATGCAACAAAGATTTACACATGTCACAGGCCAAAATTTGATCGGCACATTCATGTCGTCAAAATAATTGATGAAATGCTTTTAAATTGAGTTCATACCGGCAAGTTTGCTGACTGAGTAAGGTTGACGGTTGTTCTTCGCGATCTCGTGGTGGATGAACGATACGATGTCAGGTCGAATCGGTGCCCGAAAAACGGCTGGGAGCTTAACGCTGGATACCTTCTCATTTTTCTCGTTGAAGACGGTCACTAACGGTCGAGTAATGACCACACTCTGGAAGAATCAAGTAGTTTAAGCAACGATGTCAGGGGAGCTCGTAACGAATCAAACGTTCGAAATACTGTACTCACCATTTTGATGGGGCAAGCGTGAACTCGCGCGTCTCACTTATCTGGGAAAAGAATACATCGGTAAGATTGAGTGAACGTGAGATTCGGGAATTCAATTAAATCGACGAGGAACTTGATCTAACTTCCTATCTTTATACGAGTTGACGAATGTTCTCTGTTAAAAAATATTATGTGCGCCGCCATGTTTCACCGCAGAAAAACCCCGAAATCTTGATTAGGGCAAGCTCTTCCTCACTTACTGGAGCACCGACATCTATGATCGGTATGGATTACAAATGCCTTATTGGCGTTCCAACCGGCGTCCTGGCGCCTGTTCTTGCTGCTGGGTTGTGTCATGTGTTGTTTCATTATGTTAGAAGCATGGAAGAGGATATCGTCCCACCTGGTGGGGGTTTATTTATGATTTCTGAAACATTTCGGCTGAGAGCGGATTCGCTGGAATAATATACCTGTTCCAATTGCTGAAGCTCATGCTGGTGTTCCAAATTTCAAATGCTTCACGTACCTCCCTTTTCTGAAAATCGCTATGAATATGAAGTGTACAGAGCCATTTTACGCACTTCCTGGGACAGACTCATCATTAGATTTGAAGTGTACATGTAAGTTGAATTTTCCGCATGTCCAGCCCCAATATGTGGTCATTATCCGCAGCATCAAAAGCGTCTGAAGTTGCGAAGAAAACGTAATTTCATTTGTCTTCTATCAGCATTTTCCGACAACAATGAAACAAATTCATCACCGACCAACTTTGAATGACCTACGAGAGGCAAAGTCAAAACTAAAAATATTCAGCATAAAAAACGATCCATACATTTCATGAAAACACCTTCCCGAGTTTACAAGCGAGAATGAATGCAATTGAGACAAACACGGACGAAAACTTGAGCAACCCCAATGGTGATCCACCAGAGGGCGTGAGAACAACGACCAGGATTACAAAAGTCTTCATCTGAGTCAACCAGCCCATGATTGTGCCTCTGTATCAAAATAAATCCATGCATAAAAAAATTACTACCGCTCCAAATAGATGCTCAGAATTTTTTTTTTTTGAATCGGGGTATCGAAAATAAAGAAATAAAACCCCACCTGTCTTTTCTTTGAATTGCAGTTGCTCTTGCAGTGGCAATAGCAGGGAAATATACTCCAATGCAGATGAATAGAACTATCATGGCAGCGCCAAAGATCATTTGAGAAGGATCCGATATTAAAGATGGCGTGATTCTGCCAATATCAGAAACAGTGGAGGTGATGCACATTACAAAATATGAAAGCGCCATTCCCACAAGGATGATTGGCAAAAGTTTGTGAGATTTCGAATGCATTTGAGGGAAGAGCAACATGTATAACAATGACCCAGAAGCTTGAAAAATCTGTGGAAGGAAAGGAAAAATGGATATTCCAAATGTAATACTGTATATATGCATAATAAAAAAATACAAGATTACTCGCATAGTCTTACAAGGCTTATGCTGTTTTACACCACGAAATGCAATCCACCAATTTCAGCCATTTTCACAGTAAAATAGATTAAGTTCAACTAATTTCAGGTTGAAGAAATGTTCTTTCAAGAACTTCAAACTCATGATAAAATTTTTCCGCATCCAGTATATTATTGCTCTTCCATGCCTAGAACAATTGTAAGGCATTATAACGGTATTATCTTTCATTATAAATATTCCTGAATTTCAGATGTACTTGTACAGTTTTGCAGTTATACTTTAATTGGAAAAAATAAGAATACTCTACTTTTGTTTTTAGAAGATATAAGAAATTCCTCAAACATTTCACGCCATAAAGAACACATTTTCTCCTTCAACCTAATTTTTTTAGAGTAAATTAAAGTAATTCATCAAAATTAATAGAAATAGCATTCATGATACTGTATAAAAATTTCAATATCCAATAGAGAAAAAATCCAACTTCATCATTCAGAAAAATATTTCCAATAAATCATGAGTTATTTTCTAACTCAGGGACTTTCATCTTTGTCTCAAACATCAAACACTTTTTGGTTTTTAGGAGCATGAGAAAATTCTTGAATAAATGAACGAAATTTTAAGTATTTCTTCATTTTTTTATTTACATGCATATACTGTAATCCATAGAGAAAATAGATGATTGTGTCTAAATGTCCCGATTCTACCCGCCTTTGATTCTTTATTCAGAGCAAAAAAGCAGTAAATAGAGCCTAAAATTTGATCAGCTGTAACACGATAACAGCAATGCGAAGCGATAACTTGAAGAATCCTTCTCATCAAAAATGTTGGATTCAATTTTGCACTCACCATTACAGTACTCCATGATGGAAGAGATGCGATGCCTTCATGAGGCATTTTCAACATGGAATAAATCGAACATGTCACAAGACTGATGGAGACATCCGAAAAAATTTGCGTTGCTCCAAAAAGCATCAAGTTCTGATTGGACAGTAGTGTCATAAATGTATCAATCACATCAGTTGTGATTTCTTCTTTAGGGGATCCTCCCGGAGGATCCTTTTCCCAACGGAATATACTGATGACCGATGAGACGGAGATCCCAATGATGAGTACCCTCAATAAACCGGGGGATGACGGTATTTTAAAGGAAGTTAATGAAAAAAATGCGCTTCCTATTGCAAGAAAACTAAAAGTGGTTCCAAGGAACTTTATGGATTGATCTTGGTTTTCTGCCTGTTTGGATAAGCATCTGTCCGTGAACCTGAAACATTTTGGAAGATTGAAAATCAACAATAACAGGACAAACGAAACGCATTTTCAAACAGACTGAAATTTAAAAATAAGTCTAGACAATGGTTTGTCACCCAAAAATTATTTTCTAGCAGTACAGCATACATCATCACAAGAGATGGCCAAAATTTACAGAGGAGGGAAAAGTTTTCATTTCTGGTCAATTAAATATACATGATGGGTGAAAGGTTGTCATAATTGTCACAAAATATGCTAGAGCTTGAATAAACTTTTATCAGCAGCTACATTTTTAAAGTTCTTAAGTGTTTTTAAATATCTTTCAGCCAAATTCGCTAAAATCGATACAATTTTTCTGAAACATTTCATGTGAAAAATTGCATTGCATCATATATGAACATTGGGTTCATTAATTGTTTATAACCTATTCCACCCAATACCCACTTTATAGGGCATCTGGCACACACCCAAGTAGGAATGAACAGATTTATACTGGTGGTACTGTCACTAGCAAAGAATGATTTTCAGCAGAATGCTTACACTCTGTATTCTTTTATTAAATGATCAGCGAATAATAATCTGACATACAGCATAAGACATAGTGACTCCTATAGTAAGTATAGTAAAGTACCATGCCACCTTTAGTCACTATATCATCACTACCTCATTATGACACAGTACAGTATTGTGTGTATGTAAGAAAAGCTGACTCACCAGGCTTCAAAAACTATCATATGAATAGCAACAGATGCTCCCCAAAGCACAGCAAGTAAAAACGATGGCACATCAGTCGCATGATTCCCTGGAGAAACTATTGCATTCAGTGCTTGAACAGCTCCACAAGCAAGCATCATTAATGGCTTCTTATTGTCAAATCTGTCGGACAAGTGACCAACAAACACGCTGGTCAGCATACACGATATAAATCCAATCAAATCCCAGAAACTGCTCGTATCGAAATCCAGGGAAAATGCGAATGCTGCTCCTCGGTACACGTACGTAGCTAAAATACAGAAGTATGATGAGATTCAAATGTTTCGAAGGGAATAATGTGGATTCTGGTTCGGAAATCAGTCGGGCCAATCTTCAGAGAGCAAAATGGCAAAAATTAAAATCCGCAATAAAGCTGGATTTTATATTTCGTCTATTCGATTAAATCCATTGAACATTTCAATTGTCCACGTGTATGCTGTTTTCATTCATCATGACATGGTTGCCATTAAAAAGCAATCTTCCAAAAGATTGCGACAATATAAAAGAAAAAGTATGTTGAAAGCCGCATTGTAAAATACAATGCAGGACATCTTTATTGACAGTTTAAGATAATTTTTCGACGTATCAACGCAGGATTACAACAGCACATTTTCTTATACTGAAGGAATAATAAAATTATGTTTAAATTTTACGTAGTTCATAATAACTAGCATTATAATTTATGCATATTTCAAGCTTGAATTCAACTGAATAATTATTGTTTGAAAACCTTCATGAATTTTGTATCAGCCAGCAAATTAACTGCAAAATGAAGACATTATTTTCTTCGGAATTACATTAATTTATCTTTTTTACTGTCAAAAAGCGGAAAACTTCGTCCCCTGCTATCCAGAAGTAAGTTGAGAACCATGGGATTGCAGGGAAAAATTAAATGATTCAGGATCTATCATTTGGCTTCAATTTCAAAAGTAAAAGAACAAATGCAATATTTACAGGTTTGACGCAAAATCTTGGTATCTAGCACGGAAAATAATTGTGCCACCACCAAGAAAATTCTGCAACTATGTATTGCTCCAAGATCCACACAACTCCTGAAAACTTTGAAATAAAATGTTTGACTTACCACTCAACATTTCGGAGAACAGTATGGGAAAGATGCCCATCAGGAAATAAACCGAAAGACGTCTCATTTCATCGTCGACAACAATTGTTTTTTGCAATTTGGCAAATCCGATTGCGATGATCGAAACGAGTATTATTCCAGATAAAACCTCACTTTCAGATTGCATGATTGTTTAGAGTGTTTCACTGATTCAAAATTTTGAACTGTCGGACTTTTTTCATCACAACGTTAAGCTTCAAGTTATTTCGGATCGGTTGAATTTTGACTGGAGTTACCAAAAATGGAAAGAAAATGCATCCGCAATGAAACAGCACATTACGGCAATCTGCACTGTCACAGTGCAGGAATTTCTTTTGGCCTTCATACACATTTTTTTCGATTAAGCTGACTTTTCAATTTTAGTTGGAAAATCATGAAAGAACTTAATTCTTATACCGTATCTCCCAATTTCAAAAGCTCAGAAGTGCGTTAACACAAAAACATTTGACAAGATTGCTCTTCAAAACTTGAGGTTCTGAATCGTCAAGAAGCGTTACGTCTGAGCTTAAATCCCACTTCGGAAACTTGAGAAGTAAATTCTGATTTTATTCCTATACTGTACTTGATTCTGTTGCAAATACAGTACAACAAAACAATGCTTTTTCGGTGTACGAGGCAAATCTTCTTTCAGAGGGATTTATATCGTACAATTCTAACAAAAATTCCTACGCGTCAGTACCCGGAGAAGGATCTTTCATCACTGGCCAATCTTATCCCCAGTTTGTACTTCAACACTTGGGTGAAGATAGCATTTTTGTAGGTGGTATGGGGAATTCCGTCTCCAAAAAAAAAAAAAAAAAACCGACGGGAAAATTAACAAAACAANGGAAATACCGTCAAAAAAAAAAAAAAAAAAAAACCGAGGTGAAATTTAACAAGGCAAGAGAAAGCCATCCAGTTTCTATTGTGTGAGTCAATCTGAGTAACTCCCAACTTCAGATGACTACCTATCACAGCAAAAATATATTACTTCTTCGCTGGAGGATGTGTACAAGAACTTATATATTTTTTTCTATCGAAGAACCCATCAGTAAATTTTCCATATAGACTCAAGAGATGCGCTGTCAATCTTCAGAAATGAACTGTTCAGTAAAATGAACTCTTGAATTGGATCGTGTAACAATATAAATAAGTTACAGTACTTCTCAGCATAGCTGAAATACAGTGATTACAATAATCCTCATGAATTTTACATTTCAAGAATAAGCCTCAGTTCCATTAGCGGTAGACACTTGTTTCGAAGTGCTACCAATAATAGCGCCGCTGAAACGCACTACACTTACGTATAATACCCAACTTCCACATTTACTGCTGCTGTTTCAGCTATTTACTATCATCACCTACACTTTTTATTCCTGCAACTGCAAAAGTCAATTATTGTAATGGTTTAATGTCTCTGCTCCGAAATTCCATGACCAAAAATGCCATCTTCCGGCCAGAAAATCGGCAAAGGCCTTATATTTCTCGCTTCCCACGAAACTGTGCATATTTATTTCTTGGGAGTAGCCTTGGATTTGACTGGAGCACCAGCAGGCTTCGCAGGCTTCGCCGCCTTCGACTTGGCTGGAGCGACAGCAGGTTTAGCAGTCTTCGCTTTCTTCGGCTGCTTAGGTTTCTTCGCTTTGGCCGCCTTGGCCTTCTGCTTCAGCTCTGCCCGCCTCTTGATGATGGCTTTCTCCTTGTCAGTGTAACCAGCCTGTCAAATTGATCAAATCATCAGACAACCGAACATCAAGTCCACATTCCGATGACCGTAGACGGGCATTAGCTGAAGAGAGTGATCATATACCGTAGAGCACCTATTATTTCATGCCAGACTCGCTGAGGTAAGTTTTGCCATTAAACTCTTCATCCTTATTCCGGAATTTAGGAAACCGAACTTTTCATCCTTATTCCGGTTGACAAATTTAGACATCTGCTCAAGATATAATATTTTGCAGCGCATACTTACATGTGGTAATTACCCTATCTATTCCAAAAGGTTATGTATCTCTCTCCACCTTAATCGCATACGGGGGCTCAAAAGACATACCTTACGCTTCACACCCCTTCGGATGGCTAGGATGCTATGGCGCTTTTCAACCGCTGCATATGGATTCAATTTGAGCAACGCCTTGATGTTCTTCAATGGGTTGGGCTTCACAGTGCGTCGAACGACCTTTCGACGGGGTTTCCTTACGACCTTTTTCACTTCTTCGCTGTTGATCAGCCTCTGCAAATCTGTCATTTGCATGATGTGACGAGGCAGGCTAAGGAGAACATATACTGTATGATCAGCACACATATACACATGAACCCGGAACTTGGAAAAATAGGTATTGTACGCATTACGGCGACAATAATAACGCTTCAGAATAGAACTCACATGAATCCAGTTTTGACTTTGGATGGGGTCTTCCATGTTCCGCAAATGTCATCCAACTTGCGGAATGCGGATTCGGTCCAAATGCACAATCGTCCCACATGACCGCCAGGGGCAAGTCTGAGAAGGTTCATGTTATTTACATTTTGCAAGTCAATGCCAGGGATGTTCCGGAAAGCTCGAGTAAGGCCCTGCGAAGCAAAAATGACGTCGTTATATATCTCCAGAAACTCAAGGCGCTCTCACAGGCGTTGATTCACAAGAGATTCAAGGAACATATACAATACGTTGGCATTGGTATGGAGTCTCGGCACCTTTTGAACATTTAGCTTTCAAGATATACTCTGCTTCAGGTGGCTGGACTCTGACATTTCCAGAATTCAATCACGTTCCTTCGTATTACGGCTGCCAAGAAATACCCAGTCCCAAAAAGCAACGCGTCATTCTTAACTTGGTGTAATACATTTAGGTCCTGGGTCGGGTTATAATTTGGGTTTCAATACTGCATTAGGTCCTTACCTACTGTATACTGGTACTGTAGTAAGATAAGTTTATCGTCACAGTTCAGCTGCGGTGCGTAAAAGCTACATCAATTGGCAGCACTAACAAGTCTGGCGTGAACAAGAAGAAAGTCACGACAATATTCCCTTGCGACGAAAGTGATAGGATCACATTGATCTTAATTCAGAACTTCGCGTTCAATATCCAAATACTTCAGCAAGAAGCTACGTACAATACCTCAACTTCAGGATATCGCATTTCGAAAATTTCAACTCATCAAGTTCAAGAGATGGACGGTACCTGGTCACGGTCATAGATGATAAGGGGACCTCGCTTCTGAATCCGACGACGATTGCGCATCTTACCGCGGCCAGCTCGGAATCGTTTCGAGGCTAAGACCTGAACCGAAAAACCGTCAGAAAAAATGCATCTTTAGATTCACACGCAAAGGTACCTTCTCGATTTCGGGCCAGATCTTCGATTTCTTCAAGAAGAAACAAGCTTGCTTGGTCTTCACATACTCTTGGATCTTATCGGAGACGACGAACGGGATTTCAGACAATTGCTGGATAGCGTGACCCCGGGCGAAAACAAGGCTGGGAACACCAGAAGCGGCCAAAGCGGAGCACAGAGCATAACGCTTCTGGCTGACGTTCACCTTCCGGTGCCAACGACGCCAAGTCTTCGTTGGTGCGAACATGCGACCTCCTCGACACATGTTACCGAAAGCACCTTGGCCAGAACGATGAGTACCGCCACCTCGAACACGAGGAATACGCGCAACGGCACGACCAGTTCCCCAGGACTCGGCAGATGTTTGATGGCCTGCGGAAGTAAAACAACAAAAATGTACACATGTCGCAGAATAAAATTTGATCAGCACGTTCATGTCGTCAAAATCATCTATGGAATGCTTTTAATTGGGTTCATACCGGCAAGTTTGCTGACTGAGTAAGGTTGACGGTTGTTCTTCGCGATCTCGTGGTGGATGAAAGATACGATGTCAGGTCGAATTGGTGCCCGAAAAACGGCTGGGAGCTTCACGCTGGATACCTTCTCATTCTTCTCGTTGAAGACGGTTACCAACGGTCGAGTAATGACTACACTCTGCGCAAAATAAATATGCGTTGAACGAAAATGTCATGGGAGCTCGTGACGATCTGAACACTTACCATTTTGATGGGGCAAGCGTGAACTCGCGCGTCTCACTTACCTGTGAAAACAAGACATTAATCGGAATGGATGAACGGGAGCTTAGTGACTTCAATCAAATCAATGAGAAACTCAGACGACTGTATTACGGGGGTCGGGGCTTTTAATCAAGTGGAGGGAAAAGAGCCAGAAACTGACGGATGCTCTCCGGTCTTGGTTTGTAAAATTAAAACGGATGGATTCAACCAAGATGAGAAACCGCAGCTGGATCGCCAAATCACTAGTCCTTTTTCCACACTTGAAATGGAATTTAAACTGAACGCAACGCGGACCGTAGAACATGAGGACTTTTCCGCCACCATCAATTCGCAGCTCGTCACTAACGATTCCCCTACACGGTGGTGTAGTTTCTCGCCGGAGCCGAACTCTTGGTCAGCAAAACTCTAGGCCACTGCACCCCCCATACCCTCACTCCCTCTTCTCATCACTCTCTTCATCATGCACACTAGTGACAGACTTGAGGATNGAAGCGGGATTGGAATCACGCGAAGCCGAGGAAGCTGACCCTGGATCAATGGATTCGCCGGGTAACCTTGACACATCGATAAATGAGCAAGTGGAAAGATACGGAACATTGGGCAGCGCCATTTTCCGGCTCTTTGCTATGCTCTTCTTACCGGGGTGGTGTAGTTTCTCGCCGGAGCCGAACTCTTGGTCAGCAAAACTCTAGGCCACTGCACCCCCCATACCCTCACTCCCTCTTCTCATCACTCTCTTCATCATGCACACTAGTGACAGACTTGAGGATTCGAGTTTATAGTGCGCTGGGCAGTGTCACAGGACTATAGTGATACCAGGTCTAGTAAGGATGTTCACACTGGAATAAAGGGTGTCACAGGACAACTTCTTCACAGTATACAGGAGTCCACTTTTTTGTCATTCAAGTGTTACAAAGTTGTATCCTCTAGCTTCTACATTGATCAGATTTGAAAGTGCAAACCTTCCTGAACTGTGGTTTGCAAAGTTGATACAGATGGAGCTCAACTTGACTGGTTGTGAGGACTGTTTGACAATTTTATTTGAACAACTACATCCACATCATATAAGTACCTTGAGGCAAGGCCAGATTAAAGCAGGTGCTAATGATGCTGCAGCATTATGGGCTCACCAGGCAAATAATAGGCCCCTGTGAATAAAAAAAAAAATTAGCCAACTGGAGCATTTATAATTTAAGAATAAATATGAGGAAACTTGACACAAATAAAAATTTGTAACAGGGAAACTGCATATGTTATTGGTTGAAAACAGGTGTACTCTCATGCCTGCTTGTAATGCATGCATATACCTGGATTATTTGCTAGGATTGCACAATTAAAAAAATCTATACATTGGTGACTGGCCTAGCAAAGACAAGCATGCAGTTGCAGGACTGCATCTGCTAGGTAGAACATTATTTGTAAAGCATCTATTTGTACTTCATGCATATGCGACATCTATGAGCAAAGTAGGAGTCAATCCTCTGTTATGACTTTGCATAGATGTCACTTTTGCATGAGGTACAAGTGCTGATTAGACCTCTTGCAAGCTAAAAATGGAACTACAGGGATAACCAGCACTTTGAACTTCCTGAAGTCAAAATATGTTAATCTATGTCTGAATTTCATTAGAAACAACATGTATCAAGACCTCCCTGAGTCTCAGACTTTCCCCTCAAACCTCCATACATTGGATTCTGGAGTACTTTTATTCTATTATCACAGGAAATATGAAAGACATATAAATGTTACAATGTCAAATGAAAGCCATAAAAATAAACTTTTACTAACTTTTGAAAGGAAGTGCAGGATCAACTAGGCAAATGAACCTTTGCCTCCAAGTTCTGCATCCTGTCAACTCATTTAGGAAGTAATTTAGGCCTAGAATATCACCAATTACAATTTCCTTCCATTCTTCTCACTTTTCCTCAACAAAAATGCTTGACAAACAAGCATTTTTGTTGAGGGAAAGAAACAACAGCATTATTTTTTAAATATATATTGTTTAAGGGCAGGCCAGCAAAAATTTGCAAGGCAGGCCAGTGTTTGCTAGGAAAGTCATTCATTTATTTTTCTGGTGTTACTTAGGCAGGTTGTTTTTTTGCCAGTGCATTTGCTAGGCAATGCACCACATATACAGTATACTGTAGTAGATGACCATGCTTATGCAAATGACATTGCATGTGTCAAAAATTCTACAATTGTTTGAATTAGCTTCTTGTCAAGTATCTCTTTCAAATGAAAACAGGCCAATATACTGTCTTTTAAAACTGCTGGCCTCTTTTTGTTAAGAAGTAGTCTCATGATGCACAAAGTGTCCTGTTCTTGTAGAAAGCAAACTCTTCTAGAGTATGATCTCTTGTACAGGAAGGGGACTCTTGTCAAACTGGTGGAATATATCTAATATGAACTCACCACCCTGGAAAGCTTGGAAAATTCTTTATAAAAACCCTAAATGTACATTCTTCATGACACACTAAATATGAATACATATTTCATGCATTGACATAAATATATAGAGTACTGCAACAATAATTTTTGCAGCAGAATTTGATCCTTGTGTCAAAAACTCCGGTCTTCCTGAATTGGTCAATTATTGTATTTTTGTTGAAGCCTTCCCCTGATTATAATTAGATTGTTGTATCTGAAAAATACAGGCAGTGTCCAAGAAATTATTTTGTGTGCTCAATAAAAATTGACATCAAACCTCAGCAATACTGTTATTGCTGAACAATATAGGTCATTCTAAACCCATGAAACAAAATTGTCGGAACCTTTTGAAGCTAATTCCTTGCTTGAAGTAATAAAATGCCCAAGTTAAATGAAACTGATGTCAAGCAGGCCTCAGTAGAAGAGCCACTTGTCAAACCCACAATTGAATACAACTTGTCAAATGCACTTATTGTCAAACCACATTTATAAGAAAATATGCCTGACATCTAAAAGACCCATGGAACATCCCATCATATCATTTAACAAATATGTGGAGAAATAATTTTTTCTCACATGGAGTCACCTGCTACACCACTTCCTGCATAAGGGATTTATTCCCGCTTCTTGAAGTCACTCATGCGCAACCACAGGAGAGAGAGTGTTGGGTGCAGGGCATGAGGGGATGGGGGACGCAGTGGCGAAGAGTTCCGATGACCAAGAGTTCTGCTCCGGCGAGATGGGGCCTCACCCCCCTACACGGTCGCCGCCACATCTTACTTTCCTGCTAAGTCGGTGGAGATAGTGAAGGGCTTCTCCCCTTCAACTTTAATGACATCTAGTGGACAAAACGTGCGATTTTTCACTTGTCCTGGGAGTTGCAGTAGAATTCCCATTTGCGGAAGTTACTGTCGAGGGGCAGCGGCAGACTCGGATTCCCCCACTTGCAGTCCGCATGATATGTGAAAGATTGTTAAAATTCATTGTAATGTTCCGTACAGTAAAATTCAGTGTTCGTGTGTTCATGTTGCAGCAGTGTCTTGAAATTAATGGACTTTTTCCGGCTTGATATTCTTGAAAATTGTGGGATATGTTGTGTCATTTCATGTGTTAGCTATGCACAGTGTTTCCGAAACTAAGTTCATTGGTCATGGTGATCGAGCGTGATTGAAATCGGCGCCAGAGAATACTGGGATGTTTGTCTTTGGTACTGTAACTCCCACTCTAATGCTCTACTTACGCGTAATCTTCGAGGCAGCGGTTGCAAGAACAGCACATGAATGTCGGACCGCATCAGGAAATCGCCCCGAATTTTTATAGTTTTATAGTAATTTTAAATAGTGCCTATTTTATCTGCATGGGTTAATGGTAACTGAAGCAAGATTCGTTTCTAACATGGTTCGATCAACAGAGTTCGTTTGCACAGGTCGGAGTGAAACGAATGTCCGACTTTCTGTGATACGGTGTAAATTCAGTGGCGGGTGTGTTCGCAAATGGAACGGATTACCAGCCAGCAAGTGGAACATGCCGTCAACGAGTTTTACGTTGGTGGAGCATCCCAATTACAAGTGCACCAATGGCTTAAACAAGCGCAATGTGCTCCCGAAATGTGGGAGATTGTTTGGACGCTGCTGGAGAAAGAAGGATCTGTAAGTTCGCCATGGATTTTCCGAAATTTTTGATACACCTGCAACAATTTTTTTCCTACGCTGTAGTCCGTCGAGGTGAAATTTTTTAGCGCTAAGGCGCTTCATTTGAAGATAACAAATTCGTGGTCGGACGTGCCGTTGGATCAGCAAGACAATTTGAAACAGAAGCTTGTTGAGCTCATCGAACGTCATGTGGCGGGTCCGAAAGTAGTCCTCACTCGTCTACTGATGTGTGTGAGTGTTGTCGAATTAATAGCTGCTGTGTGTTCTCTTGTGATTTTGAAACTTGGTTTCGCAGTCGTGTTCATTCATAATCCACTGTATCCTGGAGCAACAATCTGATGCTGTGAAAGACTTCTTGTCCGCGATGGTGCTCACGCGCTCCAACTCACCCACGTTGCTGCTGCAATTGCTCACGTTGCTTCCAGAAGAGGTAAGTTTTGAGGGCGAACTGCTCTACATTTTCTGAAGACCCCAAATTTTTTTTATTGACAGACCGAAGCCGCGAACTGCAAGGCTGAGCAGCGTGTGACTTTGAAAGTTGAGTTGCGGAAGTCTTTGGGCAACGTGTTAGAGCTTATCAAGGAAATTCTTGAGCAAGAAATGGCTTCCGGCGAAGTTGGAGACGCGAGTGTGGACGCCTTGAGATGTCTTCTAGCTTGGATCCAATTTGGCATCAGTCTAGATGTGCTTGAACCGGTGTGTCCCATTGTACTGAGCAGCGTTGGCCAAGCAGCTACCTGTGAATCCGCACTTGAAGTGCTTAGTGCAATGCTCACTGAGGCCGGGTCTTGTGCTTCAAAGCTTCCTGAAACAACCTTCCGCATCGTTTCCAAGCTTCTCTCCGTCGAGGCTCTGCTAGATCAGGCTGAACAAACTGGTGCTACGGTGAGGGACAAGTCAGATTTTATTTTTGACAGAATGTCTTGTCCATTTAGTATTAAAACTGTAGTTCTTTTTAGTAGTTTTGTATGTGCCAATCTTTGGCTTCTGTAAGCATGCTAATCTAGTGCTGGGTCAGACGAAAATGGCCTCTTATGTTGATATAATATGTTTAAATGAGCTAATAATTTGACTGTATCCACCCGCTTACGATTGATTGGATGGTAGCGATCCCAAACACATCTTCGGAAACATTTTGAACGTTCCCTGTTGGAGGTTAGGGGGTTCAGAAGATACATTTTTATTATTATCTTCTTATCCTTTTGTCTGAATCAGGCTCTAATTAACTGCTTTCTAGTGAAGCTTTGTTTTGATTACTCACACTTTTCCGGAATACCGATGCCCAGATGAACGTGATGAGGTTTCAATTACGACATCATCGAGGATGATAGTTCTTGAAATAATGGAGAAAATTAGGCTTTCCACCCACACCTGCCAGATTCATGCAGATGGAGCTTGCTCAACTCTCAGCCAACATTTTCGACTATTTTAGTGTGGCATTTGCCCATGCCACCAAGTAAAGGCAGTATTGGAAGCCAACGTGATCAATTTTTGGAATATTGAAGTGAGTCTTTAAAAAAAAGGGATGCTTTTCTGACCAGATAGTATTTACTTGAAGTATATTCACATAAAACTTGACATGCATTGAGTTTTGTGCGTGATGTAAGGTGTAACAGGTAAAGGCTAAGGAAAAAAAGGCTGAGAAAGAACAGGGTGTTTCATTGGTTAAATTACAAAATGCTTTTTAGAGAACAATGTACTGTATTTTCGAGCCAAGCTTGTGTACGGGGTAGTGTGCCATTTTTATAATGCTCATTCTTTGCCAAGGGTTCCTTTTTTAGGGGAAAGTTGGTGAGTAACATGCAAATATTAAATTAGATGACGCACTTAGGACAAGCAATTATTCTAATGCTTTCTATCGGGTTTTTACGTGTTGAAGCTATTGTATCCAATTTCCTCTTACCTCAACTCCGGACATAAGATTTCTCAAAAATGCTTTTCGGATGATTTACTTGATGATACTCACTTCGCCTTTCTTTTTTGTGCTTCCAGGACATGTGTCGATCAATTTTTAGCGCTCTGTTACCCGTTGGTGAGGCCAACAGCAAACTCATCCTGCAATGGCTGGCGTCAGACGAGGGACACGAAAAACGAGCAGTGGCAATCCAGTTTATAACTCTAGTGCTTCGCTGCTCAGCCGCTCCTGGCCACTTCCCAACAGACGAAGCCCACTCTGACCAAGCCTTCGGTTTTTGGTACAATCTCCAAGACGCCCTTTCTAGTTTCTCTTGGCCGTATTCCTCACCCGGAGATGACGAGTGTCAGCGACGCAAAGAGTCCTGCGAAGCCCTCCTGGCACCCATCCAGCGATCGCTTGTGGAAGTCCTGTTGCGAAAAAGCTGCTACGCTCCTGACTACGACACCTGGGCCGACGATGAACGTGAAAGCTTTCGATGCTATCGCCAGGACATCGGCGACGCTCTCGTGCAGTGCTTTGAGGCTCTGGGGGTAGAGCTTGTGAGACTACTCGAGGCGGCACTCATGGCCGGTGCTGCGAGACTACAAGCCAGTAACGGGCAAGACTGGGCGCCGCTCGAAGCCGCCGTGCACGCCTACGGTCACGTGGCGGAGTGCTTGTGTCGCCCTCAGTGTGACGGGATCGTACCAGCCGTGCTTTTGTGTTTGCCGTGTTTAGTGTCTAGTAATAACCGACATTTGCTCTGTTCTTTGTTCACCATGCTCGGTGCTCTCGCGGAATGGCTGGAACTGAATCCTGAGTTTCTCCCGGCTGTTGTTCACGTCTTGCTTCCTGCTCTCGCTGTTCCGGAGCTTGCAACTCCGGCGTCTTTAGCCATCAAAGCCATTACTTGCGACTGCTGGGAAGCTTTGCAGCCATTCAAGGACGACATTCTGACGCATTGCATGTCGGCAATGAAGAGTGGGAAGCTACGGAGTTCCGAGTGCGTACGACTCATGTATCCCGTGGGACGGATGTTGGGTAGTTTGCCGGTAGACGCGACTTTGTCGGCGTACTTGAGCACGTGTCTGGCGCCGCTTGTGGGTGATGTGCAGGCCTTGCTTGGACAGCAGCCGACGGAGGCTGTGCGGGACGCGTTGGTGGTACAACTACGGATGTTCGCCATGCTCGCATTTTCGCTGGACATGGATACCGCGAGGCGGACTACTCAGTGTGTTTCTGTGGATGAAGATCCGACGACGGCATTAATGCAGCCGCAGGAGCACGCGGCGCAGCAACAACAGCAGAGAGGTCTCAAGCGGAGAATAGCGGAAGGCGGGGGTGGACTGGAAGTGGAAGAACCGATTGCGCAAAATAGGACGGGGCAAGCTGTGGTGCTGATGCTGCAGCAGCTCCTGCCGACGCTGAAAGTTGTCGTACAACACTGGGCGGCAGACCCTAACGTGATTGAGGTGAGTATGAAACAAATCGAGAATTTTGATTATTTCATGAAATGTGCCTTGTCACTTCGTATAATTTATGAGGTGTAACCTGGCATGTTGGATTTGACGATGAAAGATTTTGAGGGGTGGCTGATCTCCCCCGCCGTCCATTTGTCAAATTTATATAGGACAGTTTGACTCCCGTCACTTTAAAGGATTGTTTAGAGTTCAGTATCATGTGTATCGTCCACATCTTCAGAAGACTTCCACCCATGAGATCAATTGAAGGAAAACAATGCAGCTACTGAGTTTCTTTTAGTTAGATAAGGACGGGTAAAAGGAAATGTGGAAAAAAACCTCTCCAAAATTCACATTTTTCAAATTTCTCAATTCTCCTGTTGAAGGATGTAATTGTCTGTACAGAAAAAAATCGAAAAATTGGTCTGAGCGTGTAAATGAGACACCCACCTTTCCGTCTCGTATGTCTTTCCTTCTGTTTTGGTAAAGAAGCATGTATCGTGGAAAAATCGTTGAACCGTTCTCCGGAAAGTTACTGTACAGTTACTCATGAGCTTTGGAGAAGACTGGACGATACCGGTTTTTTTTTTTTTTTTAATTTATATCTTGTGAATTGATCGATAGACTTGAGTAATATAAGAACAGTAACTAGAACATTTTGAATCGAAGAGCTAAGAAAAGGTCGTGAAATTACAGTAAATCTTTTGTGTCGTTGAGAACTCGTACGACCGCAGGCATGAACCATTCTTAATTCGCGTACGTGTTTTTTCTTTTTTCTCAATTAGGCCGTATGTAACTTGGTGGCGAAAACGTTGCTTTCGTTGGACGCCGGGTCGAGTCCAGCCCTATTAGCAGACCTCATAGTCACAATCTCCACCATGTACCAATTGAATCCTCATCCTGCTGTGCTGGACCTTTGCAAGAACCTCTTCGTGCTTTATGACAACAATAACAACAACAAGAACAACCGTCCGCTGCAGCTTCAACATGGCATTTCGGGTTCTACTGAAAATAATAATGCTGTTGCGACGAGTCGCAGTGATGCCAACAATGCGGCCCTGACAGCGTTTCTGTCGCAAATCTGCTCTTCTACTCTGGTGGCATTCGGTTGGTCAATCAATCATTTTTTTATATGTATGAACTCAGCTTTTCAGCATTACAGTACCTAGAGTTGGGAGAAGTGTGTCAAAGGGATTTTTTTGTAAAACTAGGGAATCTGTGAGTACTAGGCTTCACCAAAACATGTCATGAAGATTGTGATCCCGTTTCTAGTGAATTTCTGTAGGATCCTAGCTTTTACATTTTGTACAAAGCCTGATTCGGCTAAAATTGCAACATTCAATAGTAATGAATATATTGTCTTCTAGTAAATGTACTCTGTTTATCCGTCAAATTTCTTCTATGCTCAGGTCTTCGGATTGGTTCATTATTCGCAGGTCCTTCGCAATTCCTTGAAGCGATCCAACTTGAAGATGAATTTTTCTAATATAAATTGGTGTGATAAGTTTTCGAAGTCAAACATTACCCGACTGAATTGTGGCCTCAATTTATTTCCTGCCGTCACTGTCGTGTTGATTTACTGTCTCCACAAATCGTTTGACAGCAACGTTCCCGATACATCTACTAATTTTTATTATTGTGCCAATAAGATACAGACTGCTCCTTTAAAATAAAATATCCTATATGAAAATGTATTTCTTCGTCCGCCGACGATCTTTGTAGGCGGAGTCTGTTACGAGCATAAGCGGCTCTACTCTGGCGAAAATTGTTTCGGGTGTGACTCTTTCAAAGATCCATGTATTGGTCCAATGAGTATCAGACTAAAGTGCACGTGTGTGCCTTTTCTTGTTGTAGAAGCCACGCAGGACGTGAGGGAGCACAGTGACATGCTGGAAGCGTTCCTGGTTCTTCTGAGCCAAGCCTTGAGGAAAAGACCCGCTCTAGTCCTGGGCAATGCAGCGCTGAACCACGGCGCCGTATTCCAGCTGGCCGTGCTGGCCCTCGGACTGCCAGAACACGGCGTGGCCAAAGCCGCCGCATCCTACCTCGTGTCCTTTGTGGACCACGCCAAGGACACGCCGGCGTTGTACAACCTTCTCGTTGCAGATCCGTGTTCTCCGGCAGATATCGGTGCAGGAGGCGGAGCAGTGCTCGTGGACCGAATCGTCAAATGTGCCGCCAGCGACGCCGTCAGAAGCGTGCTACCATGTTTGGCAGAAGTGTTGCTTACGCTTAACAAACGATTCCCGGATTTACTGTCGAGGTTGCTTCCCGTCGCTGCCGCCTCGTCGTCGTCATCATCGTCGATGTGTCCGGGCGATAGTGAAAAGGCTCGTGTGGTTTTCGTGTCGGGTGTTTTGCGAGAGCGGAGTAGTAAGGCACGGATGGCCGAGCTGGTGGTGAATTTTGCGTCTGCCTGTCGCGGGCTCATGAACACGGAATACGGCCGTCAGACCTCTGCCATGCTCATCAAGGACGCTTCTGGCGGCTCTGGTCGTTCCCCCAACCCACCGATGGTGTCTTGAATCCCTCCCCTTTTTTTGTTTTTTAATTCGTCGCAGTTTCTGAGCGTGATCTCAAAACAGCGGGGCGACTGCATGAGGAAGAAGATTGAGTAGTGTGTTAGTTTTTTTTCTTTTTCGTTTGTTATTGTCTTCCTCAGTTGAGGAAAAATTCATCACGTAGCACCGAGTCATTTTTCTGCGGCGCTTTCGAAGCAGTTTTTTTGTGCTTTTGCCCATGACTTTCACCGTGTATTTGCGTGATCCCCCCCCCCCCTTTTTTTTTATTCAACGGGGAATGCAACGAGGGGAAATGGGTGAGAGGTTGGTTGGTTTGGTACCAATTCGTTGCGATATTTTGTTGTTGGACGATGATCGTGTTTTTTTTTTTTTTCGTGGCGACGGTTTAATGACGTGTCTTGCTGATGAAAAAAGAGTATTCGGAATTGGGATCTGAATTTGTGCATGTATGGGTCCGTGTTGGTAAGAGAAGAAGTTGGATGGAAAAAAGCCTCGAGGAGTGGTTTAATATCCTTGTTTTCCGTATGCATGCTTTATAATCTCATTTCTTTTTTCTCGATCTGTTAGTAAACGAGCGTGTGTAACGCGAATCGTCTGTGATCCGTTTGCGCTGTGGTTTTGGTCGCAGCAGTTGGAGAGATTCGTCCTCTGAACATCAACAGAGACAAGAACCTAATGGGTGAAAGTCGTGACGTCTGATGTTCTTTCTCCTTGAAATCCAAACTTGTAGAACTTTGATATTTGAATCGAGTGTTTGCGTGTGAATGATTTTACAGGAAACTTTGGGCTTCGAAGTGAAAGAAGTGTAGAAAAATCTAGGAGCAAGTCATTCCAGATACTGTAGTTTGACAGCGCGTCTAAGACGTGACGATGGCCTAGTCGCCTCGAGTTACAACAACGCGTTCCAGCCAGGCTGTGGAGTGCTGGGAATTTGTCTCGTCATTGTCTGCCTTCTGCACATTCAAGCCTTGAAGCATGAATGTATTCGTAAGTCGATTTTGTCGTCCTCTTTTTTTTCGCATCGCTGAACCCTACTAAGTAAGATACGAGCGATTTATCGGTGAATGGAAAAAAGGCTCGATGGAAACAAATTTCCGATTTTACCTGAACAGCGTTGAATGATCTTCCAGGCGATGTCAACGAGAAATCCGGGGAACAGAGCTTCAGACTCGGGAGCAGAAATGAAATGCGGTTCCGGACAAACCAAGTGTGGGATTAATTTATGCTCTGACGCATTTGAGATGAGGTTCAGATTTCTCTTCGTTCTGGGCTTGTGATGATGCTGTTTGTTTTCTTGTGGCAAATTGCAGTGGTAGCATTTTCTTCTTCCTTCGTGTCATGTAGAAAAACTTGTAAAATTCGCTATTTTTGTAGTTCTGAAAGGATCCGAATTTCCTCCGTCATATACTTTAGCAAACATTATAAAATTAACTATTTTTCTAGTTCAGACAGGATGGTGCAAAATGGTATCTATACGAGTGCTACATGTGTGTGTGTTCACATCGTTCAGTTATTCATTTTACGTATTCAACTTTAAGCGTTCTGGTGTGTTTTAGCAAGAAAAAGTGCTTGAATCGTTACAGCTAAGCTTGAATTCTAGATCTCTTCTAAGCGAAAAGAAAAAAAAACCAGAATGATGTTCGAACCATTTAGTTGATTTTTCTTTGCCCACTTTTCTTTCTTGCGTGGCAGAGTACAGCACATTAGTTGGTTCGTTACTGCGCAGTTGCGGCATTATGCAAATCGGCTTTCACAGTTGTTCTTGGTTTTTTAAATAGTGCTTCCACCTTGCTTCATTAGATTCCTGGTTGAACTGAAACCGCAAAAAAAAGGCATGCACGTTAGCAGTAGAGAGAACGGAACCGCATAAATTATTGGGAACTATTTTGTACATTCGCACTCTACCCAATCAAGCACATGCGTCCTGTCCCTTTCAGGAAGACATTTTCTTTCGCCATTTTCGATGATGGCTTCTTCGTTTTTTTGGTGTTTCTCTGGTCTGCTGTCTTGGTTGTTGATTGATGGGTCATGTGAGCTTTAAGTTTGACGCGAATTCTCACTCATTCTTGTGCGTTTTCTTTTTCTTTTTACATCTTTTTACAGATCCTTTGGACTGCTCTGTCAGTTGTGCTTGGCATTGAGACTCGTGCGGAGATCATCCGGGGTCTTCCATGCGTCAAGATGCTGCACCAGCTGCTTTGCACCCGTCCTGGCAACACGTACCCATCGTAAGAGCTATTTCCGGATTTCGGAACTTCACATCAGTTGCCAGTCACTTATAAAATATCCTTTGATCCCGATTGTGCTGAAATTTACGATGTAGAGTTGGTGACAGTCAGAATTCTATGGGGTTCAGTCCTATTCATATGTAATCGAAGTGCTATCAAAAAATTGATGAAGACATGTATGATTATTTGCAGAAATATATCCATGCGTAAATCTTACCCCGCTCAGGGTTTTAGGATTGAGAAGTGATGTGTTCTGTTTTTCATATACTGTACACAGTAAAATCCTGTTGAAAAAAATTTTTCAGTATTACAAACTTGTTCTCGAGTCATAGATAAAAGTTTATAGAGCACATCTCATATAACAAACTTCCCAATTCCATTACAACAACCTTTTTTTAAGGGATTTTTTAATAGATTCTCCTGGGATAAGTTTCCTGTATGTCAGGCACAGTCTGAAATTTCTGATCCCAAATTTGACTGGCAGGTTCTTGAGCATATATAGATGCTGTTATCACTAACAAAAATGCTTCCAACACATTATCCTCTCAGGAAGAATATATTTCCACATCATCCTCGCAGATGGGAGAGATTTGTGCGTCTGATGAAATGCGAGATTGAAGCTAATTTTTCAGAAGAACACTGATTTGAAAAATAAATCAAAATTTTGAGAATAATGTACCAGAAAAGCAAAATCTAATTGATCATAGGCAGTTCTGATGTGAACGATTTTTTCAGTCGTTAAATGTTGAAAATCTCTCGACCTCAAATCATGTAGCATAACAAACTTTTCTGAATCTTCAAACATTTCTATAGCAGTTTTTACTGCATTGTCTTTGCCCGAAGACACAATCGGATTAATGATTTTTTTCTTCGCAGACAAGCGATTGAGAGGTTCATCGATGAGAACAAGGCACTGATCCGACGGATGTACGGAGAGTTCAGTTCGCCGGCGGAGTTTTTCTCTTTTCGAGGCAAGCGCGACTCTGGGCCGTACGAGGAGTTCTTTGCGTCTGATATTGGACAGAACTCGTCCTCGCCCGATGACTTTCATCAAAAATTTACCAACGTAGATGAGATCATGCGAGTCCGTCGTGCCACATCACCGACCTCAGGCCCGAGTGCTTCAGGTCAAGCCTCTGCTCCGCCTGCCATCAACACAGACTCTTCTCGGTTTGTGTCGTTTTCTTCCTATTTGTTTTTGTTGCGCTTCTGCAATTTTTTGTTCTGCTTTGAAACAGAACCTGTTCAAGTCGAAAGAGAACGAGGAAAAAAAGCGAGATAGGGAGGTTTCGAGTATGAGAAACACGCATTTTTGTTAAGGTAAAGCGAAGAAGAAATGCAGGAAATTGTATCTGGGAATATTCTAGGCCTGAAATTGCTTCATAAATGAGTTTACAGGATGCTGAAGTTGAAGCCAAGGCTTCATTTGCCAAATTAGTCCCGCACTTCCTTTTCCTTTCAATGTGCATCATTCCATTTTTATTGCTCTTTTCTTTCCTGTATGAATAAAATAATAGCCGAAAGGTGTCCAGTGGAAACATTGTATCTTGATATTTATTACTGAGAATACTTACTAATCACTGTTATCTTATTTACAGGGTCGATGCGTGCCAGTCAAAGACAGAAGTTGTGACTCCATACTGGGCCTCCAATTCAGCCGGAAAAATCAGGGCCATTGTAAACACACAGCATTTCGAACAAGCCATCTACCAAGAAATTTGCCAGTAAGGGATATGTCCTTCTATTTCTATGCAAATAATGAAAACACGCGGGTTTAAATTGACATTATTATGATGGCAGTACTTGTGTGACTGAGCTATTCAGCTTTTTTATCGGTAATTAATTATCTGAAAATTAGCTTCTACTTCTGCGGCACTCTTCATATATACCTAGAATATATGCGCACGAAAAATATGCAAGAATAAATTTAATTAGAAAATTCACATGGTTTATAAGGCATTCGACCTAAATAAAAAAGTTCGAATGTTTCACAACTTTTCACAGCTGAAGTACACGTTCTGTGGATGCAGTGGCGAGTCACCTTTTACTGCACTGTAGTAGAGAAGTGTGACTTTGCTCGAATTTTTGTGAATGCCGTGTAAGTTGGTTCGAAGTCTATTGACATTTTTTATGCTAGACTTGAGCTTCGAAAACTTTTTATGATGGGCTTAGTGAGTCGTACTGAAGAAGTTCGGGCTAAATTTGAATTCAAATTCTCTGAAATTTTTCTTTTTTTAGAACTGGGAGACAGACCTCACGTTGTCAGGGTGGTTGCAGCTGCGAGCAGAAGTACAAGTGGCACCGCTTGCTGGCTTACGACCCAGACAATGATTGCGCCGGCATCTTCATGGATTGGTTCCTCTTCCCATCGTGTTGTGTGTGCAGGTGCAATATCTCGTGACCAACTTAGTAAACCCTTGTTTCCTGCTGAGTGCTTAACCTTTTAGAAAAATTATTAGTCCCATCGGGAAATTTATCTCCGCTTTTTGGCTGGTTGATTTTCGTCCCAGTCAAAATGTTCCTGTTGAGGGAATATTGCCTTTTTTCCCGCGGGGTTTTTCTCCGCAAATTGCCTTCACGGCCGATTTGCCGAAGTTTACTTGTTCGTAGAGAGCAAAATGAGAAAATGCTTAGTATTATTGACAAAAAATCTGTAGATGGCCTGTGCCTATTTTTCTACTGACTCGCGTGCGAATGAGATAGAGGATGGAAGAGTACAAGTCTGAAACAGATTCGTTAATTTTTTTTCTTACTTATTACTGTATGGAGGTGGTTCTTGAGTGTGCGAAGCCGTTGCTGAGAAAACCGAACATCTTTTGCTTATCGCATTTGTCAACAGAGAATTGGGTGTTTCAGGGAAGTGGGTCTCAAGTTGAATCAGTGAATTCTGAAGAAATATCGTTCATTCCTCGCGAATCCGACATGTCATTCGTGGTTGACGCCGCCTTCGACCAAGAGAAGTCTCAGAGACTCGGTGCTGAAGATCTCAGTCGAAAAGGATCAATTGATGAACCGATATCAAATCTCATATCCTGCATTAATGAGAAGGATAATTATTTCTCCACAAGTTCCTGCTCCGGAAGAGTCATAACGTACGAAATTTCAGGATCCGGAAAGCCTGGATGCAAATTTATCGATGTCTTCCATAGCACATTACTGCAGGACGAAGTCGCACGCGTGGTACGACAGTGCATTTTTTCTTTGAAAAGGTAACTTAAGTCGGCTTTGTAGGTTAGCGATGTTACAATTGCTGCGATGTCCGGAAAAGCAGGCGATAAGGTTTATTTCAAATATGAGCCCCTGATCCTGCACGTACGGGCGAAAACGTTGGAGGCTGCTGTTATGTTGGTGAGTTCGTGTTTCTTGACAATATTTTTTCCAGTGAGCATCCGTATTTTTGTGGTGCACAGTTTTTAAAATAATTGGAATACAGATATAATAGACCTGTCTTATTATTTCTAGTGTAAAACGGCTATTGAATCCGGCTTACGAAATTCCGGCATCACTTTCGGGAAAAACGGCCGAACTCTGGTTGTAAGTTTCATACACGTGATCCTCTCTCGATGCCGAGTGAGTAAAGATTTGCGTAAATTTCAGGCTATTAGAAGTTCGCATTCCCTCGAAGTTCCCATCGCATCCGACGGTTCGTTGCTCGTTTCGGAAGACTACATCAAGTTCCTATGCAGCGAAGGAAATGCGAGGCTTGCTGAAAATTTCGCGAGGATAATGAAATTCGAGCACCGTTTCAAGACTGTGAATCATAACAAACCTGAACGTGACGAACATCTCCCGCCTAACAAGAGGCGGGACTCATCCATCAAGTCCTGCAAAGATCGAGAAATGAGTTTCCAAGATGAGGACTTCCACGACGCTGTTGAAACGCTGTTCCCCGGCGATTAAACCTTTACAGTCGTGAAGCATATGGGGTTCAGTGCTTGCTCACGGTAACACGTGTATTAATGGTTGCAGAGCTCGTGCCAAGGATAAATAGCTGAATGAAGGAAGCAGAGTGACAGCAAGCATTGAAGGTTATTGTGATCCTTTCGTGGCATTTGTTATTATGACCAGACTGATCTGAAAAATGTTCAACTCTCCTGAGGTGTAGGTTATTTTATGGAAAGCGACTGCCGCCATATCAATGGGCGCTAAGTCTTTGGCATCTCCTGAAAGAATGCTAGAAATCGAATTGCAAACACGTTCCAATTTTTTTCTTGCAAGAGTCTTTTCATTTATTTTGCATTCTATCTCAAATTTTTTTCACATTTAATTGCATTAAATCAAAGAATCGACAAATCTTATTTTTCTCGAACTGTGTATAAGACGCAGCGTATATTGCCTGTTATTCCCTGCATCAGAATGGGGTATTTTTCTGTTACACCCTTCTGGTCGATACGAGGGGTTACACGTTTCCGCGCGGACCCGCTTCGGCGCAGACTTGAAATGATCTGAACACCAGGGATTATTAAAAACAATTTTATCATGTTCACTAGTTTCAAGTGGCTGGACAGACACCTTCTCAATGTAATCGCCACCAATCCGATCACACTTCTCAGCCCTTTCGATCCATGTGTACAGACCTTGAAATGTTCAGCTAAATTTTGAAGCTTCTCCAGAACAGCAGCTACAAGCTGATCCGCGCGGAACCGTGTAACCCCTCTTATGGGAAGAAGGTTTCTGTAATGATTGTCTAGCGTTGCCTCCTCAAAATATGGCTGAACAAGCCCCATATTTCCAAGTTGTCCAAACCTAACTTCAGTACAACCTGGAACATTCTGGTCTGTACCAAAAATTTATGTGACATCCAACTACAGTGCTGTTTGGAAGTAAGATTGCAGAATCAAGGAACTGTAGTAGGGGATGTTTGAGGAGGAAGAAGCAGCCTCGATCTGTAATTTTCATTCTATGAACAACGTTTTGCCTCTGTTCAACATTTTTGCGTCGGGATGCCAAAGCCAGTGCCGAATTTAGAAATGGAGGCCACGCTCTAGAAGGATTATTATACGGACGCTGGATTATTAAGTCAACTGCTGAATATACTGATGATTCTTTCGTAATTTCAGGGAGGAATGATGTAAAGAGAACCGGTTCCGTTAAAATGCTGTCCAGACTCGGTGCCGAATTCTTAGCCGTTGGGCGGATTTCAGACCGGTACTTTATCCGCCGTTGCGTTACTAAGATCACCACCAACGATGGGATAAAGTCTCCAAAGCCCGAGTATACCAGCAAGCGGTATTCTGTCAAACGCGGCGATTTTTCTTGCTTGGAAGACCGAGATATCGTGTTTTTCAAACACCTGCTTGACAAAAATCGCGTCCTCACTGATCCTTTCGATCTCGAGAAGTACAACGTCGATTGGCTGAAAACCGTCCGTGGAAAATCAGCTTGTGTCCTCAAGCCACGAACAACGAAGGAGGTCTCTGAGATTATGCGATACTGCAACGAAAAGAAGCTCGCTGTTGTGCCGCAAGGCGGAAACACGGGACTAGTTGGAGGATCAGTTCCGGTCTTCGACGAAATCGTGTTATCGACTGAGCTCATGACTCGTTTTCGCATCTCGGAAAACAATCCTGCGGTGGTTATTGCGCAAGCGGGTTGTGTATTGGAGAAGCTCGACACGGCTTTGAATCAGCACAACCTGATGGTGCCATTGGATCTGGGTGCCAAAGGGTCTTGTCATATCGGCGGAAACGTGTCCACCAACGCTGGAGGCGTCCGAGTGCTTCGCTACAGGAACTTACACGGATCCGTGCTTGGTCTCGAAGCGGTTCTCGCGGATGGCACCATTTTCAACGGTCTTTCCACAAATTTGAAGGACAACTCTGGTTACGATCTCCGGCATCTGTTCATTGGTAGTGAAGGAACGTTGGGAGTGGTGACTCGCGTCGCGATCTTGTGCTCGTTGCGTCCGAAAAGCGTGACTACGTGTTTGTTGGCCGTGCCGGACTTCGAAAGTTTGTTGAAAGTGTTTGTTGTTGCGAAACAACGCCTGGGAGAAATCATGTCTGCTTGTGAGTTCATGGACTCTGACAGTGTCGCGTGTGCCAAGAGAAATTTGGGAATCGAGCCGCCGATTCAATCGCGGTTGTACGCTTTGCTGGAAACACATGGCATGGACTCCAACCACGATGAGGAGAAGGTGGATGGTTTTATAAATCAAGTAAGATACACCCTATCTATGTCCAGTATCAAAACAAATTTTATCATGCCGTCGTGAAAAACTTTTTTTTTAAATCTTTTATTTGTTGTGGAGTAAAAGCATGTCTTGAATATTGAGATACCATGAAGTAAATATTTCTGTAACTTGAAAATGTGATGCAGTTGGAAGCATATGAACCACCAATTTCAATCAGTCGTTCGTGTAAATGTCACTGTACAGTAAAAGAGATGAATAATTCCTATATTGCAACACCTATGATTGAAATCTCGCCCACAAAAACTGCATGGATTGCCAAGAGGTTGAAAGCAGTTTCGAACTTCCGTAAAGCACTTCAGCTCGCTTTTGACTTTGAGGGCAACCCAGCAAGCTCACGGTTTTGCGATTCTCTGAAAATCGCATGCGAAAACTGCAAAGAATTCTCAGCTTTTTCCAGTCACTCGCGGGTTTGTAGTTTGTGTGAAAATTATTTACAGTGACTTGCAAAGGTACAACATTTTCTATGCGTGAAGAATGTTCGGTGCTGTTCTGGTTCCCGATTTACGGCAGGAACTAGTATTTATCACACCCGGTATATGTTATTTATTGCCTTAGAACAAGCTCAGCCTTCCTCATCTTCGCGTCTCGTATGACAAGATATAATTTTCTATTGATTGATTATGACTGAAACAGCGTCTGATTGTACGTAAGATATTGCACGGCCTAGCTGTATTTTCTTCACAGCTGAGTTCTCGTTTTGTGCTTTGAAATCCGCCTTCCACAGGTGATGAAGGAAGGTTTGATTACTGACGGGATTCTGACCAGCGAGCCTTCGAAAATGAAGAAATTGTGGGAAATTAGAGAACGTTTAGCAGAAGCGTTGCGGAAGGAAGGCTACACGTACAAGTACGACGTGTCGCTGCCATTTGCGAGTTTCTACAAAATTGTGGAAGTTATGCGGAAGCGGTTGCCGAAAACCGTCATCACTTGTTGCGGTTACGGACACTTGGGTGACAACAATCTCCACTTTAACGTGACGACCAAGGAATTTGACCCGACAGTGAGATGTTCTTCTTACTCGGGTTCTGCAAATTTTATTGATGCAATTATGGAATCTCATGGGAAATTGATGCGGCTTTCAAATAATTTTCGCGGCGAGTTTTGATAATTTTAGTAATATTCTACATTCGTTCTGGTCAGTAACCGCGCTTTTCTGGGCAAATTATTCACAGGAATAAAAATAGCCAATCTTAATTCCAGTTAATTAATGACTGAAGCGAAATTGATGCTTAGAAAATATGTATGTGGTGCTTACTTTCTTTTTACATTTGCAATTTTAATTGTGAATATTTGTTGTTATTGGTAAGTAAAATTGATTGTTCCCTGTTGGATGATCTTATGAATAATAATAATTTTGTCGTGGTATGAACTCAACTGTTCCGGCGTCCCATAAAATTTGCATTCAGTGCGGTAATTAAAATATTTGCTTGCTCAATTCCTTACAGGTTCTCACGAGGATTGAGCCATTTCTGTACGAGTACACGAAACGTTGTTTTGGATCCATTAGTGCAGAGCATGGAATCGGCTTCAAGAAACGCAACTATTTGTACTACTCGAAGAACCCTGCTTTTGTGCACATGATGGCAGAAACGAAACGTACTCTGGATCCGAATGGCATTTTGAATCCCTATAAAGTTCTCCCGGATTTTGAAGCTTGAGGCTTTGTCCATTGATATTTGAAGCTGCGATTTTCACTTCCGGTGCTGTTTGGGCATCTTAAGTCTCGAGTCCTGTTGATAAAGGCCTTTTAATTTGTTATTGTGATGTTGTGCTTGATTGTAGGTGTGCTGAAGATGATGACTGAAACATGTTTGAATTTTGAAATCTTGTCTTTTAGTTTCACGATTGTTCTTTTTGAACAACTTCCTATGGGGTTTTCCTTCTTTTTGATAGGCGAAAAGCGGTCATAATGAATTTAAAAGCTTTCGATTTGAAGTCTGTTTTGTCAATAACCGCTTTGAATCAGCTGGGAATTCAAGGAGAGGTAAGCTCAAGACTCTTGAACATTTTCATACCACTGTCTGATGACATGCTTTTCCAGATTTGCTGCGTGGAAGTCTCGGGAAGCGATTTGTTTGTTGGAACTACTGCTGGGTTAGTTATTTGTATGCCACGAAATTGATTCACTTGAAAAATAATCCTTTTCTGAGGTTTCATTTTTTTTGGGGTTTATTAATTATTTTTTTATGAACCAACACCTTAAGTAACTAATTGATAAGAATTAAGAGCCAACGTGTGATTTTTTGAACGACTGTGAAATTTGTTGGTCCGCTTTGAAATTTTCTTGACGAGAAAAATTACCACGAAAGCCGCTTTACATATTTCAGAATCTTTTAAAAGTTTTGATGGAAATGTTAGGCTTCAATTTTTAAAATTTTTATCATTAAATATGAAATTTTGTTTTTGTGAGGGAAACGACTCTTTTTTATTGCTTCAAGAGTGTATTTTTGTGCAGGTTTATTTTTGGTGGACTGTGTTCAGAAAGCCCATCACCCACAACACCTTCCGAAGTCGATGTTCGTGTGAAGCGTAAATGTCACAAGCAGCTCAACACGGTAAGTAGACGTGTCACTCGTATATGTTCTCCAAGAGGATTATCTTGGGATATTTTTTTTTGCTTATCAGAAAAAAGGAGTGACGGCGATGGAATCATCATCCGCCATCAGCAAACTCCTAGCGGTTAGCGATGGTTGTCTTTACATGCTTTCGACTGTGGATCTTGAGATCTACTGCGATGGTTCCCCTCTGCTGAAAAATGTGCACGGGATCTGTGTTAATCATTGCGCTTCGACGGAGAATCCCTTTGAAATCCAGGTACAGGACCTTGAGCTTCATCATTTTTTGCTGCAAAATACACTTGATACAACTCCGTAATTTTCTGTACCATTTTAAAGACTCAGCTTGAATAGTTTATGTCTGAATTACCATGAGTATTTACTTAGGTTTGGTTTCTTTCAGATTTAGGTTAATTGGTTGACCATCTTGTTGATAGGTTACACTTGCCCGTCATTGTTGGCAATTACCTCGATTGTTCGTGAAAATGGCTGTTCAGATTTGTTTTTAATTTCAAGAGACATTTTTTTTTACGATTTGATGTGTCTAAAGTTTTTTTTTTATTAAATCTCTTAAGACGTATGAATTCTTGCGTCCCACCTCATCGTTATCGACAGTTGCATCGAGATTAAAGCAAATCGAAAGTTTCTGATTCCTTTGCCAGTTAATCTTTCAAACTTTTAATTGTGACTTCTCTGAAGTGAAATACCGTAGTCATTATTTCTCATCCATTTCTTGCATCGATTTACGATAACCGGAAAAGCCTTCATATACTTCGGAAAAATCTCGCCAACTAACTGACAAATACCGGTTCAGTAAAATGGAAAGATCTCAATGGAAAATTTTTGGTGTATACTGTATTTGATGCGTGATGAAGTTAGTTGTCTTCTAGGAAAAATTTAAATCTTTGGTGGCGTGCTGAATGGTGATGAATTTTATTTTATTCTTAAAGGTTTGTTTAGCCCGGAAAAAGACACTGGACGTTTGCCTGATATCGGATGAAGGTGTGAAGGTGTTGAGGGAAATCGGAACTGGTCCTAGTCGTTCGTTACATCGTCTGAGTATGGCTGGTGACTTCGTTGTTGCGGCTTATTCTACGGGTTACGTGTCGTACGACTGGCGAAAAGGTCACAGCGTCACGCTGATAACTTATAATGACGCCGAACTTCCCCGTCCGTATGTTTGTTGGGTTCAGAACGTGAGTGCTTTTACGAATTTTGAGAATTGAACCGAGTAGCTTTTGAATCCCGTGTTTTATTTCCCAATAAATTTGTTGTTGGGGAAATTTCGAGTGTAAAATTCCGTTGCAGATGAAGTTTTGAATTCTCCTGTCGCTGCCTTTTTAAAAATTTGGTCCGATAAACCAGTTTATTTTGAAATGTTTGTCGTTATTGCCCCACGTCCCAAGCTCTGGTTTTTTTTTTTCGTTGTAAAAACAGCTCCTGAATTTCCTTTTATTTTTAACGAATTGAAATTTGTTCGAGGTATATTGGGTCATATATGATTTTTTGCTGGGTTAGTTGGAGTTCGGCTTGATCAAGTTTACGGCATTATTGCCTCGCGCGACATCTTTCTGATTTTTCTTGCAGCGAGATTAGGTTTCATAGTGTAAGGCTCTCTTTCCGCCTACTTCAAAAAATTCTAAAATTCAATTCTCTTCCAATTTGAAGAACTAATGAATGTGTTATAGGATGAATTCATGATCAGTGCTCCCGGAGGCCTTGGAGTTTTCGTCAAAGCAATGGGCGTATCAGAAAAACCGCCGATCGTGTGGCTGAACGACGTCGTAGCAGCGGCATATATAAAACCTTACGTTGTTGCCGCCGACGAAAAATCGATGGCTGTCTACGGATCTTCTGACCAGCAGAGGAAACAAATCGTCTCTGTTCATGGTGCCAAGGGACTCAAAGTGTTTGAGGGTCGGCTGTTCCTGTGGTCCGAGTCTTCTGTGTATAATCTTCCTTCCATTGGCTGGCGGGATCAAGTTTTGGTATGTTATTCTTTCTGCTTTTTATTTTCTTGAGCCAATTAAGTGTAAGGTGCAATTTTAATGCAATTGCAGAGGGGGATATGCATTAAAAAAAAAAGATTTTTGGACTTCTTGGCGCAAGCACGGCTTTTCTTTTTCAACTTCAACACCCGATTTTGATAGTTGAATTGCTATTGCCTGACCGAAAATCCTCGAAACTTATTTTAAGCTGATATGGCCTGACCCAACTAAACAAAACTCAAACTAATCTTACTGAGATTTACGGAAAACGACCTTCCTTCCTTATGCCTTACAATTAAAGCGAGATAAAGGCGACGCCTGTACAAGATAATTGCGAAGAACCCGTTTTTCTGTACAATGGATATTTAAGCCTCTGAAATAACAGCTTCAAGTAGCAGTTGAAAAAAGTAAAAATCTGGCCTCACTTTTCTGAATGGTCCTTGATTAACTTGCTGAAAAATTAAAATCAAATTAATATGCTCGGGCATCCTTTTATCAATTCAATAATACAGAGAGGAATGACCGGTCATGAACCAGCGCGAGGAAAAGTAAACCGGATGCGCATGACCGCAATACATGCTGTATATCTAAATGAGAAGTAACGGAATAAACGAGTCACAAGGAATGTACACTAAGTCAGTATCCTGTGCTTGTCAGGGTACACTCAATTAATATATGATGACACTGTACAATGGATATTTAAGCCTCTGAAATAACAGCTTCAAGTAGCAGTTGAAAAAAGTAAAAATCTGGCCTCACTTTTCTGAATGGTCCTTGATTAACTTGCTGAAAAATTAAAATCAAATTAATATCCCCAATTATAGAATTAATGTTTTTTTCAGCCTCTCACTGAACGAAGCGGGTGAACAGACCAATTTCCCAAATGAATTCTGCTTTTGAAGTTTTGCTGAAATTCAGTGCTGTTTTTCCAACGTGATTTCAGCTTTTCTTATTCCTTACATACGTACCTTAAAAATTCTGTGCGAAGAATGCTACAGTCATCTTCGTACTGGACTATTCTTCCAGCGTGGAGTGTAATGCCGTTTTCATGGCAACACGCGTCACCCGAAAAAATATTTAAAATCAGGAAAAGCCAAATACAATACTTAAATAAAAATATGAAAAGCTATAAGGCAGAAAAATCTTTCCGTTACGTCAGACATTTCGCTGCTCGAAAATTCCAGGTATTCCTGGAACCTTTGTAGGATACATGATTCTGTGAATGAAATGAATGATAAAAGCTGTAAAATTTGTGCTTTGCTTTACAGAGTTTATTAGAGGTTGCGATGATAGAAGACGGTCTGAAACTGGCGCAAGAATATGAAGACGCGTGCCAACCGGAAGATTTGGAATTTTTCCATCGTTTCGCTGGTTTCGTGTGTGTATCCAAAGGGGACCTGGAAACAGCCAAATCTCATTTTGGCAACTGCGATCTAGATCCCCGGGTTCTGCTCAGGCTTTTCGGGGATCTCTCTGCGGGCTTTTTCGAAGAAATCGCGAACGATATCCCATGTTCGTATGAATCTTTAACTACGCTTTGTGGTAGCGACGAAGAGAGGAAGAATCAGCTGCGAGACTTCACGATGGAATTTTCCTTACGAGCCTTGGAAACGGGTCGTTCTTCATCACACGTGAGTTCGTCGGAGTATGCTTCTTTTTTCTTCCCTTGTGTGAATTTTTCAAACCATGAAATTCATGATTGATGAAAACGAACTTTAAAAAATTCCAAGTGCGAGAGTTGTTCATGTTGCTTTTGAATTAAATATCGAACCGAAAATAAGGCGTTATCTCTGGGAAATTATTACAGTAATTACGGTCAAATATCAATAAGCCGCCGCCATCTGTTCGTGAGGTTTGTGGCGGTTTGTGGTTTGGAGGGAGTTGGTGGTTTATCAAAAATATTAAAGAATCAAAAATTAAGTATGAAAGGAAACAAGATTCTTAATCCAGAAAATAATCAAAATAACCCTGGGATACGTAAATTATATCTAGCTCAAGTTCCCTAGAAGTATAAGAAGTCATCTTCGTGTTTTTTAATTTGAGACCCCTCGCAGAAACTTGAATCTTGTTGGCGGGCTATCAAAGACAACATTAATTGGAAGGAGATTATTTGAGTTGTCAAACATTTTGGCGGATGGCGTTCCAATGCGGTTTCCAATGCATTTATCTTAGGGAAGGTTTGTTTATCATAATCAATTTGCTTATTGTGAGGCTTCTTGACGGGATTAACCACATATCAAGAGGAATGATCCATCTTCTGCGTTAAAAACGAACCTCTCGTTCGAACGAACGAGTTTCGAAGTCTGTGATATACAGTACATGGAGTACAGTATTCCTTAATTTGCTGGTAATAAGTAGAAGTAAGCTTCCAGGAACAGGATATCTCATGTAATCTTTGAAAGCCGGAATATAAAGCCACTGATTTCTGCATACGCATCCGATTTATGCTCTTATCCGTGAATGACTGCAGTGATCATGTTCTCCTACCCTTTTATTTTTCAGGAAGTCGTGGTCGGAGTGTTTAAGCTCCTCACGGAGAAAGAGAAAACGGAGGAGCTGATAAATTTCGTATCCCGTTGGCACATAGAGCTGGAGAAAGACAGAAATCTTTGCCTACAATGGCTGGATTCCCGAAATCTTCCGGAAATCCTGGCTCTCTTCCAGACATGCCTGGGGGATCACGCGTCAGCTTTGCCTTTGTGGAAGGAATTGCTGAAGAGCGGAATCCCCCACGTTCATCAGGACGATATTCTTTCGCAGCTAGTCAATATTTTGAACAGGTAAATATTCTGATTCTGTTTTCTTCGGATACCTTGAGTCATGTGTCTGGAAAATTTTCTGCCACGTTTTCATGGTTGGTCTCGTTTTCCCTTTGTTGGAAAAAGCGGAAGATGAGAAACAAGTTTCGAAGTCTGTGATGTACGGTACATAGAGTATTCTTTAATTTGCTATTAATGAGTAAAATTAAGCTTCCAGGAACAGGACATCTTATCATTCTTATGTGATCTTTTTTATTTTATTTTTTAAGATAATGGCTGTGCTTTGAATATTATGAATACTTTGATGTCACTATTCAGAGGAAAGTAATGGGCTCTGATAAGGACATTGAATGGAACTTTTCTACGTTTTTAAATGGATGAATAAAAAAGCCAGTGATGTTTTGACTAATCGCTTGAACAGCTACAGTTTTTGACCTTACGATTGTACTTTTCATTTTTTTTTCAGGCTTTCAAATGACAGCTGTGTGATATGGAATTACGCCGCATTGATATTTGAGATAAACCCGGACAAAGGACTGGAGATGCTTCTGACTTTTTCCGAATCTTCCGAGAGCTTGACTTCGTGTGATGACGTGGTAGACTTCCTTGAGAAATTCCCGGATCAGCGCATTAGTTTCCTTGAAAATATTGTGATGGCTAAAAAATCTACGGTAATTTGACTACCGTTCTTGAAAACGCGGTCTTCCTAACTGACGTTCAATTTGATTTTTTCTCGTTTTTTTTTTCAGAAAGAGAAGTACCACACGCAGCTTACAAAAGCCTATCTAGAGGCTGTGTTGAGGGAGCGAAAAGAAAAGTCGAATGCAAAAGTAGCCGAGTTGCGGGAAAAATTGCAAGATTTTCTAATCAGATCCGACGAATACAGAGTGCATTTGATGTTGAACCTGTTCCGAACCTCGGATTTGTCGGAAGAACAAGCTATTGTTCATGGAAAGGTAATTCCATTTACACTCGTAAGATCAGCATTTTTTTCTTTTCGAATTCACCATCGAAATGTGTTTTTTTCCAACCGTGCCCTCTTTCATTTGCAGTTGGAAGACCACGTAGAAGCCCTTAAAATATTCGTGCATCAGCTTCGTAATCATGATGGTGCTATCAAATATTGCTTGAGGATGAGTGAACGCAAATCGAAAGGATATAGACAAAAACTTTTCCTCCTCTTGCTGAAACTGCACCTTGATCCGGCGATAGAGTGAGTCAACTCTTCATGTATTATTCTCACGTCAGTTCTTGTAAGTGTTGATTACTTCGTAATCATCGCAATTTATATGCGGTATGCCAACTTTCTGATGCATTTTACGCTGGATGTGTCTCGCATTAAAGTTCGAAAAATTTTGGCGCATTATGCGGAAGCAGATGCTATTCTATGTTCCGTAGTTTCACAACAGCTTTGGTTGAGCAAATTATTTCAATAGGTTTTGTTTATTTTCACACATTTTTTTGTTCATTTTCCCCGAACTGCCCCCTCGTGATCAAGATGGTAGACAGACACGTCTCTAACAAAAACCATCCCAGAGGAAAAGCAGCCAAATCTTAAATGTTAATCATAACTATCCTGTATGCGTGTATTCGTTTGAGTCTCATTTTTAATTGCTCGAAATCAGTGTAAAAATGTAGGATTAAAGTCTTGCAGAAGGCCTTCGCATGAAGCACCTTGAATTTGTAATGGAACATTCGGCAACCAGTTTTGACGACGATTTAGCACATTTTTATTTAATGCGCATATGTGCTTGATGAACTTATTTCAGAAAAACAAGGAACAGGATAGTTTTACACGACCACATCCTTCCGCGTACATCCGGTATTTTTCATTAGCAGATGGCTGTTCAAGACGCGTATTTTTCTCGTTTTGCCGTGTATTGAAATGAAATACAGTACTGTAGTTTTAAAATCTGTCTCGCGCATTGTTTTAAAATTCATTTTCGTCAAGAATTGAACTCTTTTTGGATCATGAAATTTCTGTGTAAAACATTTTTGAAAATTTCAAGGTATTGTAGTGATTTGGAGAGGAAGTTGAAAAATCCATAAAATTCTTCTACATCGTATTGCGAGATACAAAAAAGCTTGTTTTAGTTTAGTTTGTTTCGAAAGTCTGTGATGCTGACGAGGAAAGCTTATTGCCAAAAATGAAAGCGATTGAATATTTTGGTTCTATTTTTGAAAAATGTTTCCTTCTTCAGTGACACTTTACGAGCCGAACTGAAACCGAGAACGTTGCAGCTTCTCCGTGAGCACCGAGCCGAGTACCTGGACTCGGCAGCAGAGGTACTGGGACTACTTCCGAAAGACTGGCCGGTGTCAGCCGCCGCTTCCTTGTTCCTATGGTCGTCTGTGCGTTACAACGTGCACCGGAAGCGAGTCCTACAGCTGCAAGCCAGTTTATCGCGTGCTGTCTTGCTGCACAACCAGTATGCCCGTTATTTGTTGTGCAAAGATCCTGTGTTGTTGAAAAGAGACAGGTTTTGTTGCATCTGCCAGAAGCCGTTTGTGCAGGCTTCGTTTGCACGTTACCCGAACGGTGTCGAGACACATGTGGAATGTGCGAGAAATCACAACGTTTGTCCGATTTCCGGAAAGGTTTTCAGGGTTTCTTCACGAGCCGTGCAGTGAATTTCGAGCTGGTTTATTGTTTTTATAAACGCGAGCAGTTGATAACGGGTGCTTGACCGGTCTTTTTTCATGGAAGTATAATTATTTTCCGAGCAAGTTTAATTTGCTTAGATTTTTCTTTGCCTTTATCGTTTTTTGTTCAACTCCTAGACTTCGAGCGAGTTAAAGTTTAGTGGAAACCCGATCGTAATAGACAATGGATATTTAGTCGGAAGTATTGTTCGGAGCTTGCGCGCTCAGCGGGATTCAACATTTTGATAATAGAGGAGGCGAAACCATTGCCTTCGCTGTTTCGGATGTCCAAAAAGTTATTGTACCGTGAGAGATGTGATGGATTTCCTTCTTGGTTCTTCTTAAAGACGAATCGTTTCAACGTCGGTAGATACTGTATCACTGCCAGTCACGATAATGTTTTGATCTCACACCGACTCTTCTCTTAATTAGCATCTCTAAACACTCATGTTTGGATATTATTTCTCATTTACCATCGAGTGTCACTTCGATCTGCGTTTAAATTGAAATTAGGATGCTTGTTTCTCCTGTATAGTGGCTTTTTGGACAGCCTGTATTATCGGTGTCCGTGGTGCAATTGTGCTGTTTTAAACCTGTGAATGTTTTCGCGTGCCATTTCACCGCGAAAGAAAAGTTAGCATTCCGTGCCTTTTGCGCTCGGTGGGTGACGAAGGATCTCAAAAAAGAAGAAAACAACGTGGATTTGATTCACGATTTTGTTTGATTTTATTGTTTTGTTGTTTTCTTCATATTGATGCTGTGGATTTTGTGTAACAGATGCGTGTTTGAATTCTGCGATTTACTAGAAGAGAGTGGGGATTGAGAAATGTTGGTGCTGGTGATCGGAGATTTACACGTGCCTCATCGGACGCACAGCATACCGGCCAAGTTTCGGAAGCTGTTGGTGCCCGGCAGAATTCAGCATATTTTGTGCACCGGAAATCTAGTTTCCAAGGACATGTATGATTACCTCAAGACGCTTGCGAGTGATGTGCACGTCGTCAAGGGCGACTTCGACGAGGTATGTTCTTTTTTTGTAGCTGATCGTGCTGAATTTTCCTTATTCAAGAGAAATTAATTGTTTTCCGTTGGCCAGAAATTGCAATGTTGTGTCTTGGGCAAGATTCAAATGCAATAAAATCTTGTCGAAACGAATCCTTGGGGACCTAAAAAATTTCTTGATGGAAACTCGTAGTATGTACACTCAAATAAAATTGTGGCTATACTGGAGGGATCTTGAGAATTAATTTTTTATATGCTAATCTGAACGATAATTCGTTCTAACGAAATTCTGCTGTATGTTGCGTAAATTCTATTTCTTGGGCATTGACGAATAAAGGGAATTGAGGTACATTTACGGTGGACGCATTGCCAATGGTTTCACCTGTCCAACCTTGCTCTGTCTTGAAACCGTTGCCGCAATCATGATTTGGTCAAACATGAATTAACCCGACCCAAGATATCCTAACTTCGACGCGATAAAAACGCAAGCGACGCCAAGGGTTCGATTTTAATTAAAAAAAACGGTACAGTGGAATTGGAGAACGCCGAAAAAAGAGAAAATATTGACAGTATTTATTTTTGCGACCGTGTTTAAAAGAAGCTCTGCTGTGAGAAATGTTGAGTGTGACTTCGCAATATTTTTTCTTTGATTGACGTACTGTGGGTCAATTGTTTCAAGTTAAGCGCGTGTTTATTTTTTTCCGCACATGCTCGAGGATTTTCTTATTGGAAATTTTGGAAATCTTTTGTTTAACAGTTGTGATTCTTGACTAATTTGTTCGATTTCAGAGTCAGACTTACCCTGAACAGAAGGTAGTGACTGTGGGGCAGTTCAGAATAGGCGTGATTCACGGTCATCAAGTGGTGCCTTGGGGTGACCCAGATGCCCTGTCACTAGTCCAGAGACAGTTGGACGTGGACATTCTCATTTCGGGTCACACGCACCGATTCGAAGCGTATGAACACGAGAACAAATTCTTCATCAATCCCGGCTCTGCGACCGGAGCATATACCCCTCTCGAGAAGTAAGTTTTTTCATAGCATAACGATCTTTCTGTCTTTTTTTAAATGATGCTACAAATTTTTAAAAATTTATTTTGGAGTACAGTATCTCATTTTGCACAATGTGATTTGCTGCAAAAGATTTGCGTGTCTCAACGCGTGATACGAAATTTTCTCTGGTTAAAATTGAAATTTCAAGAAAATCAGCCGGAATTTCAGTTACTGTACGTATTTTAATATTTTCACATAGATGCGAAAAAATTTCATACACGCACAAGAATGCGAACGGTTTTTAAAATACATGAACAAAATATCTCACAATAATTTTCTTTTGATTTGAAGACATGTGTTTTTTTTAGGGTTCATGTCCGCGTTTGAAAATGTTTTCCAAACTGTAAATTCGACGCTTTCTGAAGTGATCTCAATCGTGGCTCGTAAATTAAGAGTTGTGATTTTTACTGGAAGTTGAAACAATTGTTTTTCTTCTGCCGCAGGAAAATAGTGCCGTCTTTTGTACTCATGGATATTCAAAGTTCAACAGTCGTCACGTACGTTTACCAGCTGGTGGATAACGACGTGAAGGTGGAGCGAATCGAATACAAGAAGTGTTGAGGCTGACATTTTTTTTTTCGATTTCTCGTCCCGCTTGGGGATTCTAATGTACCCGCGAAAAAGGGTGTGGTTATTGTGATCCCTAACCCAATTTTATCCCTATGTTAATTTTAATTCTTTTTCATCGGGTAAAGGGTGCATGGGTAAACTGCTTGGCAGATAATCGCCTGATTTTTCGTGCACTCGCTCTGCTTTGCTCCATATTATTGAATATTATGTGAGCAATGAAAAACAATGAATTGTGAACAAAAAATCCGCGTTCTCTTGTTGATATGTCGCCTCTCTATTTCTCTGAATTCATTCCTTTCTTTTTTTTTTTCAACAGCTCCAACAAGACTTGAATGTTCATACGAAAAGTGTTCGGAGTGCGAAACATGTCTGCCGTGTCGGGGATGTCGGGGATGTCGAAAGTTACAGCTCCTGATGGAACCGTCGTAGTGAGGGAAAATTCTGCTGAGGTTGTGTTTCCCAGCATGGACAAAGTGTTTTACAACCCAGTGCAGGAGTTCAACCGGGACTTGAGGCATGCATTTTTTTTATTCTGTCTCTTTTCTCGTATTTTGAGTGAAGATCCCCCCTTTTTGGTAAAAGATGATATGAGCCTTTTTTTACGGAAACGAGTTTCATGACCGAATGGAAAATCCTGTATGCCTTGCCTTATGAGAAACCATCCTTCTGAAAATGTGACGGATTGTAAAATTGCAGCAAGACTCCAGTCATTTAGGCTAATTATTGACAGTCATTATCCGGATAATTAAATCCCATCAATAATCGGATTAAAATAAATACTTATAGCTGATTAAACAAAAGAAAATTACCCATGTTTATGTGAATAAGCCTGGATAAATGAATGCTGTATCACATGCGCGCTTACAGTACGTTGGTGCCTTATGCATCTGACCCAACTGGTCCTTGGAAGAGGTTCCTTTCATATGACGAATAAAATTTTCCATAGGAATGTTCCAGGTTGAATTAATGTTATTCAACTATAAATTAAAACGGCCAAGAGTCGAAAAATATGATACAGAAGGACTCGTCATTCACAGAAGCTATGTTTTGAGTCAAACATCAAGGAGAGATTCCAACCATATTTCTTTGATGACCATCGCATTGAAATCCCCATTGAATTGTACAAAATCTCGAGTCGCTCGAATGAGAAACGCTTGAATTTTCATGGAAGAAATCGTTTCATAGTAGCAACTATAAATTTGTAATAGTTCAAGAATGTTTTCAGAAAACTATGGTTCATTTTGTGGTCCAGGTCTCGTTGTGTTAATAGTTTTCTTCTACCAAATGGATGCTGTAATTGATAGTTTTGTGCTCAAAAATTATTTGCAGTGTTGCTGTTCTCCGGTTACAGTCGGAAGATTTTTGCGTCGGAGCTCTCGGCAAATTAGACAAAGAGAAGCATATATCTGTCGAGGATTTCCGGCTGCTGAAGCAAGGTGAACGATACGAGGTGGTGTGATGTTTGCTATCTTCCATTACTCATGTTTAAAAATTAAAATTTTCGTTTTTCACCTTATTCTCACCTTCAGCGAGGGATGAAAATCCTGGAAGCCTTGGCAGCTTCTGGATTGCGATCAATTCGCTTTGCCAAGGAGATTTCTGGCATCAGTAGAGTTGTGGCCAACGACCTGTCCACATTTGCGGCCGACAGCATAAAGCAAAACGTTATTCGCAACGGCGTGGAAGACATTGTTTATCCGAACTGCGACGATGCCACGTAGGTTCATTGGGGAACCATGGGAAAATGTGAATTTAACATTCAGCGTAAATGAATTTTCTTTAGAACTGCGGAATCGAACTTGTTCACAAAGCGTTCTACAACACAATATTCTGAAACTCGTTTGGTAGTATCTTAACTCTTGCTCTGTATTTTTACGCGTAATAAGTGTCGACCAATCCAAAATTTATAATCCTGAGCGTGTTAAAAATGGACGAGTTCGATTTAAAATTTTCGTTCGCAATGAATGTTGCGAAAAACATGTCCTCTTGTTCTAAACGTTTGAAAACTCTTCTGCGTTGGAGACCATGTTCTGCATTTATTTTTTCCTTTGTTGGTTTCAGAATCCTGATGTACCAAAATAAGAGGAGGAGTGAAATGTTCAATGCTATTGATCTTGATCCTTACGGGTCGCCTGTGAAATTCTTGGATGCCGCGGTGCAGTCTGTTTCCGACGGTGGATTATTACTGGTGACTTGTACAGATATGGCGATCCTTTGTGGGAACACGCCGGAAAAATGTAGAGCTTCGTATGGTTCTACGCCTTTCAAGACCAAGTCTTGCCACGAATGGGTGAGTCGTGGATCTAGATTGATGTTTAAATTTGATTCTATTGAGGGTTGCTTCGATTTCTGTCGTATTCCTTGATTCCCAGAAAATATGACCCATTTATAAATACTGTACTTCAGCACGATTTCCATTTTTCAAGCAATTGAAGTTTTCTTTGCTGAACTGCTGATGAATTGAGAAAGCCAACGATTCACCCTGTACGATATTTAGTTTCTGGGAAAACTGATTATTTCTAAGTACAGTATGTTGAACTGAAGATGTGAATTAAGTACGGTTTACGGCTTTACGCCCTATCACAACAGTGACTATTTTCCATGGTGGACAGCATGAAGTTTACTTTTGATCCATAGATTGAAGATTCTATTTGCAGGCATTCGAGGCACAAAAAAAAAAAGGTTGCAGCGTATCGTAACTACATATTCATAGCTTTCATGCATGATAAAATGTTTTGTTCAATTTGAAAAATCCGTCCGAAAATTCCAAGTTTATTTTATTGAACCGAGCCCACATGAAATTTTTGTTTCATTTTTTTCGTGGAGACTATCAATGAGGTCTGTCTTGCTTATGTAGAGCGTAGGATCCGAAAGTAGTCGATTTTTGCGTTTTACTCTTTGAGGAAACCGTAGGACGATGGCTACGGATGCAATTGCAGGTATTATTTTTGTGCGACTTGAATGATGAAGCTTCTTTTTTCAGGCGTTGAGAATCGTTCTTCACACGTTGGAATCCGCAGCAAATAGATACGGGAGATACATTCAGCCACTACTGAGTGCTTCGATAGATTTCTATTGCCGGCTCTTTGTTCGGGTGTACACCGGTCAGGCTCAGTGCAAAATGTCTGCAAGGCAAGTAAAATACTGTACAAAATTATTTTCAGCATCATGTTAAACTTCGTGAAGCACGAATCGTTCGTATAGCAAATTATTTTTACAAATTGCGCGGTGCTTCTATTGATAATGTCTGGATCCTTAATTTTCAACACTATTATATTGTCTTCATGAAAAAATATGTGCAGTATATATATATATATATATATATATATATATATATGCAGTACAGTATATCTTGTTTTTTTTACAAGAATCAAACGTAATTTCCTTTCACTTCAAATTTCAGTAAGATCAGCAACGCGTATCTGTGCAGTTACTGCGAAACAACGTGGCTACAGCCGGTTATGCGACTGATGCGAGGACTACCTACTCCTCACTTCCGATTTCCTGTCGGTCCACCGGTTACTGAAAAGTGTTGTCACTGCGGATCGTCATTGCATGTGAGTCGACTAGCCAGAAGAGAACAAGATGATCCCTTCAACTTCATCGTTATTTTGACTGTAAAATTTAACCAGAATTTATTACTGTACAGTATTTTAAAAACTTTTTGAATGTGTTTTTTTTCAGTTTGGAGGTCCGTTTTGGACTGCGCCGATCCACGATAAAATTTTCGTCGAAAGATTGCTTAAATCCATTCAGGGCGAGTCTTCAGAAGAAGACGCCAAGAGCGATTTCCACACAAAAAGTAGAATGATCGGAATGTTGAGTACAATAGCGGAAGAACTCGACGATTGCCCGGGATTTTTCTGCATTGATCGCCTGGCTGGTTCCATGAAAACCCGTGTGCCGAAATTTATTGACTTTAGGTGAGAAGACCCACTCTTTTTCTTTTACTGGGAAGTCAGTGCGCGATGTAATTCATTTTTAAAATTAAGAGGTTGAATCGAGTTTGTCTGTGTGCGAAGAGTGTCTTGGATTTTATGTGGAAGTTGAAGTCTTCTTTGTTACGACGAATGTTCTACATGGAAGCATTCGTGGCGTTTGTCAAATTTGGAGACCGGCAACAACGTCCTTTTCTGAATGCTTTTTCCTTTTTGTGTTCGGGACAAGAAGGTATTTTCCCGCGATCGCCCGACGAGCCCGATGACTTAAATTTTGCAGAATGGGTGTCGCTTGAATTTCCTTGCGCCCTGATTTTTGCGAGGAAGCGTTTGTTTGGCATCGATCAGGCATTAAGTGAAGATTATTGTTTCAGGCGACACCTGCCTGACTACTATAAAATCAAGGTCTAGCGTTGAAATCAAGAAACAAGGAATTTTCAATTTCTTGTTCTTTTTTTATTTTTCCTATCAGGTCAGCAATCTTGAATGCCGGATACCAGGTGTCAATTTCTCACGCGTGTCCGACTGCCGTGAAAACGAGTGCCCCGGCAAACGTGGTTTGGGACTTGATGCGATGTTTCGAAATGGATAACCCTGCATCGCGTGAACGATTGGAACAGGATCCCGTTGCCAATTCCGCTGCGCTGATGCTTTTATCTCGGGTGCCACAGGTTAAAGCAAATTTCGAACGACGAGAAGACGCCAATCCGGACAGTAGGAAACTCGGGTTGAAGCGATTCCCCGAGAATCCGGCTGCCAATTGGGGACCTAAATCGAGGGCGAAAACTGGGTAATTTTATCTTCTTTTTTCTCTCTTTTGTTGAAGACGGATCGAAAAATGGGACGATTTCTAGATTATAATGATTATTTTGTTGCGAAATTGTCTTTTGAAAAGTTTGGTTATGGAATTTACATGTGCTTGTAAATTTCCGAACGTAATCTAATTTCTGAAACTTGTTTTGTTTTTGTAATCCTCAGCGTTTGTCAGATTTAACTGGGATAATCCATTGAAAGAAACTTTTTTTAAATGGTCTCGTCTGTGCCCTTTATTCGTAGCATTTGGATTATTAAAGAAACTAAAATTGATAAAATGGCAGCAAAAATTGTGAAAGGTTATGATATAATCAAATCTAGATATTATACGCAAAATAGGAAGGTAAGAAAATGAATGCACAACTTCTTCAAAATACCGAGAAATCATTATTTCTGACTGAAATGATTATTTCTTCGATATTCGTTGGGTTACCTGTCAGTTATATTTTCAAATGATTACGCGTTCATTCTTTCTTAATTCGTTAAAAAAATCCAAGCTTTCATTGTAAGATGCCAAAATGCTTTTGTTGATACTTTTTTGTGATCTTCTGGATTCCGTGATTCGATTCGAGGTATTTTTTTTACACAGAACACTGGGGAAGAGTGTTGAGCAAGAGAAAAGCAAGAAAAATCAGGGCAAAAGAACGCAAAACAAACACTCGTCGGAAACTTCTGACGAAGGCCAGGAAGATTTGAAACGTTTGAAAACCCTCGACGCGCCGATTGTGATTGAGGATGAGAAAAGAACTGTTTCTGAATGATCTCAAAATCGTTTCAATCGAAAAGTTTCACCTTTGGACGATGCTTAACTTACGACGTTGGTGATGCAAGGAAGAAAGCTCTTCGGAGTGCTTATTTTTTCATGGGCTACGTTGTTGTGATGGAAGTTCGTTTATGATTTCATTACTGTAGAAGTAAAGAACCCTTTCATTCTCAAACAACAAAAAGTGTTTCCATGGTTGATACTGTGCATTTAGTAATTTCGAAAGAGTCTGTCGAGGCTCGTCCAAAGGCGATGAACGTTTACACGAATTTCCGAATACTTTTTTTTTCATTTAATTACTATTCACTCTTCACCTAAGGTTGTGAACTGTGCGAGTCAGTGTGTTGTTTTTTGTGTGATCTCGTGTGAATCTCGCTTGCAATGATTTTACGGAAACGCCGGCGGAACTGAATCAGTCACATGGCTTATCCAAAACGATGGAGTCGCCGAACCACGATTATACTGCTGTCCTGTGCTGCCTTGGCTTTACTCAACCTCGCTTTGGGCGGGAATCAATACAGGTACAATATACTAATATAGCACTAGTCGAAGTCCAAGTAAACCTCCGAAAAACTTGAGCGTTTGATGTAGAAACCCCAATATTTTCGCAGAAGAAAAATAATTGTACGAAGTTACAATAGGTGATCTTCTGGGCCTTAAAATGCTTTGTGGCATTTAGTCACTCAATTCCTTTTGAAATGCATCAATTTACTTTTTTTTTTTACATTTGTATGTGATCTTTCCTGGGTTACCAGAATAACGGCTCCAAAAATTACAGTTACTTAGTTTCGAGGCGGAAAAGTATTTGAGTTAGAGAGGTCATGTATTGCATGGTTTCTTATAGGAATTCAGATGGGGACTGGCAGAAAATTTGAGAGGTCTGTAATTACAGTACAAGAAATACGTACCCCACGTAAAATTGAAGCTTATTTGGTTTACTTGCGAAGTTTACTGAAAAAAGGGTGGGAATCATGAGAGAGTATTAATGGTCTCGGGGGCCAGTTTGCCTGTGTGGACATTTTTGAGAGACCTTCGTAAATGTGGTTCATGACGGAAATATTGCTCCTTAAACAATAATTTGAAAAAAAAATCGCTTTTTACCTCAAATTTAAGCATATTCTAATAACTTGCAAATGTTTCCCAGAAAGGGCAGATAACGTGTGAAAATGGAATTGATCGCCTCCGTTTGTCGTATAGAATGTTGTATAGAGGACCTCGTAATGGTGGTCCATGACAAAAAAATAAAGCTCCTGCAACGATGAATAAAAAGCGTACTGTGCATAAAATTTAAGCTTATTCGGTTCAATTTTAAATGTTGCTCAGAAGGCACTGATTTTTTCCGACGTATGTTCGCTTAAGCACGCAATTTTTAGAGACGCTCGTAATGGCGGGGGAAGAAAGTTCATGGAACATTAAAGAAAAACAGTGTGAAAATATTATGGTATGAAAATTTCATTTCAGTGTCGGAGCTCTGCCGAGACTCGTACGCGATGCCTGGGACACGATGTCGTGGAATGTGCGGTCAGTGCGGACTTACTCCTTGGACGAGATTCGTCAAATTCTCAATTTGACTGACGATGCGGAAGAAGCTGTGCGTTGGGCGGAACGAGTTAATACCACGGAAGATGCCAGGGTTGGAGGCGACGTCAATGTGATCGGAAACGTATCTGCGTTGTTCGGGCATGGGTCAAAATGTCCTCCTGTTCCTCCTGATCTTCGTGAGTGAAATTTATTTGCCTTATGTTCGTGTTTTTTTTCTTTCTCTCGTTCAAACAGTGTTTGCTTTTGGAACCTGCATCATTTCCGTTTTTATTCGGTTTATTTCTATCACAAGAAGTACTGTATTACGAGATCGACTGCAAGTGGAATTCTATTATAACGCATTTTTCCGATATCACATATTTTTATATTGTAGTCCCGAAAGAAACTCCATGGACTTCTTACTACGGAAATTCCGTTTCGCAGCAGAATCTCGTTACAGTCAAAATATTGGGGAGAGGAAGCATTCGTTATTAAAAAATTCGTAATGAAGAATTTCAAATAACATTCTAGCTATCGCTGAAGTACGCAAAAAAGCGAATTAGTTTTAAATAAGAACGAATCATCGCCAAGATTAATGTCAAGAAATTTATGTAATTTGAGATTCGTTGCAACGAGATTATACTCCGCAGTAACACATTTTCAGAAATACAGTGAATTTCTGTAAAGCGATACTGCATTTTGAGAACGTTTTGATCTTTCCAGTGAATTTTGTTCATAGCGTATGCAGAACCCGTATAATTTGTCGGATATATGTGCCCTTGTAGTGTTGTAGGTTGTTGCTGATCTCGGAAGTTGATAGGAAAGAGACATTTCCCGCAAATTTTAATTTCCCTTTTCACTTCAACATTCTTCAAATATGGGATTGTTTAGCTCTGATGAATGGAAAAAATCCTCTCCTTAACATAAGTTTTCCCTTAATATTTTTCCCGTACTGTACTTTGAAAATCCAGGAAATTTGAGCTATCTCCAAGAGGGAATAGTTTGGTGAAAATTGAATAAAATTTTCGCGTTCCTGCCACTAGCATCAAAAATTTTTTTTGACACACATTAGAAAAAGCAATTTCACCTGATTTACATGTAATGTATTTAATTGGAAAAAAAATGGAGAGAGATTTCAATTATATGAGTTCAGATTGCTGGAATATTGACTGTTCCTGCGTGTTTTTCCACCAAACAGTTGGACTAATGGAGATGAACACCTCTGACGTTAGCTGGGAGACCATCATCGCGGAGAATCCGGAAGTGGAACCCGGGGGTCGTTACAAACCGAAAAACTGCATTTCCAGAAACCGAGTTGCCATTATAGTGCCATACAGAGACCGAGAGGCTCACCTTCGAGTGTTTTTGCGGCATTTACACCCGATGCTCCGGCGACAGCAGCTCGAGTACGGGATTTATGTGATTGATCAAGTCGGTGAGCGATCTGAACCCCTTTTTCGTGATCATATTTTTGAACAAAATTATGATTTTTGTTATTTTCAGGGAAAAGGCCGTTTAATCGTGCAATGCTTTTCAACGTTGGCTTTTTGGTGTCGAAAAAGTTGTTCGATTACGAATGCTTCGTATTTCATGATGTCGACCTGATCCCCGAGGATGACAGGAACTTGTACAGTTGTCCCGAAGAACCGCGTCATATGTCCATCGCCATCAATGATCAGGGATACAAGTACGTTCATTTCGAACCAATTTTTTTCAGACTAAAAATCCTTGTTTTTAACCACGATCTGAGACACGAGACCAAAAATCTCTGGGACCAAAAAATACTGTAGATGATCTTACACTTCATATCGTTGTAGAAAATGTTGAACGTTGAAGGAAGGTATGTCTGCTGGGGCCAAAATGCTGCAAAATATTATTGAATATTGATATCGCTGTGGGCGTTCTGAGAAGGAATAATATTGCAATAATCCGTCAGAAAAGATCTTCGTATTGGAGAAAAAGTCCAAAATTTTTTGGCAGGCTTTTTTCATTGTCCAAAAAATGTACCATTCATCTCCGGAAATGTTCCATCATTCAATGTGATATACGGTGCTCAAGATTTAAAAAGTTTTAGTAAGCTGTCTGTCATGAAAATTCGTGGAAGGAATCTACAATGTCAAAAAAATATTTGATTAACAATGGCAGTGTCTTTTTTGGTTTATTTCCCCGAAAATTTGTTGTTCATCCTCGTTTTATCTACTACTACTACCGCAGATTGCCGTACGATAATATTTTTGGCGGTGTGTCGGCAATGACAAGGGAACAGTTTGAGACCGTGAACGGCTTCAGCAACAAGTTCTGGGGCTGGGGCGGTGAAGACGACGAGATGTACGAGCGTTTGAAAAACTCTGGATTTCGGGTTTCCCGTTACCCCATGTCAATTGGACGCTACACTGCCCTGCAGCACGCCAAGGCGAAACCCAATCCTCGACGCTATCACTTGCTGCACGCTGCGAAGAATAGGATGTCCATCGATGGTCTCGACACGATTCGCTACGACATCGTCGACGTGGTGTTGAAGAAGATGTACACTAGTGTTTCCGTGAGGCTGTTTCCGTCGTGAAAGAAGAGTTGTGACGGTTTCTTTTCCGCTATTATTTTGCCCCATATTTTGAGTCGAGTGCGGTTTGAATGCGAAAGCGGTCTTCAACAATCGCCTTTCTTCCCCCTGTTGAAAACTTATGCTTAAAAAACGGAAGGAAATCCAGAGTGAAAATGTCTTCGCAGAGCGTTGAAAGTTGCCAGTTTTCAAGAGGAATGTTCGCTGACGAGCTTTAGGTGTTTCCAGAGTATCCAGACTCAATTTACCAAGAGTTCGTTGTAAGTTTTCTAAATGTTTTCGTCAAGTTACTGGAAGGAGATAATCAGGTTTTTAGTCGTAATGTGTCAGAGCACGTGCAGCTGTTGAAAGTATATGCTGATGAATTTTAAAAAGCTTGGCGTTGAAAGAAGTCTTTAGAGAATGCGCCTATGAAAGAAACTCTGGAGTAGTAGAAAAAAGATTCCGTAGAAAATTCAAAACTTCAATTTAACTAGCTTTTCTCTTTTTTCGCGTTCGAAATTGTCTTGAGAGAAGTGTTTCCCACCTTTCAGAACTCCCGAATTAAGTCAAATTTTTAGTTGGCTGGGAAATGCAGAAACTAATATTTTAACCCGTCAGTAACCTAACCTGGAATATTGGGAAAAAAAGGCTTTTTTTGTAAATTAAGATGTTGAATCTCCTAAGGAATGTCAAGAATTTTTGTGTGCGTTTTTATATTTTTAGTCATAGTTTTTAATTCTAGTATTAACTATTGTAACAGAAATTTTTTTTCCATCATTTAATGCTTGCTTCTAATGCTCAGGATGTCGGATGAAAAATCGCTCAAGGTGTAAATTTTAGAATCTCGAGAAAGCGCCAAATTTGTTTTTTAAATCAGTGTCTTTCTTCCTTCCCCATTAGAGTCGATTGAAGTATTGATGCTTCCAAGCTGTGATTGATGCAGATGCTCCCTGAGAAATTCGTTTAAAAAGTCGTGCGATTTTGGTTTTAACTCGAGAATTTTTTTGCCAGTAGATTTTTCCCTCTCTTCTTTTTTGTTTTCGAATGAGAACTGCTTTAAGTTGATTTTTTTAAAGTAGATTTTCCAAGTTTTTGTACGACTGCCGTAATTTTCAAGTTCGTCCGTATGCTTTGATACGGTTTTTTCTTTCGGGTTGGGATTCTTGCGTAATTTCTGTTTCTTTCATCGGGCGTGAATGAATATTCGCGAAGCTTTAGCCATTTTTGAGATTACTGTATTTCTCGCAAAATTTCGGTTCTTCCTGGAAGAAGTCGGATGGGAAATTTCGAAAGGAAATGCAGAGGGTGTGATGGTCTCGCTCTATCGCCAGTGATTTTCATTTTGCGATATGGACATTTTGCAGTTATCTTGTTCCATTTGTCGCGCTTTTTTATTTATTATTAATTTATTTTTCAGGATTTGAAGATGAAAGGGAGGTTATCTCCGCGTCGCTTGCTTCTCGAACAAGTGAGTTTCAATGTTCAAATTTTTAAATTTAAAATATGCGAAGGTATTTTGGTTTCCATGGAAGCTCAAGCGTTCTGCGGAAAACTTTGCAGAATCTTTCGATCATCAAATCAATCAAAGGACTAGCTCAAATGAGATTACGAATTCCTATTTGAATCCGAAAATAGGCAATTTCACTCGCTAGTATTTTAAGGGAAGCTTCTTTGTGTTGATTGGGAATATTTTGATGATTACGCTGTTCGAAAAAAGAAAACCTAAAAATTCCACACGATTCATCCTACACCATGAAGACCAGTGGAAAAAATTCGGCTCTCTTTTTTACCTATTCCCATTTATTTCTTCTTCTATAGAAAATTTTAAAATTTCTGATTTTTTTCATGATGCCTTTCAAGATCTCGGTACTTTAAATTTCGACCCACGTTTTCCGCAGAAGTACACAATATTCAAATAGAAGAAGGTGGAATTAAATCGAAGCTATTCTGGAAAACGTTTTATTCTTCCACATTACGGTGCTCACGAGACCCAAATTTGATTTCGCTGTGCAGAATTTTTTTTGCAAAGAAGCTGCATGGAAGGTCTGCTGATGTCCTGAAACAATTCTTCGCATGTGGAATAGGGCTGTCGAAAAAATGGTTGAATTCCCCCTTTGAATGTCTTGGAAGAAATATTTTTCTTCTGGAATTGCTAGTAAACAAAATCATTCGATGCCCCGCACTCGATTCACAAACATATCGAGATAAACAAACCATGAGATCGTATTTTCTTGTACGATAATGGCTTCGAGGTTTATGTTGTAACTAACGATATTTTCTGATCACAGGTCGGAGGAACATGGAATTCGACGCCCACGACCGAGGAACTGTCAATAAGCAGATTTCGCGCCGGAAGAATTTCTGCCGGGATGATCCGAGATGAAAATTTGAAGCTTGGATTTCAGCTCATGGCCCCGAATGGTTTAACGAGAACGAGACACTTGAGTGCTAAAGGCGACGTTCACTCCATCTTACGACGTTTTGCAGTTTCAGCACCGTTTGTGTATGTTCTTGTTACATTTCTTGATTTTGAATTTCCAAGCTTACCGATTCGAATTGATGATTGTTGGAAGTTGATCGAAGAGCACTCGCTGTGTGAGGCCTCGAGATGCGAACATGATTACTTCTCGCACTCTATGTCCATATGTCTAAACATCCGCAAGTTGGACCACGTTTTCCCGAAGGCTTCAATGGGAACATTTTTATTCACTTCTGTTGGGCAAGAAAATTTGAAACAGTCTTAAAAAAAAGCAGTAACGAATGTTTTTCTCAACTTTGAAGTGTTCAAAAAAAAACTGCAGAAGAAAGCCACACAGAATCTTACCGTTTGGCATGAAAAGAAGTTCAAAACGCAGAAAACGTGCTCCTGAACTTCGACGTTGATAGAAAAAACTTGGAAAATCGAAGCGTAAAATCAGCCTATTTTGGACAATTAATTTTAGGTAATTTATACTGATGAATGTACATATTTTCAATTTTAGTCCATAGCTCAATTCGTTGGGGTTATGTCAAAGTTGTAAAAACGTAAGATTTTTTTTCTAAAAGAAAAATGTTTGCAAATTGTTCCATTCAATACTGCAACTGAGGTGATTTAGAAGAACATTTTGGGGTTCTGTATGTAAAATTCAGCCATGATGACTTCATTTTGGTGCATGGAACACCCAACAAGACGACATTGATTCACAATTGAATTTCTCAAATGATTATTTCTCTATAGTTCTGCGGAAGAGATGGAAGCTCCTAGTGCGGATGACAGAGGGTTGATGGAATTCTACGTTGACCCTGCGGAATTTCTGAAAGGAACTTTGGAAACAATTCACGACCGGCCGGAAGATTTTTGGAAGCATAATATGAAGCTCGACGCTCGTCCAGCCGGAAACCTTGTAGTTGAATTCAGGTGCGAACTTCTCATTAATCAAAAAGGAATCCTGAATTTATTTCAACGGTAAAATGTCAATCTTCTGTCGCCGTTCTGCTGTATGTTCATCTCTCAATAGAAGTTCTGTGCAGTAGTATTGTGACCAGAAAATAAATTTACTTTGCAATTCACTCGTGGCCGCGCAATGCTGTGAAAGAAGTTCATTAGCAATTTCTACTGCGTGAATGACTTTCGTGTCTGGACTAGAGTGATGAGAAATCTCGGGAATATTCGAACCCAAGCTCAATCTGGATGAGAGCACAGTGAAGTGCATTTGAGTGACATCTACCTGCCCGAAAATAGTAATTTATGGTGATGAGAGTACATATAGATTACAGTACGATTAAAAAAAGGGATTTATTTCATGGATTTCCTGATTCAAATTTTTCGTTCGGATTTCGAGGATGGGATTTTGATTCCCGGCATACGATTTCCGTTGAAGCCGAATCTCTTGAAATTCTGAAAAGATTTTTGAGGACGTATTAAAATTAATTGTGCACATTAAGGACGAGGGGTCTAACAGAAGTTCTCGGGATGAAAATTGAAATGACGCATGATTGAGGTAAAAAAAAAAACAATTATTGTTGAGAAAAATCTGTCTCTTGAACAAGAAAAGAAAAAGAATGTTTTTTCTGAACGATAATTGTTTTTCATCTCAATCGTATGCCGTCTCAGCTTCTATTCTAAGAACATTTGTTCGACCCCTCGTAATGCTCAAGTGACATTTGAATCTTTTGTGATTACTGAAATTGATCTCTCTTTTTTTAAATTTTATTTATTCAGTTCCCCCAACATAGCGAAACCCTTCCACATGGGCCATTTGAGATCGACTCTGGTTGGGAATTACGTCGCCAACGTGTGTCGTGCAATGGGTGATGTGGTTACTACAATGAACTTCTTGGGAGACTGGGGAACCCAGTTTGGACTTCTGAGTCGAGGTCTCGAAGATGAACCCGGGTGGAAGGAAGAACTGATGAAATCGGATTCGCCGCTTTCCGTGCTTCAACGGATTTACATTTATGCAAATTCTCTGGCGGACGAGAATAAAGAGGTACCTGTAATTTTGATTCCTATCGTATTTTGAAATTACACTGCAGAACCCGGGGTTTACAGCTCCTTATAGAAGACTCAAAGCACCTGTAGTTGATTTGCTCCTTGACTCATGACCCGGAATCGAAATAGAATTCAAAAAAGACGAACACCTTGTTGACATTCAATTCACGAATAAAGAATGTGGATATTTTGTCTTGGAGCGAAAAATAGTGAATGCTATTTTTTGCGTAATGGCTTGATAGTTTTAAAATGACGGTTGTGCTGACATTTTATTCTTGAATTACTTTCTGGATGTTTCTTTCGTATCCCTTGCCTGCGAAGGATACGAGAAAAATGTGAAACAAACGTTTCGATGAAAAAAAGTTATCATATGAAGCAAATGCAACAAAAGGGAAAATGCTAAAATGTCCAAATCGAGATTGATCATGTTTTTCCGAATTTTCGAACGATTTAATTCCCCAAAAATAGGACCTGGTTAAAAAAACAAGATTAGCTCAATTTTTGAGAGGTTTTAGTCCCGTAATATTCCGTCAAAATAAATTATTTTCAGGGGTATTATTACTTCATCTTTCTTCCAATTTTTTTTAGCTAATTAATGAACCTATTCTCATGTCTGCAGTTCCTCCAGGATGCCTTGGCCAAGTTCAAACTACTAGAAGAAGGAAATCCCACCGTTGTGGCCGATTGGCAGCTGATACGTGAACTCTCTCTCAAAGAACTCCGAGCGACCTATCGTCGGCTGGGCATCCATTTCGATTTCTATGAAGGCACGTAGAACCGTTAAAAGAGAAAATAAAACGTAATTTCAATGAAAATGCCGTTTCTGCAGGTGAATCCCAATACCAGAAATTGACGGTGAAAGATCTCGTTGAAACGTGGAAAACACGCGACGAGGTGCTGGAGGACGACAATGGCAGAGTAGTTGCGCACCTCAAAAACGGAAAGAAAGTGAGTTCAACGATTCATCGTATTTTTCTCGTTCGAAAACTTCGTGAAATCATTTTTCCCGGAAATTTAATATCTAAAAAGCTCCTATACTCTCTTACAGTCAGTTTTACACTCACTTTCTGCACCCACAACCCCTTTTAATTCGAAACCATGCTTTCTTTAGCATAAGCTTACGGTATTGAACCTTCATGTCAAGAAGGCTAAATTTCGGGTTTCCAGGCAGACCGCATTATTTGTGTGCATCCCCTTTTTTTTATCAGATATTCATCAAAACTCGATCTTCTTGACCCGATGGGTGCTTCTTAGAATATATTTTCTGCGTTTGTTCCGAAAGATTTTGCTCATTTGGTTGAAATTAATTAATAGTCGACCCTATATCTAATATCTTGCGAAGAAATATCTTGTGCGAATATTGCGATGCAAAAAAAGACAACGTCGAATATCAGCCTTCATTTCTTGAATTGCGAAACATATATACAATATAAGAGTCCTCGCCAATTAATTTCTGGACTCCGCGGAGCACTATTTGAGAATCTATGGATAAGAACACACGTTGAGTATGATCTTCTCTTCATAAAAAAATTTTAAATAGACGAAATGTTCCCTTGAAGAAACGCGGAGAAATTCTTACCATTTATTTCAAATTCTTTATAACACAGGTGACACTATTGAAGAGCGATGGGGCTTCAATCTACCTTTCCAGAGACATCGCTAAGCACGTGAATTTTGGGAGAATTTTGGGCATGAGTACGAGGCGAGGAACCGCGGTGATGTTGGCGGACATCTTGGATGAGGCTCGGGACCGAATGGAGGCTCAACAAGCCATTTCACCGAGTGAGTTTGTGATTTTTTTTATATTCGTTCACGTTACTGCGATTATGCTCGTATTGATTTGTCATTGATTCTATGACTTCGAACTCTCTCCGACTTTAAGCACTGAATACTTAATTTTTCTTGATAAGAAAGATTTACAGGAAATTGTAATCAAGGATATTCTGGGCCAGAAATAGCCTCTTAAATGAGTTAAGCGGAAGCAAGTGTTCATTTGCCCAATTATTCTTTCAATTCCTTCCAAAACAGATGAATTTTATCAGTTTGAGAATTATTTCTCTCTCGTCAAAACTATCAATTCAATGTGCTATACAGTATTTGTTTTCTCGTATTCTAGACACACGGGCAACAGATGCAGAAACCGTGGAGACTCTAGGACTAAGCTGTTTGGTCATCAATGTCCTAGCTCAGAGACGAGTCAGAGATTATGAGTTCCGGTGGGAACAAGCGTTAGCTGTGAGTTGGTCCGAAAAAAAAATTGTCAAGTTGCTAGAAGTTTTTAAAATTTTCTACGGATAATTTTCAACTTTTTCTCACTGAGATTCTGTACAGTATCAAGTAATTCGTACAACGTTTCAATTACTGCACTGATGGACCGAATCTCGATTCTTTCATTATTTTTCAGAGCAAGGGAGACTCAGGAGTTGCTTTGCAATACTGCCATGCTAGGCTTTGCAGCTTGGAGGAGAAATGTGGAGTTGATGTGGTCGATTCTTTGACCAATGAACACTTACAGTCACTGCTGAGGTCGCCTGAGGCCATATTGCTTACTGCCGATTTAGCGAGGTATGCACAATACTGTATATTCTTTCTTCTAGAATGATCTGCCATATTATTCTATGGCAGATTTTCTCAATTTGCGTTGTGCATAACCTTCATAGAGATTCCGCCACATTCAAGAAAAACAATGCAGGAAATTTTTGAGTTGAAGCAGAGACACAAAACAGATCTGCTGCAGATAATTAGTGGGAACCTGTGGGGTCATGATTTATAGTGGAAAGGTTCCTCATAACGAAGAACTCATACAAAAAATTGCTTCGTGTAGAATTTTGCTTATCATTTCTTTAAATAAATAAATCTCGTACATGGAGGATTTGTTTCACATAAAATTTGGAAAAAGAAAAACTGTACTATTTCGTTGAAACGTTTTGACGGATAAAATGTTATTGGCTTTTTAGCCCCACAGTTTTGTAAATTTCAGAACTAAAATTCCACGATTACTTATATTTCATACTGAACGAGTTCGTCCACACGATTTCATATTTATAACTTGCTGAATTAGTCACTCAAAAAGGTTCATGAAGGATATTTTCTGTACTCCTGAAAGGAGTAGATATATTTCAATTATAATTTGAGGAAAAACATGTTTTGCCGACTAAAAATCATCGTGCAATGGTCCATGTTTTTTGAAGGGTTCCACGATGCAAAGAATGGTTCAAGTACTTCTAATATCGAATCAATAATTACAAGAAATCCCGGAGACCTTCAATTCCAACAATTGAATATATTTTTAAGAGGCTCTTCATGTTAATAAGATCAAGTTATTTATTCACAGAATTACCAATTTAAACCTAGGACTTTATATTAAAACGAGAGGGAGTCTAAACTTCTACGGAACATAGTTCCTATACTCTTTAAACTCAGAGTCGACTACCACCTAATAGAGTACTTTGACTTCTAAGTCACATTTCTGGGGAAAAGTAGAGTTAATTGCTTTCTGTAAAAATGGTTTTCATCTCCCTTGCAGAGCCAATATAAATCGGGCATTCAAAGTGTTGCCAGTCAAGGGCCGATCCGCATTTGACGCAGAAGCTCGGATGATGCTTTTCCATTGTGCCAGAATGGTGCTCAGTAGTGGCTTGAAAATTCTGGGTGTCCAGCCTCTTGCTGCCATGTGATAATTGTTGAGTGTCCAGATCAGTTCCTCGTTTTTAGTCAAGGTTTGAAGAAAATGTGTCGAAGTGACTGATAATGCGTGTCTCCTTTTTCCATGATTCAAGTTCGACACAAAAACTAATTTACTGTTATACGTGGGAACATTATGTTTACATCAACATGAATTAACTGTAGGTGACTTACTAATTCGAAGTACAGCATTGGTGTCAAATCAAGTCGTTCAAGGCCTGTCTATTTAGCCACATTTCTGGAATGCCAGAATCACACCCTAACGAAAGCAACGTAACTGACATGATATAACACTAGCACAGCAACGCAGCACCACATTTGAGGTGTGGTCATCAAGAGTATCACAGATCTTGCTTGAACTTTTGCAATGCCTTGTCTAAACGCTTTGCAACTATATCCACTTCTTCTGGCTTCATTCCAATTGCTGCTGCTACCGTCAAGTAGGCACTTGGGTGATCATCAGCATGTGCTCCCCAGCCTGCGCACAACAATTTTCAAATTATCCCACAATGACATTTTAAGCATATCTTTGAACAAGAGGCATCCAGGAAACGATCAATATATCCTCAATAATAAATAAATATTGCCTATTTGATAGGAGTCAATTGTATCTTTATGAAGGTAAAAGTAAATTGGAACACAACTGCATCAAATCACTGTACCAAATAATGGAACAGGCTACACTTACATACCTGTAAGCTGTAGGTAATCTTCAAAATCTGCGAGCGCAGGATTAATGTCAATGATACTAATAAATACTTGAAAACATCGTGACAATTTCATGGACATCAGCAAATTTTTTTCGTTCCAAAGCTTATTCAGCTAGTGTCAAATACAGTATACTTCACTACGTTTCCAAAATTAGAAAAGAAAAATGTTCCTAGAGATAGCCATTGTTTTAACATTTTGTAAATATCACAAAATTCATCCTCACCACATAATCGAACATCAGCCACGGTTTTCGTTTCCAATCCAGAAACGACTCTAGCCCCCGAAACATTCCTAGTAAACAACATAGATCCCAGTTTGGAAACGTCTTCTTTCGGGTAATTGTCGAGCGTAAATGCTGTAGATAAAACGTTACAAATGAAGTGTCTCCCAGAATTTTTCGCAATGCAAAATCAACAAGTACTAACCCAAAGAAATATTGTTACTCTTCGTTTCCAAGATTCGCTCCCCGTGTTTTGCAGCTACGATCTGCAAAGCCGACTTCAGCTTCTCGTAGATCGTTTTTCTTTGGCTCAAAAGTTGCTTGTACCTGTTTACGCCCAATTCCAGCAAAGTCATCAGCACGTCTAATGAAGGTCCACACGATGCCCGACCTTTACGAGATAATGAGACGAATCTTAGAAATGAATGAACAGGAGCCCGAAACGTTATTCAAAATCCTAGAATCTTGTAACTTGCGTTCAAACCTCATACATCCTCAATGTTTGGCCTATACGTCACAAAATACTTTAAGCAAATGTACTGTACTGTATTATCAAAAGTCTTCTGAGAAGCACATCATCTCAAGTCTTTGTCCAAAACGGATCATGAATTTTTTCCCTTCGAATTCCTTTTCTGTTCAGTTCCCTCAATTCACAGGAGAGAAACAGACATGAGATTCGCTATTAGACGGGGAAGTGAAGTGCTTTTCGGAGTCATGAAATTCAGAAACGCTGATGATTTGACATTCAAATTTTGACTCCTCAACCCGTTTCCTTGCCTGGACTTCTCGTGATTTTTGCGATTCCAGGAAATGAGAAAGGAGCTGTTTAAGAAGGGTTGAATTTCAAAAGGGTACATTTTCGCTGTGAAGGAGAACCAGAAAATACGTATACAGTATACTCGAGCACCTGGCGTACCTTTCTCTTCAAACTGACAGGGAAAAAGGGAAGTGAGCATCATAGGCAGGTAAAAAAAGGTTCTAAAAATTCAGAATTTTAGGTGCGCATTATATTTTACTCTAAAGGTATATTTTGGACTGGTTCTATCATAAAAAAAAAACTTATTTCAAGGGAACAACTGAAATTAGTTGAATTCGATATCAATCCATGTCTAAAATCAAATTTGGGTGTTGGTATTTTCGAAATATTGAACTTTAAGAGGCACTAAGAATAGGCTGCACTTGTTACTCGGGTGATAAAATTGCATAAAAATCTATAGACTGCAAAACTTGGGTGTGTGTCTTCATTAAGGGCGCTTAGAACTAGAGTAAATGCGGCTTTAAAAACTAGAATTTCTGTGTTTAGGAAATGAGTTTCTAACGCAGGACTCGTTGACTTGGGCATCACAACAGATTTACTCGTCATTTATTTACTTGTTTAAATGTCGAGAAAGAGCGCGAAAAAACTCACCAGGATACAATGCAGCGATGCTGTCCACAAACTCCTTATCGAACCCGGCAATCACGGCCCCACCCACAGGCACCATGAAATTCTTGTCGCAGCTCTGCACAAACACGTCCAAACGACCCACCCGTCGCGCCTCGTTCACCAAATGCACACACTTGCTGCTCTGCACCCCGTACGCATTATTCACCACCAACGGCACACCCTGATCCTTACACCACGTCGACAACGTCGGCAAATCATCGGGTGCCCTCGGCGCGAAACACGACGTCACCGCCAAAACCGCAACGACGTTCTCCACACCAATCGATTCCGCCGCTTCCGCTACACTCGACGCATCAGTCGTGATCTCGTCACCGCGTCGGGAATTGGCCACGACACATAACCGGAAACCCGCAGCTTCGACGCTTTTCAAGTGACTCTTTTGGTCGACGCGGGTGGCGATGACGTGAGTGGCGTTGGGTCGCATGTGGCGCAAGCGGAGAAAGCACATGGTGAGTGCCATGCCGGTCGCGAAGGGTGTGATGAAGCAGTGTGGCTTTGGTTGGATTCCAGCGAGGGATAAAGCGTGGGACACCAGGTGGTTCGTAAGGTGATTTATCAGCGAGGAACCCACGGCTTTCGGCTGCACCGCCAGAATGTCTCCCGAGCGCCCGATTCCGTGGCCCAGGTTATAATTCCTTTGAGCAACTAATACTGAGGGGTTAAAAAAGAAGAAGCAATGGTTGGAACTCGGCGAAATGACGCGACATCTATAGGCAAGCTCTCTTTCCGGCATAATTTATGTATACAGTTCAGGTTATAATTCCTTTGAGCAACTAATACTGAGGGGTTAAAAAAGAAGAAGCAATGGTTGGAACTCGGCGAAATGACGCGACATCTATAGGCAAGCTCTCTTTCCGGCATAATTTATGTATACAGTAGGACCCCCACATATGGACAAAAAAACCAATTGAACAACTGCCTCCAAGTTCAGCAAGCTGTTAGCTAATTAAGAAGTAAGTTTAGGCCCTGAATATCCTCATCTACAATTTCCCACAATTTTTTTACTTTTCCTCACAACAAAAATGTTTGTTTCCTTTACTCAAAACCTCCCCAAGTCAAATTTTCTTCTGGTCCCTAGAAATTTGACTTAAAGAGGTTCAACTGAAAAATGCAGGTATTGAAAAATTCCAAATAAATCTTACCACAGGTTTACTCAAATTCATAATCAAAAACAAGCACATTTTGAGCTTTTTCTGGAGTTTTTCCGTCATCTGGACATGAAGTATAGAAAAACTTGGTTTTGTTCTTCACTTCTTGAACCCGTTTTGATGCCAGAAGAACAGATTCTGTCTCCTTTTTTTTGTACAGTCATTGTCTGTTATGTATTTTTTAGTTGAGAAAAAATTATCATTCAATTGTATAATTCTCAATTTTTGATCAACTGGAGAACCAATTTAACCTCTAAATGGATGATGTGAATGTTTCCAAATTTTCATGGATATTCGAACAGAAGTATACGAATTAGAAGTCATTTACCTGAGAAAATGCGAGACTCTCGTTCTCCAGCGCCAACATTCCCAGGAAAGGCATTGGAATCCATGGCAGCGATTTGTCTCACAAACAAATCTATTTCGTTGACGGACCATCCAACATCAGGTATTTTCCGCTGTCAAAAGATTTTCAAAACTCATGAGGTTTGCGGAGGATTTTTACGGAAAAAGTTTGAAATAAACACGTGAATTGCAATAGGCAGTCAATTTTTTTTCTGGCACTTGTTCGAAGTGTTAATTATTAAATACTGTAGTTGAGCTCGGGAACTTCGACGAAGATAAGACATGAACGCACGAGAAAATAATGCTATTGGTCAATCACATGACGTGGTGCATATTTGATATACAGTACTGTATATAGCGCCAATTGGTGGAATCCTATTATTTAGAGAGACAAGGGATCCTCACTTGCGTGACTAGATGACGAATCCTCGAGGTAGATGCTAAAGCTGCGTCACGCGCCATATGCACATAATTCGCGGGAAGTAGTGCAGTTAGAGACTCAAATGGATCACCCATCATTCGTCACACACACAATCAAATCACACGCACATCTGCCAAATTAAAAACAATACATCAGCAATTATATTACATCCTGAAGAATCATTATTCCTAGAACTTATTGTTTTTGTTTCAAGTTAGGACTTCGACTTGATGCGCTTCCGGTCCGGGTGAACTCAAAGCCATCTGCAAATAGGAAAAGCCAATTGAGCCTTCGCTCAAACAGTCGAATTTAACGAGGATCAATCGAGCTTCAGTACCTCGTAGTTCCCGCTCTGAATGCTGTTCCGCTAAATTGAGTCATTTCGTTGAATTCGCTTGGGGAAATACGAAAGATGATCACACCAAAAGGGAACAATATGAAGAAGGCCAAGTCAGACGTTGGGAGATTTCTTCCGAATAATAATGAATATTCAGCGAGTTCTAAGTTACTGGAATCCTCGATTCGGAATGAATGTTCTCGCTCATGGAATTGATTCGTGCGTTTCTATTCAGAAATTTTGCTTTTCAACGTTCACCTTTGTTTGATAAGAACAGATTTCAAAAATTCAATTTTTGTGAACTGCTTTCGCCATCGTTTCGAACCGTTCGTTTGGATACTAAAAACGATATTTTTTTCTCAATCTAGTGCGATTTCGATGGTTTCAAACATTCAATCTATAGTGTACCAACTATAGATCGGGAAGTAAACGTTCAAAAAGATCTTTCACACTTAGTAAACAATATCACCAAACGAGACGATTACCGGGAAGAGCACCAAGTTGAACCAGAAAAAGCAATAATGAAAACTCGATGTTCGCCGTGCTCGTCATCTCGGCCAAAAGTTGTCTTACACAGCCATAAAGAAGAACCTGGCCCAAGTTAAATCGCAAAAAATAAAACTAGTTCGTAAGCGCTTGAAGCAGTTTTAGGATGAACCGGAAATGAGCAACCGCTCAATTCCAATAAAAACAACTCACATCCTTCATAGTCCGAAAAAAATTACTCAATTATTTTAAATGATCAATTTCAACTTTTCAAGTTCTATGATCTTTGCTTTTTCGAAATCATTTCAACCGTTAGAACTTTCTACTGAAATGAACATTCAGAAACGAATTCAAGAATTCAACGATTGGGAATAAATGCGCTGTAAAAGAAAAGGACAGTATCGACCAACAAAAAGAACACACATTCGTAAGAAGGATATTATAAAGTGAATAATTAATACTTTACAATTAATTTGAATCAATAATTTTAAATTACCGTAGTTTCTCAATACATTACAATATCGGAAAATTAATCTTAATCTTACACATCAAATTTTCATAATTTAAACTATTACCCTGAGTAACGGACACCAAAATTAACCGTACTTTAAAATTAATAGAGATTCGAGACATGAAACGCATTCTGGATGACAACAACTCGTCAACTCTTCTGCACAAGAAAAACACGAATGTCACTACACAACTGACACCACTTGGGTTCTTGCACGAGTAAGTCTTCGATCTCGGCTTTCTGAATCGACGACACTCGACATCACACAGACGCGCGACGTAACGCTACACACGCAGATGCAGTAAGTCGGTTCTCAGCCCCAGATGAAGGGGTGGTACCTTTTATTCACGCGTCAGAAGTACTGTACTCACATCCAGGGAATCCTCGTTGACAATGAGGAAAGCCATTGGTTGGTTCGATTAGTTTGCATGAGTAAGCTATATTGATGGCGGTTTCTTGTCACCGGTAAGGGTTCACACGTGTATGTTGACAAGCAGAAACGCAGCTATGGTTTCTGGGACGTGATCTTGCATCCATGTCGTTCCCAGCAGAACCCAAATATTTCATTAACAACTCAGCCGAATCCTTCTGCTCACTTACAAGCGTCGATCCGTCGAAAGTTCGCTTCTTCCTTTCTGTAACACCATAAATGCAATAAGCATAACATAATTTGTAACATACTCATTCCAAAACGGAAAACTCGAAAGAAATACTGACGAAGCTAGTGAAACAAAACCGGGAAGAACTTCGTAATAATTAATCCCGATGATTTCATAACCAATATCTCTAGAAACGTTTCCACGTTGTTCATTTGAATGTCTGCTGATTTACAATCTAGTCCTCAAATCAATATACAATTCAATTAAATGCTGTAGTATGCGCGTTCTTTAAAAACTTCATTTCATAATTCTCCTGACCTGTCTCATATACTAACTCACGGATACATCTCTGGAATGCTGAGCCTGAGGGGCAGTAAATTTCACGAAGTAAAACAGATGCAGTAATTTCTCAAGTACAGACAGCACCCAATTTATGGCCGAATGTTTGGAGAAAAACACAGTTAAAAAATATCTGAAAATAACGAATATTGTTCGCATTTAATTTCTAGAATCTACTTTTCAGCGAAAAGGCGGCATACGTGAGTAAACACGGATAAGGCATACATTAGGAATCCCAAAAGAACTGTGCGCCATACCAACTTATCTTACAACGCTCCCTTTCCACCACTTGAGTGCATCACGATCTAAATTTCAATAGGTTGAAAATAAACTACTCAAGAAAAACTGTATCGTGTTTGAATGTGGATCGCAGATAAGTCTTAAACCTCTGCTGGCACTTATTGAATCTTACTGTGGGAAGTTCTGTGTTTGAAGACCCTCTGATGCAAATTATTCCGAACGGCGCCAAGTATGAGCAGAAAAATGAGGTCTCTCAAGCAAAGCGTTACCGTAGCTCTCCAATTTAAAAAATAAAAAAAGTTAGCACGGATTAAATACCTCGGCGGATGTCACGACGAAGTCGAGTTTGGATCCAGTAGTCCATATTTCCCGAAGAGTTTTTCGCTTCATTCTACGCGCATAAATCTCGTAGCACAGTTCTTTCTCTGAATCAAAAGAATACAATTTGAAGGAACCATCGCAAATGGAGATTGAAGTATGGACGTACGGACATCTGAGTGCGTTCAACAATTCCTACAACGCAGGAATGTATTTCTAATGTAAATGGTGTGCCATATGCAATACTCATGATACATGATACAGTAGTTAAACACAAATCAAAAATCGAACGGCGGTAAATCATAGAAGAAATGAACAAATGTTCATCATTGCACGAAGATGCGGAATGCGCAGGATGAACTAGATTAGCGAAATTCCTCGGATGAGAACATTCCCTGGAAAAAATGCACGGAAACTGTAGGACCCCAGCCACGGAGATTAGTAAAAATTCGAACTTTACTTTGGCACGACGCAAAATTGAATCCTTCGTGGGATCATATGGATGATCTTTCGAAGGGATCTCCAAGACTGCGGGGATCGGTTGAGAATGCGTATCCAAGACGTGGCGGATCATTTCAGCGTACTAGAAACGAACTGCCTTCAAGTATCGTAGCTAAAACTTCATTTGAAACATACTCACAACTTGATTAATTAGAATTATGTCGATGTCACTTCGTCGTACGAACTCGCGAAAGCATTCTTCAATTTCTCCAATGCTCGTGTCTGATTATCAAGCGTAAAAACAAGACAAATGTAATTTCGCGCAAAAATATGAAAACTGCAGAGGGATCTTACTTTTATCCACCACTAGGAAGTTCGGTTGACGATTCCGATTAAGCTCACCGATTCCGCCCAAAAGGAATCCAACGCAAGTATCCTGCGTGCACAAAAGCACAAATCTAATTCTGCACGTAGAACAAATGACAAGATAACGTACCTCATCACCGATGACAGCGATGAGTTTACCTTTCGGAGCCAACGCCATGATAATTTTCTGCTGGAAAAGAAGTCAGCAGATGGAATCACTTCACACTCCAACTCGTGAATTCACTTCTTAGGTTTTCCACACTAACAACCGACGAGTCATGCAGGCACGAGGTTTCACTTTAATGATCGCGATGACTAACGGACGTTCGGAGCTTATTCAACGTCACACGAACAAAGAAACGAGACTTCGCAGTTACGTAACAATTGCAGATCGGCATGATAAACGAGTGAATGATGTTTCTACTACGCTTCCGTAACTTCGAAGATCAAGCGCTGAAGCGCACAAGAGCACAGCACGAATTCCGCTCCACGCCGCTATATACACGCATGAAGTGCACAATACTGTATTGCGGCACGCGTCATTTAAATATTTGCCGGATGCGCTTCCGCGATGAGCACTTACCTCTATAGATTAAAATTGCTGATGAGTGACTGTAGTTCTTATAGGTGAAAAACAGATGTCAGTCTATTTCAGGTTTGAAAAAATGATCTACCATGCATGTACAGTAGAGAATTGCAGCATCCTGCCAGTCATGTGTATATGAACCTGTTGAGATCTATTTCAATTTTAAATGCAGAAAAGTTGGCAGTCCTGTTCCCACATGTCAAAAGTCAAATAGAAATAAAATCCACTAACACACCAGAATTATTGACGAGGAACTGTAAAGTAGAAGCAGTACTGTACTATACGGTATTGTATAACGATTCGAACTCTAAGCTTCGGAAGCAATTCACTTGAGTACAGGTGTGGCAGGCAGGGCGTACTCTACCCTCAATTTGGACTCGGAGAGGCCACTCTTGGTACAGTACAGAATCAGTAAATGATGCAACAGGTGTCATGTCTGCTCCACGGACATTTAATTTAATTTCTGTGCGAACCCTTGTAGCGTCTGCGACTGTCGAGGAAAAAATACCTGCACAGGTGTGATAAGCATCTGCGAAGGTCTTCCCGCCTTACGATTGCAAAGTTCTCCGATGTGGATTATTTCCAGTCTTATTATGAAGGCATACGAATTCATGGACTGATCCATGTGTACTCTTTGTTCGTTCTTCCGTTATGTTGTACGGTGCCGTGGAGTAGAAATTCAGCGTTTTGGCCGGAAAGTGTTCATTCACATTATGACTGCTTCATCGCGAAATTTCGCTTGCTGGCGAGATGATTGGAGTATCCCTCCCATCAGGATGGCTCTGGGAATCGTGTTGCAATATGGAGCTTCCATTGTGGGAACAACATGCACGCGTGATGGCATTGTCCGATAATGTTGATATTTTATGCTCTAAAATTTTGATTTTCAGGCCAGGTTTTTTGTGCTTCTTCGTGTCATCAGATTTTCTGATGGTCCCATCGTAGAGTTCAAGGTAAGTTTGTTCTGACGACTCTTGATTTTGTTTAAATTCTAGGCTTGATCGTGGAACACGCTATCTTTTTATAAATGAAAGGGTGAGTGCATCTTAAAATCGGAACGTGACTTCTACAAATGGGAAGTTTTCTCTTGTCTGGGTCGATGAAGCTTCGTGCTCTTTAAATGAAAAGTGGATCTGATTTTGCATTCTTGTTATGTTTTAATCTCGTGCTAGTGGTGGGGCTAATTTCTTATGTTATTTTTCAGGGAGAATCCTGAACTCGATCGTGAAACGCAGGATTTCTTCGTACTCAAGGGTGTTTCTTCCATAATTCGAGGGTAAGTAAATCTTCTAACCTACGCGTGAGTTTTCTAATGATGAGTTTTTCCACGTCTGGGCCGATGAAGCTTAGGCGTTTGATATGAACAGTGGATCTGATTTTTCATTCTTAATTCCCCTTTCAACCAGGTGCTACCTGTGGGGCTAATCTCTTATATTATTTTCAGGGAGAATCCTAAACTCGATCGTGAAACGCAGGATTTCTTCGTACTCAAGCGGTTTTCTTCCATAATCTGAGGGTGAGTAAATCTTCTAACCTACGCGTGAGTTTTCTAATGATGAGTTTTTCCACGTCTGGGCCGATGAAGCTTAGTGCTCTTGATATGAAAAGTGGATCTGATTTTTCATTCTTAATTCCTCTGTCAATCAGGTGCTACTGATGGTCGGGCTAATTTCTTATGTTTTTTTTAGGGGAATCCTAAACTCGATCGTGAAACGCAGGATTTCTTCGTACTCAAGGGTGTTTCTTCCATAATTCGAGGGTAAGTAAATCTAACCTACGCGTGAGTTTTCTAATGATGAGTTTTTCCACGTCTGGGCCGATGAAGCTCGTTGCGAATGATATGAACAGTGGATCTGATGCTTTGTTTAATATTTTCAATGTCGTTCTTGACTCCATGAGTCCATAATATTTATATTCGTTTTTCAGGTGGAATTGAGAGCTTTCTGCGTGACTCTCTTACTTCTCGTGTTCGTCTCTTGCGATCATCGTGAACCCTGAGGTGAGCGGATGAGAGATATCTTTATGTGGTGTTCGAAATGAGTTTTTCTACGTCTGGGCCGATGAAATTTCTTACTTCTGAAGTGAACTGTGGATCTGATGTTTTCATTGCAATCATTCATTCCTTCATGGAAGTTAGATTTGTCTCTTAACTGAGATTCATCTACTTCATTTATTCCAGCCACCGTCGGAAATTTCAAACTTTCGAAAATGCAGGATCCGAACGCGGATACTCAGGTGAAAGATAAAATAAATTCATCATGTTTTCGTGGATTTGATAGCGATTTTCTGTGTTTCAGTGGAATGACGAACTTCGAAAGCATGGGATTCTTCCAAAAAAGGAATGTGAAGTCACTGAAGATGATGTCGTGCGAATGCTGGAAGCCACCGTTCTGGAAAAAACGAAATCCGGTGAGTTCGTGTTTGAGTGGAATTTCCTGTTCGTTTGTAATTACGTCTCGATTTCCCTTTAGGTAAATCGAAAGATGAAATGACCTTGGATGAGCTGAAAGAATTGGAGGATGAAGAGGATGAAAGAGTTTTTGAAGAATATCGAGCTAAGCGAATTGCCGAGTTGAAGCTTCTTTCGGAAGCAAATAAATTCGGAGAGGTCCGAGAAATCACGGGAATCGATTACACGCAAGAGGTCAATGATGCCGGTGAAGGAATCTTCGTTGTACTGCATTTATACAAGCCTGGAATCCCTCTTTGTACTTTGATCAACAATTACTTGACGATTCTTGCGGCAAAATTTAAGTCCACGAAGTTTTTGAAGTCTTTGTCGGATTCATGCATACCCAACTTTCCGGATAGTAATTTGCCCACAATATTCATATACTTCGAGGGAGCTATGAAGGACAAGTTTCTTGGTCCTGCGGCACTACGTGGCATGAACATTTCAATTGACGGTGAGTTCTCAGGCGTCACTTTCTATTTGTAGTGATTGAATTTGTGATATAGAAGAAAATTAGGGCCACGCAGAACGTCCTTAATCCGTTCCGCAGTACTGTATATGTTGCTACAGGAGAGGTCTTTTCTACAGCGAAAAGAAACCTATGTAAGGGTTGATTGTTTCTCTCCCTCTATAACTGGACACTAAAAAGGAAATTAACTTTCGTGATGCAACGTTGATCAATTGTCTATATTTTTTCGAAACTAATCTAAACTACGGAGCTGAAGAAACAATTTTTTGATCTGCAGAGTTGGAGTGGATGCTTTCAAAAAGCGGTGCCGTGAAATCTGACATCAAAGAAGATCCGAGGCCAAAAATTGATGACGTCCTGTTCTCTCAGTTACAACGAAAGCGTGAAGATGATAGTGATGAAGATTGATAACATACTCGTGTGTGTGCGGTGGTGCTTTTTTTTATATTATATTAAGAACTAATTATTTCATCGTTGACTCATCCGTGTGAGAATTACTTGCAATGTCCATGAGTTTTTCGCTGTCCTTGGAAAGATGGAAGTGTCCGTTTTTCTTTTGTTTTTGTTTGCTCATTACCTGATGGAACAAAGTGTACTTTTCCAATCGGAAAGCGTGTTTTATGATTGTATCCTTTTTATTTATGTTCGCATGCTTGAGACTTGCGGGTTTCTGACTCTTCCCTTCATCAAAATTCCAGAAAGAAGAACCCGTTGGACAATGATGTGTCGCCGGGAATTGAGTATCCTTGCTTTTCTGGTAGTTTTTGTGAACTTGAACAGATATGGCGGTGTAGAAAGCAAACCCCAGGCGAAATACCGGTTCGCGGGCTCCAGTCGTGGTGAATGCGTTCGAGCTACGATTGCCGCCAAAGTTGAGAAGGCGCCGGTCATAGTTACTGCGAAAGTCGAGCGTACATTCGACAATCACATTGTGATCGCGGTAAGAATTATATCCTGCTTGAGTAAAAATATTTTCGAAGATCATCTCGCTTTGACGAAAGCCTCACTATATTGAGGTGTTTTCCCGTGCTTCTGTTTCAATTCTTCCATTTATCCATCCACATCTTGAGTACATTGAAAAGATGAGGTTGCCCTGGTCTGGAAATTTTGGTTGCTTTATTACGTGCTTATCGGTACTTCGCCTTATTTTCCTGGAATTCACGCGTTCGGGGTGAAAAAAAAAAATAATTCAACTGGAATTTTTAGGTTACTTTGATTGGGTCAGTTAAGTTTGCTTCTGTGTTGGGCTGTGTTTAAAATTTGCGATGTCAAGTTTGGTTTATGTTCGTTAGATCTGGAGTTCCGTTTCAACAAACGAATAACAATTTGAGCATATCACCAACTATCGCCAATCCACGAAAACAAAAATATCTGTGATCAAAGTTATTGAAAAATATGATTTTGTCTCCGTATAGTATGGCACAGCTTACACGTCAGGAAAGAGGCACAATATTTCTTTTTATCAGCGGAAAATTTTAGTGAAGTATTTTAAATCTTCGTATCCAGAATTGTAAGCTTACCGCTCTTGAATAGACAATGTAAAAAAAGTTGAACCCTGAGGTTTTAACCCATCAGACAACCCATTTAAATTTTCATATTTGAAGGTAGCTGTAGAAATGCAATCCTGGTATTGAAAATAAACGCAGAAGTGCTTTCAATAATTTTGCAAGTTTAATGGCTCACAAATTTCTGAAACACCGCAGTTTGTATTTTTCAACATTTGCCTCATGATGCGCTGTGTTCGTCGTGTTTAATTGTAACAGGTAAAACGCACTGCCAAAGGTGATCCGTCTTTCACGAGAAGACACCTGACCGTGATTGACTCTTCTTTGAGTCGCCATGTATGCTCTTCGATTGTGCGTCTGCGAGAAGAGGATGTTCGCATTTTCTACCTCCAGTCAGACCCCAATGCGGAACCGGGCAATGATACTTACATTTTGGATTCTGAGCCGGACCGAGTAACGCACAGGAATCTCTTCGAGCTCAACTCGGCCATCGACGGTATTTTATTTATTTTTCTCAGAAAAACAATTTTCGATGTCCAGCGCTGCTCGATGATTCTTGATGTCCCGTATTGCGTCTGTATCGGTGTCGGTGTATAACTGAGGGGTCTTTCACTGTTCGATCAGTTTCAATTCAATTCTCATTTTTTCGCCTCTCATAATACCATTGCAGTGTAATTTACTGTTCGGATAATTTTATGAAAATTAAATGAGCTGGTGTCATTTGGTTGCAGGAGGTTAAATTCTCTCTTGATTTCGAGAGAGTCTTAATTAATGAGAAATTTGGTTCAGATTTAGTATGTATATGATATCCATAATACGTAACGTATAGGTGTCACAGAAAAACTAGAATTTCGTGACGAAAACAGAACTTTTTGAAGAGAAATGAAAATTGTTGAAAAAGAGAGAAAATACAATGAAAATGCGGCAATCAGCCGGATAGCTTTTTTAAACTTCCGTATTTTTCCCCGTTTTTTGACCTTTCTCCATTTCCTTTTTCAAAAAATAAGAATTGCTTTGGTTTTTTTTAAACCAAAATTCTAGGATTTCTGTGACAAAAGGAATGATTAAAATCGTTTCCCATTTCACAGTATTTTCCATCATTAACAAGTTAACAAACCATCATTAAGTATTGCAACTTCATCAACAATTTTTAGTAACTGTACTTCGGCAGACTTAAATTTTTTACTGCTTGAATATCTGTTCGAATTTTTCATGGGCACTCATGTTTATGCACCAAAATGTTGAATCGGACTAACAATTGAGGGCATGCTGTAAATTTGATAATTTTTCCGAGCTTATCATCCCGGTTATCATCCGTATAAATGTAATTGGTAACCCGTTTTTGTTATGCCGTAATAACCTACAATGCGGTTAATCGCTAATACCGTTGTACAAAAGCATCACGAAAGTTTAGGAGCTGAGAGAGTTGAGTTACAGAGTTGACTAAAATGTCTGGCTAAAAATAGCCGTATTCTACAATATCTTTACAGACAGAACTCAAGTGGTCGCGATGAAAGATGCATTACTGCGGCCAGTTTCTTGATCGAAAAGCCCTATTTTCCCGTTTCAGATGGCTTGCTGAGACCTGGGTCGAGTGTTTACATTGGTGTAGATGAACTACCTTGTGAGCGAACGCATTGTCCACACCATGCTGATTGTGTTGAGACTTCTGACGGAAGAGCCGAGTGTCGCTGTCCAGCGGGTTGCCCACTTTATGGTACCCGTGTCTGTGGTACAGATGGTTTCGAATATCCGACCGAGTGTCACATGAAAGCCACGGCTTGCACTGAAAACCGGCGTATTCATATCGCTAATGAAGGACGATGCGGTAAAGACACAGTTTCTTTCTATTTTTAATGATTTATCGTGATAAATACAGTCATTGGTGCATTTTCTGTCACAGGGAATCCTTGACCATCAGGCGGAAGAAAAATCCTGTGGAGCGGTTGTGCCGGGGATGCTAGTCATTGATACGGATGTTGCAAGCGAACATATTCAGTGAAGGAACATTTTTCCGGGCATTTTATAAATTAGGGTATTCGAAAAATCTCAGAAATCAAGTTCAAAAACTATTCGCTCAAGATTGTAAGCAGCAATTGCTCATTTAGTTGTGATTTGTAGTCATGGTAATGTTGTGGCTTTTTTTTGTGGTGCTAATCTTTTTTATGGTTTGAGATAGATAATGCAGTCATTACAAAGACATCACGTTTTTATCGATATTTTTTCGTGCGAGAGCAGATTATTGGTGTATTTTTTCAACTTTCAGGAGAAGTTTTTTAATCATGCCTCAGCGTAGTTTGAAAGTAGCGATAATTGGACAGAGTGCCTTCGCGAGTGAGGTGTACAAATTGATTAAAAGGAATGGGCACGATATTGTTGGAGTTTTCACTGTTCCTGACGTTGGGAACAGGGAAGATCCACTTGGTGAGTTTATTTTCGCGTATCTATTTTACAAGTGGAATCTCGTAAAAACGAATCTCATGACAGATTCTTTTTTCAGGCCCCTGCGCAATGGCCATAATCTTATTCAAATTTCTTTAAAACGAGCGAATCATCGTCATAAAGCTTTCTTCTAAGCCATGTAAAAGCTTTGTTTTGACGAGATTTTACTCCATCTTCTGTGCACATTGTTTCATTACAGTTACCATAATATTGTATTTGATTCTCTCTTCTTTTACCTAATATCCTTCATTTTTTTTATCGACGCATAGATTTGGTTTGAACGTTTTGTCGTTTCCTAGGGCCTAGGTTACGGTAGGTTTATACACTACAGTATTCATTTTTATTATTTTAATGAGTTAGATTAGTGATTTTTGTTGGAAATGTCTGATAATCCGGAAAGCGACGCCTTGACGTAATGTACAAGTCACCAGTTTTGCGTTTTATTTTTCATGTGCTTTTTTTGAATGTTTTTGTACCGTGCAAATATTTTTGTGCATGGTTCTTCCATGAAACATTTCCGAGATATCCTGGACTTGGACGCGAAACTAGGGTGTGCATAAGGGGAACATAAGCGGTTTTGATCATCTTGATTCTGTTATGGATTGTTTAAATCCCTGTGCGTGTGATTTTATTTTTTATTTTTAGCCACAACTGCAGCTTTGGATAACGTCCCGGTGTTCAAGTACAAAGCGTGGCGAGCCAAAAAAGTGGTCATCCCCAGCGTTTTGGCCGAGTATGAAGCATTGGGTGCTGAATTGAATGTGCTGCCTTACTGTTCGCAATTCATCCCGATGGAGATCATCGACGCCCCGGAGTTCAAGTCCATCGTTTATCACCCTTCTTTGTTGCCGAAGCATCGCGGTGCAGCGTCGATCAATTGGACGCTGATGAGCGGGGATTCGGAAACTGGATTCACGGTTTTCTGGGCTGACGATGGGCTAGATACTGGACCGATACTGTTGCAAAAGAATGTTCTTGTGGATCCTATGGATACCGTGGATAGCCTGTACAACAGGTTCGTGCTTTAAGTATCCTGTCTTTCATCTCTCAAAGGTTGATGCATAAATTCAGGGTTTTCTCGGCGGTCCTGTAAATAGCCCAAAAACCGACTTCGGAGGCGGATTTAAACTGGATCATTTTGAGCTTTAAAAGCCTTTCCGACGACAGAAAATTGTTCAGCTCTTCAGCGACAGATAAAGATGGGAATCATTTTTACCTCATTGTGATTAACGTTTTGAAAAAAATTATAGAAATCCTCGTGCTTCAGAAGTTGAAAGAGTTCCTCAAAACCACCTTGGCAATTTTCTTGAGTCTTTGCTCTAGCTGCTCCAGAGTTTTCGGAACATCTTCTGAATCAAATTCATAATTTCAAGTGAAATACTTTCACTTAATGACGCATTCTTAGTCCATAATGTTTTGCATACGAAAGTTTCAAGACTGTTTCATGGAATCAAAAAAGAGTTTCTGAAGAGAATCAAAAGATTTGTTTATTCTCTGTGATGATATTTTATGGGTGAAGGTGACGCATGTCGAAATATTTTTAAAGAAATCTGACTTAGTGAGTGCAGGTGAAACACGTGCTGGCGATAGAAAGTCCTCATCAAACAATTCTTGATGCTATTATTTAATTAGATTTCGAACAATATAGGTTTATGTACCCAGAAGGGATTAAGGCCATGGCTGAAGCGGTCGAATTGATAGCTGCTGGACAAGCTCCAAAGATTACCCAAACTGAGGAAGGCGCGAGTTACGAACCCATGCTGAACAAGCCAGAACTTCGACGAGTGAGTTGCTTTCATTTTACGCATGTAATATTCTCTTGTATAGAAGGTTATATTTTTAAAATCTTTTACCTATTATTTAACAGATTCCGTTTGATAAACCCGCGTTGGACATCCACAACTTCATCCGAGGGATGGACAGTGTTCCCGGGGCTTCGATTACAATTAATCAAGAAGAAGTAAGGCTACTTATCTCTGAATCCATGAAAAAAGTGCTCCAACTTCTTTTTTTTTTTCGTGTTAATTTAGGCTCAATTGTTCGGGTCTAAAGGCTTAGTGGACCTGTCGACTGTGCAAAACGGAACCGAAGTCATAATTGAGGGAATGTCTCGACCTGGGATTGTTCACTCCGACGGACTCGTTTTATTTGGTAGTGATGGGAAGGCTGTGAGTTGTGCAGTTATATTTTTTAAAATTCACAAAGCCAAGAAATTCGGAAGAAACTTTAAAAATAAAGCACCGCTCAACCCTTGGGGTTTCAAATCTCCATGGCAAACCGCATTTATGAATGCTGGGTGTTCGAGATATCTGTGCACTGTATTTCGAATGTTCATTCCGTAATGGCGAAAGTTATTTTCCATTCATCATTTCACTTCCAGGTGAACGTATCCAGATTGAGGGTGAATGGGAAAATGATCAACGCCAGCAAGTACGGTCAGACAGTGTCAAGTTCTAGCAAAATTCAGCTTTCTGAAGAAGAACAAGGCGTAGTTGATGTAGTGAAAAGCATATGGCAATCAATTTTGGGGTGTGAAATTGAGCATGAAACCGACTTTTTCGCTTCTGGAGCTGGTTCAATGGAAGTTGTGCGGTAAATTTAAACCTTTCCTGATTCTGTGACATTTTTGTTGTTGTTGCTATGATCCTGAATTGTGTGCAGATTGGTCGAAGAAGTGAAAGACAAGATCAAAGTTGAGCTGGCTAATGAAGACGTTTTCATGGCGACCACATTTGAGGAATTCTCTTCAGCAGTAATTTTAGCAAGGAGGTCTTCGGGAGATGGTTCTGGCCCGGCTGTTGTTTACGACCCTGTGAAAATTAATGCTAACAATATGGAACTCGTGTTTCCACATCAGCTGTTCATCAATGGCGAATTTGTGAATGCCACGAGTGGAAAAACTCTCAAGTCAATCAACCCGAACGACGAGAGCTTGATATGTGACGTGAGCGTGCACCGTATTTATTAGATGCATTTTTTTCTCGAAAAAATATCAGGGGGCTAATTTGAGCCGTTTTTTGTTTCTTATTTGGTTTATAAGTGAATCAGGTGCGTATTATGTTCGAGGATCACTGATGCTAAACGATAGAAATTGAAGATTAAGTACTGTATGGAGTAATTCAATCTTAATCTCTGTTCAGAAATAGAGCTGAACTCTTTTTTTTTACTTTTAACTGCTGTGAAGCTTTCGTGTAATTAACCTCTTAAGATATTTTTTAATAGCAGTGCGATTAGCAATCGATTTCTGATTTATTAGGTTGAAGCAGCTTCGAAGGAAGATGTTGACAAGGCTGTGAAAGCGGCTCAATTCGCCTTCGAACAAGGCGAGTGGGGCAAGATGAGTGCGCGAGACAGAGGAAAATTGTTGTTCAAGTGAGTGATAAATACTGTAGTCTGACAAATTTCACGCTTCAAAAATTTAGATGATCTCAAGTACGTTAAAAAAAAATAATTAAAATATCGCGAATTTTTCTTTTTTTTTCGATATTATGTAGGTTGGCCGATTTGATGGAGCAGAATAAGGAAGAACTGGCGACGATTGAGTCTCTGGACTCCGGTGCTGTTTACACCCTTGCGTTAAAAACGCACGTTGGAATGTCAATTGATACGTGGAGATATTTTGCCGGTTGGACCGATAAGATTCAAGGAAGCACGATTCCGATTTCTCACGCGAGACCCAACCGAAATTTGACCATAACTAAGCGTGAACCAATTGGGTAAATTCATTTTTCTTCAAATTCCCGTCGTTCGAAAATTTCGAACAGGAATAATTTATATACTGGACTATTTCGAAAATTTTGCTTCGAAAATGCTCATTATATTCGACTTACTCTTCTGTGGTTTCAGCATTTTTGGAACCCCTTAGAATTCATACTTCCTGAAGTAATAAGGTTCTTGGCTTTTTATCAACAAAAAAAGACTACTGCGGTTTAGATTACAGTATTGTAAGAGTTTTATGAATATTTATTTTCTGTGCAGAGTTTGCGGTCTCGTGACGCCTTGGAATTATCCATTGATGATGTTATCATGGAAAATGGCTGCGTGTTTGGCTGCTGGCAACACTGTCGTTATCAAACCTGCTCAGGTTTCCCCGCTAACGGCTCTCAAATTTGCAGAATTGACAGTAAAAGCCGGCATACCGAAAGGAGTTGTGAACGTTCTTCCTGGCACAGGTTCGTCCTTCCACCCGCATGGCTACTGACTGAATAAAATGTAAAGGATACACTTTAACAGCTATTCTGAGATTCTTGTGTATAAATTAATTTTTTATCCTTCGAATGCTGTAATTACAGTATATCCACTCTGTAAGTTCTAGTGCTCGTTTTGCAGCTGATAAGTATTTGTGTTATTGATTTTCCTTTCGTATTATTCGAACCCTGGTCCAAATTTTTTCAAGCTAAATATCGTGACACTATTGAACAATTCTTGGAATTATTCAAAAGAATATGCGTTGTGTCCATCGTTCAAGCTTTTTATTTGAATTGTATGATTGAAGCTTTGAATTAAATTGTATCCAGGAAGCGTTTGCGGACAAGCGATTGCTGATCATCCGTTAGTCCGCAAACTCGGATTCACTGGAAGTACTCCGATCGGACAAGTAATAATGCGATCGTGTGCGGATTCGAACATCAAGAAATGTTCTCTCGAACTTGGTGGGAAATCTCCGCTCATCATTTTCGCTGACTGCGACTTGGATCGAGCTGTTCGCCAGGTTTGCCCTATTCATCCTTGGTTTAATACGGAATTGAGAAATTTAGGTACAGTACTGTATTATCTTGAGGTTCATATAAGTTTCTTAAATGTCAAGCAGGTTTTTCTCAATCAGTAACCCGACTGAAAATAACGGGAAGAAACTCAATTGCTCTGATCTAAATTATAACGTTTCTCCGCGAGTTTTGTTTTTGTGTGTCACATAACGTATTGCACCATAACAAAATTTAACCGCGACGTGAAACATAAATTGACCTATGAACTTGCGAAGAAAATTTCAGTTTGCGACGTTATGGGCCGTGATCGGTTTAAAATAATCTCGAAACATGAAATCAGCTGTCGATTTTTGGGTTTTATGAGTTGAGCGAAGCATTCATGAAATAAGCGTGTCATTCTTCTTTGTGACGTTTCATCCTAACTTAGGGCATTGGAGGAGTCTTCTTCAATAAGGGAGAGAACTGTATCGCTGCTGGTCGCTTGTTCGTTGAAGAATCGATCCATGACGAATTTGTAAACCGAGTCATCGAGGACGTGAAGAAAATGGTTAGTATCAATCGAAATGTCTGTTACAATTGAATCTATTTTGCTGGTAAATTTGTGTTCGCTCTGGGCTTTAATCATTAGATTTAGTACGATTATTTAAATAGTTCTCGTCGAATAGAGGAACCTTGGTCACAGTGTGTAGCAAGTACCTGCTAGATATTATCAACGTTGTCAAACCAGAAGCAAATCGACTTTGGGTTAATAACTTGCTGTTTATTTAAACTCTCATCGTGACTAAATGAGTGACATCTATACTCACATTAAAATAGTTACCTGTTGTAGAAAAATTGAGATCGCCCGAATTGCTGCCATTCTGCTTGGCCCTGTGAAGGAGTACAGTTGAAAAAACATATGAAAATTTGGATAGAGGTTGCTAATTTTACGTGAAATCCAATTCCAGACGATAGGAGACCCGTTGGATCGAGGAACTGCTCACGGTCCGCAAAATCACAGAGCTCACCTGGAAAAGTTGGTGGAATACTGCGAAATCGGTGTGAAGGAGGGAGCCACGTTGAAATACGGTGGAAAACAAGTCCCCAGATCCGGTCTGTTTTTCATGCCAACAATTTTCACTGATGTTAAGGACGACATGTTCATCGCAAAAGAAGAATCTTTCGGGCCGATTATGATAATCTCGAAATTTCCCAACGGGTTCGTTCCAATTTTTTTTTTGGCAACTGATATATCCTTTCTGATGGTTTTTTAAAATACTTTCGGGATTTTCGCTGTTTACAGGGATGTCGAGGGAGTCGTTAAGCGAGCAAATGCTACTGAATTCGGACTAGCTTCTGGAGTGTTCACGAAGGATCTAAACAAAGCCTTGTATGTCTCAGACAAGATTGACGCGGGAACGTGTTTTGTGAACACTTACAATAAGACTGACGTAGCTGCTCCGTTTGGAGGCTTCAAACAATCTGGCTTCGGGAAGGATTTAGGTAATTTTTGTACTTTCTAAAGTATTTATTTTGTTTCATCAGATGACCATCAGCAGTAGACGAGGCTGTTTTCAGAAATTTTGTTCGTCTGTATTGCTAATGTAGTACAAAAATCGTTGAATGCAGTGCGTATTCAGAAATCTGTAGGTATTCATCATCCTATTATACTTACCTTAAGATTCCTGCATTTTTTAGCTCCTAAAATTCTGGTGAAGATAGGCGATGGTAATGAATTGAAGACTCAAAATTGGAAGTCCCTATAGAAAGTATGAAAAAATTATTAAATTTTTTTTTTCTCTTTTGTTTACCGAAAAATTACTGGGACATGTAAAAAAAATGCATGTGCGACTGGAAATTTTTTGGGAAAAGCACTTGTTGCTGTGCACGAAAACAATTTCCAGAGGTTGTTCCGATTTTCAATTATTATTCGAGTAATTAAAGAAGTTTTTTGTTTTCCTTTTTTTCCACCAGGCGAGGAAGCGTTGAACGAGTATCTGAGGACAAAAACGATAACATTTGAGTACATGATTTAGTAGTACTCCTTCGCTGACTTCGAAATTGCAGAATTCGCGCCGCGTGTATCCCGACGATGGTGCTACGGATGTCGCTGCTGCTCACATATTGGACTTACGCTCACATTGAATCTTATTTTCGGTGATGGCAAAGCAAACGTAGCATTAATGAAGACAGTACGATCAATCAGTATTTGTAAATATATTCATTACGTGCCAACAAAATTGCCAAGCAGTGAATTGATTTGGTTGTGGTTTGTTTTGCCATATATTTAGGATCTGGTTGCTTTTTAAATGAAAAGTTGTCAGTTTCTTGTTTTGCCGTGTTCTAGGTTGTAAAGGCGTTACTTATTGTGCAATGTTGGTTCATGACTGATTTTTTGAATTTGAAGAGTTGAAATTTTCCTGTAGAAGAACTTTGAAGCTCGCCTTCTTACAGTGACTTCTAGCGGACGGGAACAAAGTTACTTATGTGACCAGATTCATCATTGGGGTTGATTTCTATTAGAGCTTACGGTTCATGGAGAAAAGACTCATTGGGAAATATATGAAATATTTTTTCAAGTTACTGAGTTACATTCCTTTCAATACAAATGCATCATTTCATGGTGTGTTCTCTCTGAATTCATGTACTCTCTTTTTTCACAGTACAGTATATGATGGTCATACCATGCTGAAAATGTTGCCTGCCATGGAATTCGATATACTGTAGTGAATAAAATACAGTACTGTACACATAGGTGTGCATTTTCATTGTGGCTTCAAAGGTTTAATTTATCCATCAAGCAGAAAAAATATTGTCAACAGAACACGTAGGTAATCTTCAGAAATTGTATTATCCAACCATATTGGAGGCATGAAAGAAAACAATTTTGGAACCCTTCGGCTAAAATGCTACTGGATCAAGAATCCAGGACAGATTTTCGGCACAGTGAACTAAACTTGTGCACAGTACAATCTTGTTACTTGCTACAACAAAGCCATTTTAATGGAACAAGGAGAAAAGCTGTGATATAACCTATTTTGTTAATTGCTGCTGGGGAGGGACCGAAGAATAATAAATTTGAAGCAATATTTGTTATGAGGAGATTTTGCATAACAAATGGGATGTCTTGTACTGTACTGTACTGTATTGTATTGGGGAGTGAGTTATTTCTTCGAGAGCGACATCTCGAGTCAGACAATGCAGCAGCACTCGCTCTTTTCGCAGTGAGATCGGCCGCTTTAGTGTAACGTTTCCTGGAACCTTGACATGCATTTCAGTGTCACTCCTTCGTTTTTATTTAATTGAGCCTCGAATCATGAGCAAGCGCGTGGACTTCAGTGAGCACGTGGATTTAGTTGGTGTAAATTATGACACATTGAACGGTTAATTTATCGATCAGGTGTTGAAAGTGTATTATTCAAGAAGATCCGGGTGATATCTTCCCGTGATCCGGTTACCTTCGGAATAAATCCACGTGTTTCAAAGTATGCCGTTACAAACGTCAGTCGGTGTAAAATATTTGCATTTATTCCTTGTTCGATGCAGACTTAGGTAAATAGCTGAACTTTGCATGACATGGACGCTTTGTTCGCTTGTTCGAAATGCTTCAAAAGATTCCCTTTTGAGGAGCTCTCTGAAGGAAAGCAAATATGCAAGGTACGTCTTATTTTTTTCCTTATTTGTTTAGTAATTAAGTTTTAAATTTGCAGAATTGCCAAGCACCAGCTCAGCTAGGCAAGTGCCATCATTGTCGCCAAGAATGTCCGGCCACCAGGTACCCCTCGTCTAGAATTTTCTTGCGATGTTGTTTGTGTCAATTTCTCGTTTCCAGTAAGGGCAAAGGTGAAACAGTGGTTTGCAAGAACTGTGAAAGCAAAATTTCGAGATATGGGCAGCCGAAAGCTTGCTCAGTTTGCAATTTCGTCAGCGCTTTCGGAAGCTCCAAATGTGGAAGGTGTTCTCATTATGAGAAGAAGTATGGACCTCCTCGTCAATGTGATGAATGCAAGCAGAAATCTGCTTTCGACAAACCTGATGAAAAGAATATGGTGAGGCGGTTGCTGTATTTACTTGAAATTTTCCATTGCTCAGTGCTTCCATTTTCCAGCTAAATGGAAAGCGTCTTTGCTGGGTTTGCTTAGCATCATTCAAGAAGTCGCTTAGGAAGTCAAGTGATCCGTTGCGAAAGAGGAAGCTCTCTGGGAAGGACAGGTACCCGTGTGAACCATTTGGAGTGTTTATTACGTTGTAACATTTTTCCTTTCTTTAGTAGTCGCGGATCGCTTTCTTTATCTTCGACTCCAACTCCAGCCAAAATGAACCGTGTTGGTTCGTTGAAATCATCTTCTAATACTGGGGGCGATGAAGGAGATCCTTCTTCATCCGACCATATGGCCACAATTGCTCATTTGCGTGAAGAGATCGCTAATCTCAGTAAGCAGATCACATCTAAGGACCAACAGTTACTGAGCAAAGATAAACTTGTGAGTGTTTCTTTGTATTTCATTGCTCCACTGACTCCATTGCTGACGTTTTCACGATTTTTTTGAAGGTGACGGAGTTACGTGCTCAAGTTCACAATATCGAGCAGCAATCTCGACAGAAAATGAAACATGCGCAAAAGCTTCACGATGATGAGATGAATGATTTGAGACTAGTTACCAAGGATCTTCAACTGAAGGTTGCTACGTTGTCGAAGCAGACAAAGAATAAAGGAGTAGCTGTGGTCACGAACTCGAATAACAATTCACAGAACAACAGTCCAGACGCTTGAGGAGACGCCTAGGTTTAGAAGTAACCTTTTTTTTTCAACCATTTTTCCTGGAATCTTGAATTTCTGAACCACTTCGCCACCAGTCATTTATGACGCATTCCCAGAACAATTTTAATTCGGTGACACATTTTTACTTGTTGTAACGGTTTTTATTTTTTTTGCCGTTTTACGAGTTGAAAGTCATCGCGGACGAAAAAAAAAATACCTCGGTTGAGACATCGTGTCGTATCCGGTAGAAAAAAATCATCTCATGCTCAAGTGGTAGACCCCGTAACGTATTGATTTTTCTATGTTTTTTAAAGTTCTTAGAATCAAGGCTCTATCTCATTCGTACGTTGGTATCCTGCAGTCTTGCGTTTTGATGCGTCTGGGCTTCGGCGGTTTGGTGAAATGATTTTTTGAACGGTTGAATAAAAATTGTTTAAGCAGTTTTTGTTCTTTGCCACTTGCACGTATCGTTGTTTTGTGTACTTGTTACGAGTCGTAACCATCTTCGTTGCAGTTCTGAATTCTAAACTATGACTACGGGGAAGAAGAATTTGAGCTCTTTAATTAAAAAATATAAGTGTTTTGACGACGTTCCGGGGCCTCTTCGATTGCCTGTGATCGGATCTTTGTGGAAATACTTCCCGACGATCGGTGAGACCCAGGTTAAGTTCTTAGTGAATGAAAGTAATGGGTCTAATGTGTTTGAACAGGGAATTACACTTTCAAACGGCTGCATGTCACTTCGAAGTTGCGTCGTGCGGAATTTGGAGATACGGTTCGTGAACGCCTCGGAGCAACGGAAATCTTGAGCATCTACAATGTTGAAGATGTGGAGAAAGTTTTCAAAGAAGACGGGAAATTTCCAAGACGGAAAAGTCATTCTGCGTTGGCGAAATACAGGAACGAGAATCCGGAGCGATACAACAATGCTGGACTACTTGCAGCGTATGGTTCGTTGGAATTTATTTTTGGGCCGTTCCGTTAGATTTAGTTACTTTCTTATTAACTGTAAGCAAGTATTAAGTTAGGTAGTATTCCTGGTCTTCGGCGAAAATTCGGTTGTTTTTGTTGACTTACTGGGTGAAAATCCAAAGTTATGGTTGCGGAATCTTTGTTTAATCAAGATAGGTTATTTTTTTATAACCTCAGTGTTCGCGTTGAAATAAAACGAACAACTTCGAATTCGTGCTGAGTGATTACTCAATGAATCTACATTTCTGATTTCGTGTTTGCTAGGAAATACTGCAAAGTGAATCTCGTAAATTCTCGTGAAATAAAATAGTGTATTCAATTTTTCAATGTTCAGAAATGGCGAAGAATGGTGGCGGATCCGGTCAGAATTGCAAAAGCCTCTCGCAAAAATTAGTTGCATTCGCAGCTACCTTCCACAGATGAATGAAGTTGTGGAAGACTTCACTGCGAAGCTTGGGAAAAGCGAAAAGCTGGAAGATTTACTTTCCCGACTGTCATTGGAGAGTAAGTCGTTCTTGTTTCAATATCAATTTTTCGGAAGGTTGCCTTGTGGTTTTGCTCTATTCATGGATCGGTCGACAAGATTACTGATTTGGCGATGCTTTTTTCAGTTGTCGGGGTTGTTTTTCTCGATGTCCGATTCGGTTGCTTGAGCGAAACGTCTAGGGACCGAACTGACATGATCATTGCTGCGGCCTTTTCCAGTTTGGATTGTGTTATGAAAACTGAGTTGTCTTTCCCATGGTGGCAGTGGTTTCCGACTAAAACTTACAAGCAGCTCTGCGAAGCTCAAGACTTCCTATATGAGTGAGAGCTACCGTATCCCTTACCAAAATTATGTGTCCAAAATTAATCTGCTGAATTACAGAGTAATGGAAAATCTCAGCAAACCGTGAAAACTTGAAAACGTTCCTAATTCGTCCTTGGGAACGACGAATTATTTATTTAAATTTTACCGTTGAATAACGCCGAATTATTTGATTTTTAATGCGTAGTATAGTCCCAAGATGAATCGTTCAAGGTACAGGGTACAGTAGAAGTATTTTTAAATAAGGACCTCGTCTCTTTTTTGCTTCTATCAATCCTTTCAACCCTCGCAACATATTCACAAAATTCATTGTGAGCCGGCTTAAGAAGCCTGCATTCCACGAAAATTGAAGAATGACCTGCTCTCCAGATCCCAAGTTTTTCTTCAAAACTACTCATTCTGGGCTTCGAACCCTCATTAACGATAAAATGTTATCTTGTTTAAATGTTAGTCTGATCTTTTATTCTAGTGTGGCAGTGGAGTTGGTTTCCAAGAAAGAAGCTGAACTTAAAGCTAAGCGAGCAGACGAACAAAGCATGTCTGTCTTGGAGGACTATTTGTGCAACCCTCGCCTCGACCGGAAAGACGTCGCTTCTATGATTTCGGACGCTTTATTCGCTGGAATCGATACGGTAAGTTATTATGAAATTTTCTTGTGTTCGATCATGCTTCGTTTTTGTGTAGAATTCTTGCTGCGATAGCGGGACTGATGACTCATTTCAACTGTTAGCATGTGCTAATGGAGATTTTCGTTTCTCGATTTCCTAGACTGCATTTTCGACGAGCTTCTTGCTGTACTTGGTTGCGACTCATCCTCGAGTGCAAGAGAAACTGTTCGAGGAAAGCAAAAGGGTTCTGCCAGAAAAATCCTCGCCCTTACGCGCTGAAAGTTTATCCATGATTCCGTACACTAGAGCAGTGGTGAAAGAAAGCATGAGGTTATTTCCCATTTCGATTGGCATCGGACGCTTGGCTCACGAAGACGGATCAACAACATTGTCCGGTGTTGAGATTCCTGCGAATACTGTCTTGGTCACGCAAAATTTCGACATGAGCCGACAGAAGGAGAATTTTTCTGAACCCTTGGAATTTCGACCCGAACGTTTCCTAAAAGGAAATGCGGAGAAGTGTAATCCCTTCGTTTCTCTGCCGTTTGGACACGGCCCGCGGGCGTGTATTGGAAGAAGACTTGCGGAACAGGAATTATACCTGATCTTGTTGAAGGTTAGTTTATTAAGACGCTGATCGAGGTTTTTCTTCCAATCCGTTCAAACATTTGATGGTCAAGCGATTAATTCAGGTACAGGGTTTTCAGAGGGTCACTTGAGCTTGGAATAAGTTTCAGTTCACGGAAGTTTACAATTTTAGGAATACATTTTCAAAGAAAATATTATTTTTGACCTTGATTTAGTAAGTAATCACAATTCAAATTGCTACATTTGATTCGGATATGCTCATCTGGATGTCCTCGGAGCATGAATCCCCTCAGGCGAACCATCGCGGAGTTTTGGCATCTAGATGAACTACTCCTGTTTCTTTGAAATTCGAATTTCGATGCTGTTGTATTTCCTGTAGATGGTGCGGAAATATGAAATTTCTTGGCCGTCTTCGGAAAAGATGGATTGCATTACTCGGCTCATCAATGCCCCCGACGTTCCATTAACGTTCAAGTTTGATGGAAGGGAGTAAACGAATGTATTCTTTCTACTGTATTGTATATGATCTTATTACGTGTTGAATTTGTACATTTTGTATCATGTTGTTCAGAGTTTTTTTTCGGGTCATGGCAGCAGAAACGGCGAATCTCGGCGCACTGTTACATTAAGATCTTACAACTGCAAATAAACACACATTGATCAATCGTATTTTCATTTTGCAACGCGAAATGAATCGTGTACGTTCGTATAGATAAAAAAATATGGTTCAAGAAAATGACAGCCTCTCTCTTTCATCAGGATGCCAGAATCGAGTGTCGCGATACACGATGTTTGGTTCCTGAAACCAACGAGAGGCTGTGTCGTGAAATGTGTTTCTGCCGATGACAGTTCCGATCGTGTTGCGGTCGTTCGTGCTTCTGGCAATGTAGAGATCTGGAGAGCCGCCTCTAATCCTTATCATGAAATTACGTGAGTTTTACCGAACTTAGAATGTATGCAGTAGTTTTTTCCGCGTTTTCCAACGGTTAGCATGTGGAGACTGATTATGTGAAATCCAGAGCTACGGTGCTGAATCGAAGTTTATTATATGATCTATTTATAAAATATCACAGTATCTAGAAGTCCAGCGAAATTTAAAGTTTACCCCGAAATCAATACTGTACTGTATCAATAAATGTGTCCTGATTTTTTGAGTGATGGGCTGTCGTTATCAATATTTTCATGTTGCACTCGATGGATTGTGGTCTGCACTTCTGTTGGAATTGGAGTACGAATGAGGATTTAACTTCTCATAGTTCGTTTACTTCTAGTGTTGCAAAGTGAATATCTGAAGAACATTACTAAAGCAACTTTGTGGATTTTTTCAGTAACTTGGAACTAAATAATTAAATAGAATAGCATTTTTGGATTCAGGGAGGCTTTTTAGTTTACATTAATGCTGCCCGATGCAGACGTAGCCAGGGGCCACATTGCGGATGGAGAGTGTCCTTGCAGGCCACAATAGATAATAATTTTTGAGATATCCAATTTCTTCTTCTAATGAAAAGTTTCTTATAGAATTGTTTAGCGTAGAGCATTATTTTGAATTTTTAAATTTAACTTTCCATGCTTATTTTGAATAATGTTGACCGCCACCTTCAAAATTCGGATTAAGAGTCTCTGTGGGCCAGATGTGGCCCGCGGGCCGTATATTGGGCAGCACTGGTTTACGTTATCTCGTCAATTATCCTAACTTCGACTTGTGGTTGCTTCATGCAATTCTCAATTTTTTATATGGGGGACTTTCTGGGTTGATGCAGGTTACACCCAGATTTAACCCGCGAGGAATTGGCGCCAAAACCGAACGAAGTTGCGGAGGAGTACGAATGGGTTACAGCAGTCCTCTGGTGTAGAGGTCGTTTATTCGCCATCGGGACTCATGGGTTCTTATTTGAGCTGCTTCTAGACCGATTTCATTGCGTTGGCCATTTCGTGGGGGTTGGATTTGGAATTCCCACGTGTTTTGCAACTAATGGTTTTGAAATAGTCGCTGGGACGCACAATGGCCATACTGTTCTTCTGACGCTCACCGAAAACGCTCCGACAATTGAACGGAATCTGGCCGAGGTGATCATACAGTATAGGAAATTATGCTAACCATTAGATAATTCATACTTGCCTTTGTTGCATTGTGACCGATCATATCGACGAATGCTTTCAAACGAAATTGTTTCAAAGGAACTCGTTTAGAGTTGCAATTATTAATCTGATGCTGTTGAAGCAAAACAATAGTGTGATCATAATCGTCGACCATTTACAGTGTGTCTAAGTATTTTTTTATTTCAATTAATCTGTTGAAGATGTAATAGTTCTCATTTTGATTATTCTATTGTGGCAAATCGCAAGATTTTCATGAGTTCTATGTACTGTATTCCAAAGTAATGCTTGAGACATTTGAGGCCATGCCTGTTGACGCCGAAGATTTCGACCGTTTGATCATTTTGACATCACGAAGGAATTTCCAATCAATTCAACTTAAATTGTTTGTAGCTGGGATCATGTCGTGTAACGTGCGTTGCGTTGTGGCAAAAAGTCGTCGTTGCATCCATGTCGAATGCATCGATCGCTGTGATTCATCTGGAGACCCGAAGGGTGACCTGGCTTTCGAAGCCTGTGCCTCGGCAAAGCGTCGACGCTGTGGTTTTCTACGATCGCAACACAGTCGTGTCAGGTGAGGTAACCATTGTTGTCGTAGAACGTTCCGGGTCATTTCGGTTTTTTTTTTCCTCATGACGCTTCAACAGGTCATTCGGATGGCAAAGTGGTGATGTGGAATCTAAATACCATGTCTATTTTGCATTCTTTCGAATCCTTCCGAGCTGGCGTGACGTGCCTTAGTGTGGTACCTTCGAAGATGGTTTTCGCATCTGGCGTGGATCCCGTTATCCAGTGTTTTTCTCCTAGCGATCGCAGTGGACCTGCCGCAAAACAGCGACGAATTAGATCACGTGAGTTACTGGTTGTTTAACATATTTAATCGTGTGTGAGAGACCGTTTTCAGATTTTGTCCCATCGTGCGTCTTGGATTTCTTGTATTTTGGAATCGATGACGTTTTATAGACTCATACAGTATTCGTGTTACTGTTTTATTCCTTTTTAATTGATCCGAGATCGTTTTTCTTGACGTGATCGTCGTAGAAGAAGCCGCGTCAGATGCAATAATGCGAAATTCTTACGCACCTCCGTCATGGATTGCTACTCTGGGGCTGAAATTTCACGGTCGTCACGTAACATCTTTGTCGTCTTCGAGATCATGGACAGTTTCCGGATCGGCGAACGGAGAATTGTTCTTTTTCCGTGCTCCGAATTCATCGTGGCTGCAAGAACACATTCAGAATTTTCCCGCACTTCCGGATGAGTCTGAAATCTGCGTGAGTCAATACAGCACAGTACTGTACTTCGATATTTTATCAAATACCGGTGACGCTTTTATCGCCTGGAACGAGATGTACACCGTATTCTTGGGTTTCGGTAAATCATAGTGTCCAGAAATGTATCATTCTGTGTAAGGGGGGGTTCTTGTGTACAGTGTTTTGAATCTTGGGTTAAACGCAGACCGACTAGCGTCAAACCGTTGAGAATGGACAAATACATTTTCAAAATTACAGTACTTGAAGCAGGAAGAAATTACCTGGTTCTCTGCTATCCATTCTTTTCAACTGAACCCGGAACCCAAGTAACCCTTAGCTTCTATTGTATCCACGCTCGTCTGTACAATCCACCGTACATTTGAGAACCCAGAGGCAGTTTGACCCTATTAGCTGATATGACGATGTAAAATCTAAATGCGATTGAGACAATGCGTAATATATGTACAATTGATTTGAAAGTATGAAAATCGTGGTCACCAAATCCGCGTGGTTTCAAAATTTCTTGCAACACAGAAGCTTTGTGAATAATGTAATTTTTTCCGGGAATGGAATTGTGGAATTGTGACACAAATAATCGTGATGCAGCATCTTTCATCATATAGTACAGGTTCACTCTCTCTACAATGGAATTCAAGGGACCAGAAACATTTTGTTTTAAGTTGAATTTTTTTGTAGAGAACCTCTATAGCATGGGGAGAAAAACCTTGTGGGACCACAGAACGACATTCGTTGTACAGAGGAAGTCGTTGTAGAAAGAGTGCATTTGTATGTATACGGTAGTTTGCAGAAAGCAAATGAAAGGACATTTAAGTTGACTTGGCTTTGAACTAACGTTGATACATGCGTCGATTTCAACTTCCCTGTTCCCTGCTGGGGATTTAAGACTCATGACATTTTTTGTTTTCGTTTCAGTTGTTGAGATCCATACGGTGTTTACTAGCGAATTCGGATGGCAACCTCATGGTGTGGCCCTTAGATGCGGTTGATTTTGAAGAAAACATGGGCACTGGTATCGGAATGGATGTACTTGTTCCTGAAAGGTTGCAGAGAACTTCCATCGCATTCCCAAAAGGTCGGGAACGAAAAACCGTCGAGTTAGAGGGAGACTTTTTTCCTGGAAAAGTGATCGATATGCAATGTGAGCCAAAACCGCTGTTGCAAATCCGACTGCAGTCTGCGAATTTAAAGGCAAGTATTTTCTTGGGTCAATTCTTGATCGATTATTATGAAACCTTTACGGGGGAAGCATCATGCATTGAACTCGAAAACTGTAATTTATTTTAGGGAGGAGTATCGGGAATCGCTGCCCTGGAGGATGGATCAGTTATCGTCCGTTTGGTTGGAGGTCACCCGAATTTCTACTCTTGGGAGGGTCCGACGAATCCCACCAATGCGAAGAAAATGGCCATTGACGAAGAATCTATAGAGATATTCCCATCTCAAAGAATATTTTCGTTCAGGGGTGGATTCCTGTCCGTAACTGATGTCGGTGGTGTTCAAGTGAGAAATTTTTTTTATTAATTTCAACGATGAACGACCTCGATGGAAAAAATTCAAATGTGGCTGTGAGCATATCTTTTCAAGTCTATTTTAGCTTTTCTGATGATCTTGGTAGTGTTGGTCATCCCTTTTTCCCCCCAGTGTTGGGAGGAAAGGAAGATTTACGAGAAATTTTTGCTTGGGGAAATTCTAGGGCTTATATTGCTTCATAAATGAGTTGTCGGGATCCTGAAATTAGAGGTAAAGGTTCATGTGCCCAAATAGTCTTCCACTTCATTTCAAAATGCAAAAAGTTACGTCTTTATTGTTTTTCTCTCTTCTGTGTCAAGAAAATAATGGCCAGAAGGCCTCCAGAAAGTTCGAGTTATGGAGGTTTGAGGGGGAAAGCCGTCGAGTTAGAGAGACTTTTAATGCATTGTTTCTAAAAGACAAAGACAGAGACTTGGAAACAAATTTGAGGTAGGCAGGTATTCTATTCGCCCTCGCTATTCGCCTTGGGGAGGTTCGAGTTATCGAGGTTCACATTGTAATTCTTGATACTTGCAATTGTAAGTGATACTTTTTGGATGAAGGACTGCATTCTGAAATGTATTTTTCTAGACTTATCGAAACGCCAGGTGATCCTTGATTATCTGGGATAAAGTATCCGGTCAATTGATTTGTAGTTCTCTTCAGTTCAGAATTTTTTTTCTTGCAGCTGATTTCATGTGACGATGGGAAAATCACAGCGTCACCTTTTTTCGACGTGCTGCGTTTGAAAGATGAAGGCCTGAGCAATACGCTGTGCACGGCCGCCGCGGTTGCGGAGACGTCATGCACTGCTGCGATCAACTCAGTGGATGGCAGAACTTACGTCGTCAACCCGGTCACGCAACAAATAGTGTTCAAAGTCCCGAGGATTCAAATACCAATAACTGCCCTCGCGTTCAATCCCTTGACGTCGAACCTATTGGCTGCGTTTGCGAATCGCAGTATTCTCGAGTTTGGGAGCCAGTGTGAAAAGGACAATAATCTGATGACGGAGTGGAGCAATTCCTGGGTCCCGCCGGAATGGTGGAAACTCAGACCGGGTCCTGCAGTGAGGAAGGTTGTTCCGAGCGGAGAAAAGGCGCTGATCTGTGACGGCGATACCATTTTCCTTCTGTCTCAAGATATCAGCAGCCATCAATTCGCGTGAGTAAAAAGAGAACCCGAATTTTCTCGAACATCCGAATTTGCTCTAACATTCTTTCTTCTGTTTCGGCTCGCAAAAATCGGGGTGTGAATGGGAATTGATGTCTCCTCAGCTTGCGAAGTGCTATTTCATGAAATGGTTCAGAAGTCGGAACCAAATCGAATAACTAATATCTCTACGAATTGTGATTTTAATTCTAATTAGAACTTGAGGATTCAAATTGAAAGTGTGAGGTGAAAGATTTTTATTTCAGTTGCTCGCTCGAAGTGACACTGGTCGCAATCTTGTTTAACTTTTATTTCGTTTGATACAACATTGAAGTGAGGCTTGGATTCATTTGCAGTTCTTCATTGCAATTATTGAATCGTTTCACCGAAAAAAATCGTGATGTGCTATTCCTCGTTTGAACAACCGTAAAAATACGTTACTGTTTTGGTGCTGCGTCTCTCCTTGATATAAAATTTTTTCCGACGCATCCTATAATTTCCTGCAAAGCAGATTTGACGCGCTTAATTTTGATCCTTTTTCTGAGGACGAGTATGAGGGCTTACCTACAGTTTCCATCGATTGTAACTACAATATTAAAAGTAATTGATTGTTAATTGCACGTACAGTATACCTGTACCTTTTTTTGTTTTTTATATATGTCCTTTAGGAACCGTGGCCTGACGTGTGTGACATCGTGCAAATTTATATCGTTTTTCGACCAACTCAGCGACAGTGAATTCGTGTGCGTCTTCCAGTCAACGGACGATTTCAACAAGCTCTCCGGAACGCAGGAATTCGCGAGCAAGAAATTCGGTCGGAAATGAAATCAAGATTTTTCAGTGTTACTTCTATGTTTTCCAACTTCTTGCGGAAACGCGCGATTGCCCGTCAGATCGTTGGCCTGTTTCTTCGGAACGCATCCGTTTGATGTTTCCATGATCAAGTGATTTAGTTGAAAATTTTCCGTTTTTTGTAGGGATATTCCATGGAACGGACGGGAAATGTCTGTCGACGTGTTCCCAGTTCGAGCTATTGTGATCGTTGCAGTGCTTGCGTGCGCCATTGCGTTTCTAATAGTTTTTTTGGTGTTCCGAGCGTTGAGAGGTCGTTCGGGGTTCCAACGGACTGTGAAAGCGAATTTGGCGGATTTTGGGTGAGTGGAAGGTTTCATAAATCCTTTTCCAGCGTGTAATTTAAAAATTTTGTTTTTTAATATCGTTGTTCGTTTCTTTTATCAAATGTAGCATCGAAATTGTGACCAAACCAGATTTAGCATAAATTATTTTGGCGTAGTATTTGCCCGGACTTTTCAAGTGGGAGGCGAAGAACCAACTACTGTAAAGGGGCATTCCAAAAATAAAAATGGAACTGCTCAGTTTCTTCTACAATTTTTTTTTGTTTTTTGAAATGAAGTAATTTTTGCGTATCCGAGTTCTTATAAGATTGTACGTTATTCACTGGAATGTTTTCCAAGTTCTGAGGAAATTCAATGCTTAATTTTTTGCTCCTAGCGAAAAAAAACGAGATTTTTGCTGCAAATTTCCATGCCCTCACACCCAACGAAATGTTGCTTTTTCAATGCTAGGAACACTTATACGCACTTTCTTATGTAATAATTTAGAAACTAAACCGAGCTCGGTAAAATTGGTTTTGTTCTGTTTTCCAGAGCTACAAGAAGTACGCGGCGGTGTCATCTGGTGGACAATGATTCGGATAATGAATTATACGAAGGAGAATCAAGTTTGAATGGAGGCTTGAGTGCAGAAACCAAGAGGAAGATAGATGTTGCAGTATTTGACGCGGAAAGTTGTAGTTGGGATCAGGATGCAGCCATGCTGATGCCCTTGTGTATAGATCTGCTCAAGTAGGTGTTTTATTATTAATCGATGTACCGTACATTTAATTACTTGGATGAAGAATTTTTTGTTTTGCCCGCGTTTTTAGAAAACGAAAAATTTTTGTAATAAAGGTAGACTCACTCAGAAACGATTTTCTTCGTACAACGAATTGTTTCTGGTCGCTTGAATTTTGTTTTAGAGAGACCACCTGTATACGGTACTGTTCTTCGTAGTCCCTTTTTCTTTTCGACTGCTGTACGTGTGGAAGGAATCATGTCGCTGAATTTTCGTGTACAGTACTGTACTGTACTGTACTTCAATTCGACTTTTTGAAAAAATATTTGGTATTCACGTCCATCATTCGCGACAATTGACGAATGGTATTCCAATGTAAATTCAAGTGGGGCTTGACAAAATTTTGTATTTCAAGAAATCATACGAGTCTGCCCCCACTTGAAATCGCTCAGATCCATTCGAATTCAAGGGCTCAACTCACTCGCATATTTCTGGAAAAGATCCGAAGTTATGGTGCTTGGATGAAAATCCAAACTTTGTACTGTTTGAAATTTCGAGTTATTTTCTGCTTTTGTTTATTTTATTTCATGCTTCCAAACTTGTTCATCTTCGTACACAGTCCTGTTTAGTACTTAGAGTACTGTACTGTAACTATTGATACAGGAAAATAACCTAAGATAATCTCTAGAGACCTTCTGAACGATGCGGAGAGATAAAGTAAGATTTATTTTTTTTTTTTCAAGGAGCATTCAAGCGTTGCTGCAGTTTCTGATGGAGCTGGCGCGCGAACGAGTTCCTGGAAAAAACTGGAAACTGGTCGTCGAGGTTGGTTTCTTCTGAACATGTTTTATTTAATCTATTGTGATGTTGCTGTGATTGCATGAGATCGCATCAGGTATAGTATATTCGTGTATTATACGCGTTACGCTATTTTCTGACGGTTGATAAAATGAATCAAAAAGTTTCGTTCATGCATTTATTTCGTGATGGTCTGCGTTGAATTACTGTGTCACGAGTTTTCGTACGAAACCCACGTCAGAGTAAAAAATATTTCTAAACGTCCAGGAGATGACGGCATTTTTCACTAACTCTCTTGAAAGTTGATCTCTTATTTTTCTTATTGTTAACACCGAGCTTGAGATGAAAATAATTTTAAGTGAGTGGAAAGTTCTTTTGAACATCGCAGCCCCGATATATGGTTCTCGATTTTGTGAATTTCTTCGCTCCATCGTGTGTAATTGTCGAAAAGCTTTACGTGGAAGACATGCTATTTTATGATTCAAAGTCCGAAAGTGTAGTAAGCGTGTGATGACCATTTTCGAAAGCTTTTGTAAATCCCGCTTCGAATGCGAAGAAATTATGCCTTAAATTGTAACGGCATTGGGTAATTTCTAATGATCATGATTCGGTACGAACGCAGTCGTTTGATTAATGTATTTTGCTGTTGAACATTTGCTTGTTTTTGACTGCGTAAGAGGGGAGAAGTCCAAGCACGCTAGGAATTTTAAACCAAAGCTTGAAGCTTCTTTACAGCTTTTCACTCGGTTTACGCCGGCCGCGGCGCAGGCGGCGCTTCTTCCTCGGGCAAATAGAGCTGGTGCAGATCGATGGTTTGGCAGTGTTGAAAATTATCAAGCACTGTCACGAGGAAACCAGTGGAACTTTGGACGTTGCACAGGGTGTGCTTCTCGGTCTGGTTGTCGACAACAAGCTGGAAATCACCAACAGTTTTCCTTTTCCTCGGCATCCCGATGAAACCATGGACGAAGGTACATTTAAAAAAAGGCTCATGTGAACTACAGTATCTGAAACTTTGCTACATGTTCTCATCTTTTGGGGGAAATGTAACATTGTTGGGCTACTATGGAATATTTTACACTCATGTTTGCATGTCGGTTATTTTGTCCCTGTTCAATCACATGTGTCGTAGAGTTCTGTTTTTTCTTAGTTTCAAAAACTTACGCTGTACTCGAAAAATCCATGACACTAAGAACGGAAAATAACTCTCGTAAAGTTTTTTGCTCCAAGTGATAGCATGCTGTCAAGTTTTTGACGTGATGTCAAATGTAATAGGAGTGTGGTTCCTTCTCTATTTTCTTGTCAAGTTGTGTAAAATTTCGGCCCCACTGACTTAATACCTAGTGATGAAAAAAGTCGAGCGTTCTGGTTGTTCAGAGAAAAAGCAGGAGTAGACTTTTCTATAAGTAATTGCTGGGGTTAAAACTTTCGTAGAAAGAAGACATTAATGACGATACGTGTTGTGAATGCTACAGCTTGAATTTTTGATCTGAGTGAAAAGGCAGAAATGTAGAATCTCTGGAGGCTTAAATTTTAAAGTTTAATTCAATTTTGCTGTTCTTTAATTTTTAGTGATCGTGAACCAAATTTTCACTTGAGGAAATTTTTTTCAGTGTAACTGCATGGTATTTTACTGTGTATGTTTTGTTCGTTTCAGAGGATTATCAACTGGAGATGATGCGTAACTTGAGGAAAATCAATATTGATCATTTCCACGTTGGCTGGTACCAAAGCACGCAGCAAGGAAATTTTCTGTCGCCTACAGTGCTTGAATCGCAGTTCACGTACCAAATGGCGATCGCAGAGTCTGTTGTACTCATTTACGGTATGTTTTCATGGATTGTTTCTCCATTGTTTTCTGTTGAATGACAGACCGAAATTTCAATAACAATTATTCGGGGGTAAACGAGCATGGGGTAAATTTGTATGCTGTATTTAAATTGCACCCGAGGAGTCCAGTAGTAGGTACTCTCTAATTGAGTCAATGAGAGAACACCTTTGTTTTGCAGAACATGTACTGGTGTGCCGAAATTCATTACAGCGAATTATCGCGACTGATTCGACGGATTTCAATCAAAAATACTGTACTTAATCGATTGGATAAAGGGAACTTGGGTATTTACATGCTGGAAGGAAATATTCGAAATCATTATTTGAACGAGGCGTTCGTTGCATATTTTTTCAGGATGATTATCATTTTTACTTCTTCCTTTTCTTCTCGCAATAGATCCGGCGAAAACGTCGCGGGGATTTTTATCCCTCAGAGCATTCAAGCTCAGTCCAGAAGCCGTCAAACTTTACAAGGAAGAAGACTTTTCGCCAGAGAAGGTGAAGAACTTGCAATTGTCCTTCGAACACCTGCTCAAGGAAATCCGAGTCGTCATCAAGAACTCGCACTTGGTGAATGCGTTGTTGCTGGAGCTGCAAGAAGCCATTCCGCCGACTGAGAAGCCGTGTGACTACTTGGACCTTGGCACCACCGGCGTTTTGGAGAAGCATTTGAGGAACATGATGGATTGTGTGGACGAATTGGCGCAGGAAGTCAACAAATACAACCTGTATCAGCGCCAAGTCATGAAGCAGTTCCAGATGAAGCAGCAGTTTATTCAACGCAGGGTGAGCTCAGAAATTTCCAGAAACCGAACTCATTGTCCACAGGGAAAACCTTAGATTTGACTTGTCGCGAAAATTGGAAATGTCCAACCTGGTTTTCTCACGTTTCCGGTTTTTTTTTCAGTCCCACAAAATTGGCTCATTTCTAGAGCCCGAGATTCTCAACGGAAAAAAGTTGCGACAGTGCTTTTTAAAGTAGTGTTCCCCGTGAAGTACGACGCGCATACTTCGAAGAAATAGGCTTTTAAAAATCAGGATGTTTCCTAAATTTAACGAATATTGTTTCTGACGAATACAACATTTCAAGTGAAAATCAAGTTCAGAACCGACGAAGAAATCTATGCCGTCATTTTCAATTCAATGCAAAAAGATTTGGAATCCTGACATTTTTTGCTGATTTTCTGCCTGAATCCACAGCCTTCTAGATTTCAAGATTTTATAAAGAATCGACTTCTCACTTGCTTATGTGAATTTATAATTAATGATTATCTTTTGAAAACAGCGTATGAATTTTGCAATATTTAATGACATTTTCATTTTTTCAAGACCGTTGAAAATGAGGCTCGGGTTGCGAGAGGAGAAGCCGCGCTTCCGGAAGACGACGTGAACAAGCAGTTCAAGCCGATCCCGTCGCCGTCCCGCAAAGAAGCATTGATCACCTCTGGTCAAGTTCTCAGTTACTGCGACCAAATCTCACAGTTTTCTTCGCAGGCTCTCGGAAAATGGTTTTTATCCGAGTGTTTACAAGAAGCGCGATCCAAAGCCAACTGAAAACGCCCCGAAGAATTATGCATCTGAAGAAAAAAACATTCATAAGGACCCTTGTATCAATAAAAACAATTCTCGGGAGGTGGATAGCTGCTGATCGTTATTTTTTCGTTGTAGAATCATCGATTTAGTTGAATGGTCAACTGTTCGCTTTCAGGTGGAATCTTGTTTCTTATACTGTACTATCGTGAAAGCTGTTCAGTTTACCATTCGATGAACACTCCGATGAATCAGCTGCGTACAAGTGGATATAGGAATTATAATGCTTTGTGACGTTCCGAAACTAAATTTTCGCAGGTTTTGTGTGGAAATCGATGAAAAATGGCGCGTGTTCCGCCGCCGAAACTTCCACCGACCCCGCTGTCGTTGAAACCTATTTTACACTCACTGAAGGCAGCAACAGAATACGATGTTCGAGATCCGGTCGTCAGTTACTGGTGTGAGTATAGAAGTGTCATTCGGGGGAAATTTTTGATTCTTCAGCCAATTTAACTTTAATAATGAAATTTTAATGAAATAATTTTTGTTTAATTCTTCAGCCAATTTTTCGGGCAGTAATGTTATCATTTGCACCCTAATTTTGAGCCCAATTTTTCGGGAAAAAGGTGTGTGTGGTACTTTACTTTATTAATTATGGTTCTTTGTGTTCAATTTCTCATGTAGTTCAGTCTTGCCATAGTATTGAAATTGTTCATGAACTCAAATGAGGGGTGCTTTTCTTCTACATGGCTGCATGATACTGACAGAAATTTATTAGTCGCGCACCTTATGGATTTCTTAATTTGAACCTGGAGAGTTGCACTTGACATTGGAAGCTTTTGCAATTTAATTTTTGTTTTGTATTAAAGATGAGGATTTTTAGATTAATCCTGCGACAAGGTGCAAGTGTACAGTATGTAAATAATGCAGTTGATCAAACTATTCAACGCAACCGTCCCTCTGTTACAGGTCGATTTTATTCGGCGCAAGCGGCGCTGAAACTGGACCGAACTTCCCCAGAGGCCCGCGCCATTCTCCTGCCGCTCATGGACTGGCTGGAAATGGCAAAGAAGGTCATGAAGGGAGACGAGGCCATTTCGAACGAGGTCGTTGCCCAGGCGCACGTTGAAAACGCCGCCTGGACTCTCTTCTCGTCTGCCGACACACAAGACCGAGCCAGTGTCTTCAACAAGAACGTGGTCAAACAATTCTACACGTCCGGAGTGTTGTACGACGTGCTCACCACGTTTGGGGAACTGACGGAGGAGAACTTCCAACAACGGAAATACGCCAAATGGAAAGCCGCTTACATTCACAATGCTCTGAAGAATGGGGAGACGCCGATTCCGGGACCCATGGCTGACGAAGACGGGGAATTTGCCGGGCTTATGGATCCGAGTGGTGCCACTGGTGGTGTCGGGCATGAGTTTCCGCAGCATCCGCCACCACCATTACCAGCGTTTCATGGTTCCATGGATGGTAGTGGAGGAGGAGGCGGCGGCTATGATTTGTTGACTGGGGACAGGTTACCAACACCTGCACAAGCGGCTCCTCCTCCTCAACCTGTGGTGCCTGCTCCAGTGGCGGAAGCGGGGACTGTGAAGGCACTAAGTGAGATATTTTTTTTCTTCATTTGGTGTATTTTTATTTTCTTAGAAGAAGTTCAGTGCTGTAGCGACAAAGTTGGGAGATACAGTGATAAACAGCAATGCCTTGGTTAATGTACTTGATAAGTCTACTAACTGAATGTGTTGCTATTTTTTAAAGGTTGTCTTTGTTGGACGGGACCTCTGACATTTTTAAAGGTGGTGTGATTGTAAAGTAAAAATCAAGACGCAGCCTATGATGTTCTAAGGTTCTATTATTTTTTCGGATTTTCAAAAAGTTTTTTAATTTACTGCATGATCATTGAAAACCCAGTTTCAGCCAGGGTTCTCCGCCAATGTCACGGAGTGCTAACAATTTGGCAGGCTAGCTAAAAAATTGAATTTGTTTTAACCATTATCTAAATTGTAGGAAGGATAGAAAAGATAATTCCCATTCTTTAGCTGGTCTGACGAAGTTTTAGCTTTTTTAAAATCCTGGAAAAATCCCAGGACCTTGGAACATCATGGGCTATGAGTAACAAAAAAAAAAAATGTTAGTGAGGATGAATGTTTTTTAATCTCCAGCGCAGATTTGAAACTGTTGGGCACTTCCCCAAAAAAACCGTCTGGCTTTCTTTCGACAACTTGTTCATCGTGTTTCAAATATGGGCTTTTTATATTCCAGATGCCTTTAATATTTTCTTCATAAAATCATTTATGAATCTCGAATTTAATGTACTGTACTATATTCACAAAAATACACTTAGTTATGTATTTATATACAGTACTGTAGTTGAAAAGATGTACACCTGAATTTTTCGACCCAAAATTTGAATAAGACCCTTTTTAAGTAAGACACACACTGCATCAAATTTACGTGAGTTTTTAACCCGAGTTGATTAATTTCAAATTCTTTTCTTTTTAAAGTTTATTCATTTTTGGTTGTAATTGAAAATCAAGTTCAGGTTCTTAAGGGAAGTTTTAAATTAAAACAAAAATAAAGTACCTCAAACTAGATATAAGGCCCTTATTTGTTTACACTCCACTTAATCGAAATTTAAGACGAGAAAGAGGAGGAGATTACTACAACGTCTACGTTTGCCAATGAGCCTTGACGATATGACGAAAGCGCAGAAATATTGCAAATACGCCGTGAGCGCCCTGAACTACGAAGATGTGCCCACGGCTGTGAAGGAGTTGAGGAAAGCCTTGAGCTTGCTCGAGACCGGGCACGATGGTTGACCTGCTTCAAGTTCCTTGCGAAGTGAGGCAGATTTTACTAATTGTCGCTTAATCCGTGATCCTTTTGAACGAACCGCGAGGGAATTAAGAAGTTGTGATAATATTCACACGTAAAACTACGAATGTTTGTTCTAGTTGAGCTTGTTCAGAACTTTCCTCAAATTGCGTAGAGGTATTTTTTTTGCTCTTTGTTCGGTACCGGAAGAAATTGATGTCGTTGCGAATGAATATATTCCATCTGATTCTGTCGAATTAATGGTAAATTATTCTTCATGTTGCATTCGTATTTCTTCCGTTCAGAAATTTTCGTGAAACCCGTCCCATTTTCCCAATTTACAAGATTAATCCTCGCAGAGAAAATACGTCAGGTAAGTATCCGAGAAGCAATGTTCCAGAAAGTAAAAGCTTCTTTTTTGCGCAAAGTTCAGATTTTTAGCTTTCAGCGTTGTCAAGTTTGTTTAAAAAAATTGTATCCTTTCGAAACAGAATTACATTATATTAAAAACTCACATTTCAAGTACTGAAAGTCAAAAATTTCAACTGTGCGCAAAGAATTGGTAACTTTAACAACTGGAATTTTTTTAATATTTGCACGAATTGTAGAAATTAGGTGACTCACAATCGACCAGGGTTAATCTTTTTTACTGTATGAGGGTTATCTCACTTGGGCGCGACCTTGGTTATTTCTAGAGTAGTTATGATTAAAAAAGTAATGATATAGCCCATGATGTAGATTTCTCAAATGAAAAAAAATTCTAGTTGAGGTCAGAGATTGGTTTGTTGTTTTAACCATTATAAAAAGGTAGAAAAGATCACGCTTAAAAAATTCAATTTTTAATCTGGCTTGAAAATTTGCAAGCACTCTGTGACATGGATGAAGAATTCTTATCCCAACTTGTAAGTTTACTCGTATTATTCTGAAGTAAATAAAAATTGTTCTTGAGAATCCTAGAATATCTTAAGCAATTTAAATTTTTTTTACAATTTTACTTATTTCAGAAATAACGAAGGTTTTGCTCGAGTGGGTCAAATCTTCATTCATTATAAGAATTTGAACATGTTTTCGAATACAGTATTTTTCTGCAGTTAATTTTTCGAGGTTAGCTAATGTGCTGGAAATTAAATGATTCTTGAAATTTTCTAATAAAAAATTGCAAATCGAGGAACGTTTTTCTGGCTTTAATTTGGAATGACAGCGCTGACATTGAAAGGCTTTCAGTACACACATCTCCCCACTGCGCATGAAAATTGCATTGCACATCGTTACGTAAAAGCACATGTCATTCCATGCATTCTCAGAGTAAACAATTTCTTGCCCAAAAAAATGTTCACGCGAACGGGAATCCGCCAGTTACGCCGAAACACTCGGATTCATCCATCTATGATGAAATTTCAACAGTTCGAATCGCGCCACAAAAAAAAAAACGCGACATTATGTTTAAGCAGCATAATACCGTCACATTTTCAGAAAATATCGATAGGATCCTTCCGTCTCGCTTTCTTTCATGTACAGGGTGACCCACGTTTCACCAAACCCACATAAAAATGAATAGTCGTTTTTTTCAAATGTCCTACCTACAACAAATCCCTTGTAAGTAAATTAAAATGGATTCCACGTGAACGTGTTCTAAAATTTAACCCCAGTTCTTTTTTTCTAGCGTACCCACATAAAAATGAATAGTCGTTTTTTTCAAATGTCCTACCTACAACAAATCCCTTGTAAGTAAATTAAAATGGATTCCACGTGAAAGTGTTCTAAAATTTAACCCCAGTTCTTTTTTTCTAGCGCAAGGACGATAGAAAATTTGACTTTGGAAGATTTGAGCAACGAAAAAAACAAGATACCAAAAAATATACATCGTTAAAGAGTTTCAAAATTCATTTATTTCGAAGGGATTTACTGGAAATTTGGGCGGTTACTGAAAACGAATTCTGACTTCTTGTTAAATTAATAATTGAAACATTGCAATTTGATAATTGAAAGAAATAACTCCCCAAAAGCAGAACACTCGTTAGTAGGGCGGTGAGGATTCATTCATCTTCCCCTTCTTTCCTCGGAAAACAATTTCACGATTTATGGTCTTGATTTCCCTAAATATAATGAAAAAAGTGACCCTCAATAATTTCGGATTATTAACTGGGATAATTGTGGCACATCCACTTAGAAGCTGTACTTTTCCTGTCAGATTCTTAAGTGACGGAATCATGTTGAGATTTTTTCCTCATAACATACATTTCATAGTTTGTACAGTAATTATTCATGTTTTGGATGAACACACATTATCATCTTTGTGTGGGTCTCGTAGCGCACGTGAATCGCCCCCGCAGAATAATGCAGCGCCCAAGTTCAATGCTACATCCCGGGAAACCCGCTAACGATTTCTTCTACTACCGCTTCCCGCTGCGCTGATCGTTTCATATTTCCTCCTCGCGTAGTTGAAATCCTTTCGATAGCCCATCTCGGAAGTGCCGTCGCCACCACCACCAGCATCGTCAAACTCACTTGTCCAAAACGGAAGCACGTCCGTCCGTCCGTCCGTCCGTCTCTCATCTTTCCGGTTTCGACACGACGCACGTAGTGACTCGTAACACGGGATGTTCGGTCCTTCACAAAGTGGCCACGGAAGCGTCGTTGTCTGTTTGCCGTGCGAACGTGATCTCTGCCCAGGCCTGGCACACGACTGCGGGGATCATCAGGGCCGCGAGGATCCAGAGCTTGGCTTGCATGCACAACGCAGGGTAGAGGACGAAGCCCAGAGTGAGACCAAACAGTTCCGTGGTCATGTGTACGACGTGGGAACACGTTTTCTGGCCATTTGTGGCATGAAGGAAGGCTGCATAAGGAATACAAGTAAAAGAAATAAAAATGCAAGCACATGGAAACGTCNGACTGCGGGGATCATCAGGGCCGCGAGGATCCAGAGCTTGGCTTGCATGCACAACGCAGGGTAGAGGACGAAGCCCAGAGTGAGACCAAACAGTTCCGTGGTCATGTGTACGACGTGGGAACACGTTTTCTGGCCATTTGTGGCATGAAGGAAGGCTGCATAAGGAATACAAGTAAAAGAAATAAAAATGCAAGCACATGGAAACGTCCGTCAGTGGGGTGACGAAGAATGAACTCTTGATGACGGTTACAGAATAAAGTTTTCGAGGCGTAAAAAGGAAATGATTTTGTAAAAGTGCGGTATGTACTGTATATATATATATTCGGACATTGCCAACCTGTCGTTATTTTTTCGAAAGTAAAACGCAATAAATTCTTAGGGGATCCCCAGCTGAAGGAAAGTACTGTAATTTATTCCCGAATGAGTTTCATTGTGCAACATTTTTTTTCATGTGCATATTGTAAAACATTGTCTCTTATAAATACTCCATTTGAAAAAATAATTTTTTCTGGGCTGGAACAAAAACTTTAATTAGACTCAACGATGGATGTAATCTAAAATTTATTCAAATAAAACGGTGACGTGTCTGCCAAGGAAAGGTGCACAAATGGAAAATTTGGAAAAATATCTGACACTACCCAATTTTAGAGGATGAGCAAAAATGCTTCTCTGAAATTTTCAGTAAAATATCTTGGAAATATTCAAATCGTTTCAAATTTCCAACTTCAAATTCATGAATACTGTTCCTTTCAAAGACATAAATTACATTCAAAAATGGGATAAGGAGATGGAAGTTTGCTTGAAGTTGAGTGTCACAAAAGATATTAGCCTCAATTGAGCATTTATAGACTTCACAGGCTTTCTGAATAAATAATGAATGATTATTTTGGCCAACTTCTACTTGTTGAGTAAAACCTCTTTACAATAAATATTAACTCAACATCAAATTACTGTGTTCAACAAAATACTTTTACAGGCCCCTGCCCAATAGTCACAACGTTATTAAAATGACTTGATTAAATTTTTTCATCACAATAAAACTGGCACCAATGGTCCTATCTGTAAAAAAAAAAAATTTTAATTAATTTGCAGAAAATATTCTTACAAGAATGAAGCCCCTGAAATGTTTCTCGTATAAAATGAATTTTTACAATGACCCTCAAATAACATCATGGCTATGCGGAGGGACCTCAAAAATGACTTCGTTCTGAACAATAATCATAAATCAGAACATATTTTGCAACAAAAATGTTAATTCAAATTCTCATGCATGTCCAGACTTTGATAAACCACGAGAATGCAGAGCTTGTTTATGACACCTCTCTATAAAGCATAATTAATAATGGCGCAAGGATAAATTAAAGTGACAATTTAATCCCTCATCACTATACATAGTACAGCAGTACTCACTCTTGATCAACGTGTCCCACACGCCAGAACACAGGCCCCAGACCCCGGCCAGGACATAGAAAAGTGGCGGGTCGTCGGCCATCTTGGACGAAGTCATTAGCCGGGCTGTGAGAAGCACCCCAGCAAAGAAAGCCGTCGCAGCCCATAGAAAAGCTAGACGTCTCGCAGGTCGTCTCAGCACTCCGATGACATATGACCCGACGAGGAATGCGAATCCGTATCCCATCATCACGAACCCGATGTACTTCATTCCCATCCGACACGAAACGAAATTCTGCGAGCAAAAAAAGGAAGAAAAAACCGGGTCAAGAAATAATTAAGTCGTGGAACATGTGTTCATATGTATGCATATATTGTGTAGAATCAACGGTACAGTATTTTCAACTTCGCACCCGTGGAATTAAATGATGCAGTACAGTGCTGTATTTATTCAAACACCATCTTGTATCTTCATGTAAGATGCACACCTTAATTTAAATTTAAAAAAATTGAAATGATATTTATCCATACATATCAGATGCACCTCTTAATTTTTTGGAAAAAACCATTTTGAAAATGGTGTATTTATCGTTGCATCAGATTCTTACAATTTTGTGACACAAATCTATTTATTTTATGAAATTAAAAGCAAGTCAAATCATCATGTAATTGTGCTGCGTTTGTTTTTGTATCCTTTTTTAATCTGCCAGTTTTATTTTGAGT